ACGTTTCGAGGAGTCATTAATTATACGTTATATGGAAAATGCTGGGGGGGGAAACTGTCCCTATAGATTGTCACGTTGGCTTGGTAATTCATCTTCTCCAATTGATCTCTACCCCGGCCATTTTTCATTCTTACAATAAATTTTCCCGTGTTCATTATTGTGTTCCACTGCTGGTTGGAGAGGGAAGACGCCAGGGCACTCGATAGTCGAGGAGTGTATATACTATATAGGAATCGGTGGACGTTCGAACACTTGCGAGAAAGGTAAAAGCGTAGCCCTCTACTGACGAGCACGCGAAGTGTCGCCAGAGTTCATAGTAGTATTTATAATTCTTAACAGTAAACCTGCCACCTCAAATAATCGTTTTTAAAATTTTGTTTAGAATTTCTAACATACAATGTTATTTTACCGCCATTTAACGTCACGACTTTTCTCATAATATTTGTACAAGGAATTTTTCAATAGTCACTTCTATTCTTATTGTTTGTCTTCCGTGAAAAATATATAGTGTCTTGTAAAAATATTTTGTGAAATAACTGGACAAAATATGATATAAATTCTGGTTAGCTTCCGACGTAAATTAAAACGTATATTAAAAATACTAAAAGTTTAGACGCGTGCAGATCCAAAACTATTAGTGTTTTATTAATTATTGAGCCATTGTTAGAAGCGGCAAACCTTCCCCTTTAATATGGTTTTTGGTTTTTGGCGATCCGACTTCCCGTTTCCGAGATATCGTAATTTATGTGAAAGGGTAATTTTTAAATTCCACTCGCCGCCTTAGAAACGTTTTATTAGTACGTATTAAAAATAGTTAAACTTTAGAGGCGTGTAGTTCCGAAACCACTGGTGTTTTATTAATTATTGAGGCACTGTTAGAAGCGTCAAAGCCTCCCCTTTAAAATGGCTTTTTGTTTTTGTTGATCCGACTTCCCGTTTTCGAGATATCGTAATTTATGTAAAAGGTAATTTTTTTAATTCGACTATCTCTGTCTCCGTCTAGCGCGTCGGATCTCTTTGTCGCACCTGCATCGCGCTGACCTATCCCGCCTACGTGACTGTCGTGACCTAGTTTCACGTAGTATGTCCAAGAATTTACTACGCGCTACTATTTACACGCGCGCGGTCATTGACCTCGCGTCAATGAACGTAAACAAACGCTTCGGACCCTCGTATCTCCGAAACTAGCCACCGCATCGACTTGAAACTAAAATCGCTATATCTCCGGAACTAATAACGCTATCGACTCGTACAAACGCTCATTTTAAAGGGCATTTCATCCTCTATCTGATGAACTAAACTACTTTCATAATTTATTTTGTCTTCTATGTTTATTTTACTTTGACATTACATACCCAAAGAAGTTTCAGCAATTTCTACCGGTCATTTGACCGGTCATGGTAGGAACGTTTAATGTTAAGACAATAATTCTAATTTCTTTTGTTATCCACATTAAATTTACAAATGATACATTTCGTTCCATCGAATAACAATAACCATCAGGCCGGGTAGAGTTTCTACGTCGATTTTTCTATCGCCGTTCGCGGAAGCATCGCCGTTCGTTTTGACAAATGGCGTTTCGCAACGTCCCGGTGGCCAGAAACGCGACCATTTGTCCCCGGTTAGTCGCGTGACGCAGGTTGCGCGCTGACGTAATCGGCCGTGTCGCGAAAATTGAAACTGTGTCAAATGAAACGGTATAAAAAATATCGTTCTCGGTTTACAGTCCGCGCGTTAACCGCTGCTCGGTGTCGTGGGACACCGCCGGCCAGTGCTGGCCAGCGTCGGCCATTACACGGCGGTGAAACACTCGCGCCTGAAATTGTAATGCGGCAATTAATTTAATGGAACAACAGCGACGACTCGACTCTGGAACGCCAAACAGTGGACCCGGCCGCAGTGTGCTCGCGTACGAAATTCGTCCACGCGATATCGCGTGTACAGGGTGTCCCGTTAACGCTGGACCTTCTCCCCGGGGGAGTTTATTAATAAAGAGTTAAAAAAAAATTTTTTTCTTCCATAGAAAATTTTCATTCTCGTTTGTACTTGAAATTACTGGAACATCCTGCATGATTTCCGGGCTCGTGATTCGAGCAAGAATGCGGATACGCCGGTTGAAAGAGCATCTGGAGAAGTTCTTTAATTGATCCAGGATACGAGTTTGCTACAGAAGTATCGAAGATCGAACTTGAACGCAAAGCGGAGAGATATTTTCGATTCCTCGGTGTACGGCAATTTGTAAGTTTCGCGAGGTTTTATTCGAGCATTTTGTGGGGAATTAGAAAGACGGGAAAGGTATCGATTTTGACTAATTGGGAGGTTCACGAGAATTGATCGTCGTAGAAATAGTACTCTGCGATCAATCGTAGAGAAAAGATAAATTCCTCTTTTCATTTTTGTTTGTCCGCAACGTTGGTAGTCCCTGTATACTGTAATTGGCAATCGAGTTCGATGTGTTTACCAAATACCCCAAAATGGAACGAGCAATCGTTTTGTCACAGTTTCGCTCAATTTATAATTAAAACACAAATGTATTGTAATTGAATTTAACGTTTGTAACAATAATTGGTTGTTGAATAATAATTGTTTTGTTCCTCGATATCGGTACGTAAACATCGAGGTAATCTTTTTCGATTAATCATAGCAATAACGGACGGCACCAACGCAACTTTAATTCGGATCGACGTTTCGACGCGTGGTTTCGGCCATTTAATTACTTTTTCAAACACCCGGCGTACATCGACTTTAAAAAAGTAAATTCACTCTTATATTTGATTTCATAAACATTTCAAATATTTAAAATTACGCACGTTTAATTTCAAATATGTTACCGATCGGTTAACGCTGTCCTCAACACTTTTATTCAAATTTTAATATTCCAATACTGTGCTCGTTACTTTATGGGACTCCTAGTCGACAATTAAAAATTTAGCAAATGTTAAGGTTCGTTCCAAACATTTAAAATCGCAAGGTCGAAGGCTCCTCGAAGATGTGGACAAGTTTGATTCGTTAAAACCGTGGCGAAGGGTCCTCGTTCGCCAGTCTGAGGAGGGACGGTGCATCCCTTAGCGACACGGCTGTAAAATCGAGGGCAGTGAAGAAGGCGTTGCGTTTAACGGGGAAAAAACTGACGCAGCCAGAAAGTTAACGAGCGTGCCAGACTTCGTTGCAGTTCAGAGTTCGTCCCCCTGGCCCGGCGGAGGAGTAGATTCGAACGGGAAAGTCCAATTTTCGGTCTCACGGTTCTTCCCCGTTTCGCGATAAGAAGTTCGGCAATCGGGAGGATTACGACCTCCCCCACGGAACGTCCTTGCGTCGGGACAGCTTATTTGTTGAAGCCGCCCCGAGGAAACAACGCTCCGACGTCGCGATAAGGCCCGCGAATTCATCATTTCCGGCTCGCTTCGTCCGAGGGGGAGGACGCATTAAAGATTTTCCAACAGTCATTCCCGAACGACGCTTCGTAGGCGACTAATAAAGATCACGAAGCAGACGTTCGAGAAACCACGAAGCTTTGCAATGGTTGAGAAGCTCTGCGTTGGTTGTTCGTCGAATAAAAATTAAATACTTTGATCAAAATTTGACTGTTACGGGTATAAATAGTTGTCGAATTACGATCGAATAGAATATAGTCAAAATGGTGGTTTACGTGTTGGTTTCATTCGCCTGTCGTATCGAATCCTGACCGTGGCCCATTTTACACAGGTTTCGATGTCGCGACGATTTTTCTCGAGCAACCTGTGTTTCCTTAGGTTCGTATCGGATGTAGGAAACACAGCCTTCCAAGCACCTCGGGACGCATAAGCCCGTAAGCGTCTCATCGTAATCTCCTTACGCGAAAATCCCGGCCATTGTTTCCGAATACGCTAACGAAGTATTACATTATGGATTTAGTCGCGCTGGGGAATTATTGGCACGCAAGGACGGGCCGATTATTCGTGCCAATTTCTTTCAATTTTGTCCTCGGTCTCTAACGACGGTTGGATGGACCATTTATGGCGTTTCGACCCTTAGAATATTAATAATTCATTCACGACTGAAAAGTTTCGAATTTTTCCACTGAACGAGAATTTTATTTTAATAATAACTGTGCATCTTTCCTCGAAAACTCGTAAATGGCTTCCAGATGTCACTATACACGCTAGTATCCAATATGGCGGCCATGGACAACGGGTTGGTTGGATCATATATAGTATTTAATAATCACAACTGAATAACTAGGAATTTGTGCACTGGACAAGAATTTTTATAATGAATTTTAATAATAACTGTGCATCTTTCCTCGAAGACTCGTAAATGGCTTGTAAATGTCATGTGACACAAGTATCCAATATGGCGGCCATGGAGAACGAGTTGTATGAATCATATATAGTATTTCTAACAATAGCAATATTAATAATATATACACAACCGAATAACTACGAATTTGTCCATCGAACAAGAGTTTTTTAAATAAATTTTGATAATAACAGTGTATCTATCCTCGAGGACTCGTAAATGGCTTGTAAATGTCATGTGCCACAAGTATCCAATATGGCGGCCATGGAGAACGAGTTGTATGAATCATATATAGTATTTCCAACAATAGCAATATTAATAATTCATCCACAACCGAATAACCACGAATTTGTCCATCGAACAAGGGTTTTTCTAATAAATTTTGATAACAACATCCAATATGGCTACCATGTAGATGTCTCCAATCGCGAAAGCTTGCATTTCGAGCCACATTTAGGTGATTTTGTCCCACTGTATGTGGAGTACACCGGGACAGGATCCTCAACAAACTGTTATTCCTCTCGAAAACAGGGTTTATGATCGCGTCAGCGGCGTCGGTAACGTTTCCTAGTTAGGGCAATTCCGTACTTTCGCTCGTCACGATTAATTAGCTTAATTTTGGCTTCCTGTTGTGCGTGCCGGCGGGGCGGTCGTCGCACACGCTCGTTGCGTGTCACGTCGGCATAACGGGCCGCATTCCAGCGTCATAGTTGACGCGCGCGTGTCGCCCCGTTAAAGCGCCCGTGGCATCCGCCGAGGATGAGCGCCGCCGAGACGACGATCTGCATTTCGGTGCTGTGCATCTACGTTCTCAGAGCCACCACCACGCCCCGCGCCACCGGTCGTTTGGGTAAGAAGCTTACGTCGACGCGGAGAAGCTACCACGCGACGATCCTCGCCAAGGAAACCGCCGCCTGTCGCGGTTTAAACGCTCACCCTCCGCCTCTGTTTCGAAATTGCAAGAATTCTGTCCGTCGTGTTTTCGAATTGATCGCGAAAGGACTTTCTGTAACTCAAAACATTTCATTCCAGCGATGGTAAGAGATTTGGCTTAGGAGCTAAAAAAATTCATGAGAATAAATCTAAATGGGACTCTTGAATCTCGACGAGGTTACAGAAATAAATATCGAAGCAAAGTTTCGTTTTCGTGGACGATTCGAGGGGTTTCCAGCGACCCCATCGGTCGGCCAAGATGGCCGCCCATCGAGCAACAATTAAACGTCAGACTCGCGACGCGTTGCACGTGCGAGCATCGAAATCACCCGGCGGAGAGCGACAGCGTCGATAATGGCCGTCGTTCGTGACTTTGCGTGTTTAAGGTGTTCCGGGTAAAAATGGCGGACAGTTCCCAAGGAAGTTCGAGGCAATAGCGCGCGTTATTACGGAATTACGTGCAATCACCGAGTCGATTAAAGCGTCGAAGAAATCGCCCCGTGGTTTCCACGTCTGTCCCAAACGATCCTTTTCGCTGCAACGATGGGTCACGACTTTTGTATTCTGGTTGCAGCTTACGCGATCGAGCCTTACTTGGAGATCCTGCCGCTGGGGGAGACGCAGACGAAGCCGATCGGGTCCAGCATCATCTTGACGTGCAACCCGAAGGTCGAGGACACGAAGCTCATCAGCGACATACAATGGCTCGATCCGCAGAATCGTGTGATCGAGTCCCTGAAGTGAGTAGATCCGTCGCCGTAGATCGTTCACGGTGTTCTCGGTACGTTCTCTGTGGATCGTCCCTTGCACTCTCGTTTGGCGGGATCAATTTTATCAATTTCTTCTGAATATAATTTAAATGGCGCCTCGATATTACGAGTGCTGAAATTAACTTTTGCATCGATATTTTTATATAAAAGGAATCTTATATAAAATATAGACACAAAACGAAAACAAGAAAGAGTAAATTACATTTTAACGAACGCCCAAGTTCGAGCATAAATTTAAATTTAAGTTCGTGGAACGTTGCAGTAAAGGTAGAAAGATTATACGAATCGTTTCCATTGATAAATCTGTCGCAGTGTACGTTGCGGAATGGTTCCAAAAAATGTTACGACTTTCCGTAAGCAGACTAGGACCGCGCAACAAAAGCTCGTTGATTTATCGAATCCTTCAGACTCGCAGAAACGCACGGGCACGGTTAACAGTCATAATTCAGGCGATCGCTGCGAACGGGAAACGGGCACGCAAGGGTATCGGCGACAGCGCAAACAAACTCCAAGCCAGACGAGAATATATGTGCAAGGGATGTTTGCGCTTTTCAGCTTAATTTTTTTCGAACGAAAACAGCGACGCTTTTAGCCGATAATCGAAAGGAGAACAAAATGAGCGTCCTGGGACTCGAACGCCCGAACCAGTTCGAATATAATCCGCGGCAAAAGTATTTTTAAATAAAAAAAAGTTTCCAATCATTCCCAAATCGCAAATACTTATGAATTTTCCAATTTTTTTAAATAAAAAATTCTATTCAAAATTACATTCGAACGATTTGTACGATCGAGTCCTGATGCCTCTGTAATACGTAGAAAGGATTCTTTTGCGTAACACACGAGAAAGAACACGACCAACACCCAAGCACTAATTTAACGAATTTCTGTCACTTGTTTTGCACACAGACTCGTCGTCATACCGATCGAAAGGCGAGTATACAAAATTGAATTCAAGACTTAACACGCAACCGTAGTTTTCGTCATTCAAGTTTCCCTCTGTTTTGTGCGATGCCCCTTTAGTTACTTTAGTCTCCATCCAACTTAGAAGACTGTTTTTCTTCGACCCATCGCTCTGTTACCATCACCGCCAGCACACAATCACCAAACCCCCCCACCCACACCCGCTCGTGGCTGATTTACGTCTACTACAGTCTGTACAGGAGCTCTTAATTGCTGCAGGCCCGCCCGATTGTTCTGCGAACTAAGCGTTGCTCATTAAGCTGTTCGAGAAAGTTTTCCGCCTTCCAACGGGTAAACTGACTTCCCGTTGTATTTGAACGTTAAACGCCGCTGTGTGTACCTTGGCGTTCAGGCAAGAAACCTGAGGGGGATGATGGCTGGCTAAAATAGACATTAAAGGATGCTCGGACGCGTTATGAAAGTGCCGTTCAATGACGCAACCGCGTAGCCGGGAGCAATTAAGTGGCTTCGTTGACGCGCTGATATTTTCGTACCCCTCGCGATGCATTACGCACCAGGCTTCGACGGGGACCTCGAGTTAACCTAAAAATAAAGAAAAAACAAACGTTCGACCGCGTCCCATGCGTGTGCACACGGGATCGACGAAGCTTGAACGCGCGTCCAAAAAATAAAAGATCGAACGAAGTTTGTCCTCGTTGTTCCAGTTATATACATTAACACATTCACTGTCTGTGACCCACATACAGATCACAGCGTGCGTGTCATAGAATACGGCGACCGGGAGGCTGGACAGTGAACGCGTTAACGAAGGAGAATAGATGCTTCCCGAGAACTCGACGCAATTTTATTCGAAACAGCAACGAATTCTGGATCTTGAGGAGATATTTGATCCGTAAATTATTGTTTAATTTCGATCGGTGGCGTAAAGCATCGCGTTGGTTTCCTGTTCAGACCAACCGAGCCACGATCGTCTGTCTGGGAATAAGCAGGCGCCTCCTCCCGCGTTAGTCCGGCGCGGTGAGGATCCGCTCCGTTAATAAATAATGTATCGCGGCGTCCGTCTTGCAAATATTTAACAGCGCGATCAAACAATCTAACGAGCGTTAACCTCGGTAACTGATTCGTCGGATCGCCTGTTTGCCCGATTATACGCGGGCCCCGCGAGCGATTTGCATAATTATGTCCGCTCGTCGCGGGGAGTAATGGCCGATAAATTCAACGGTGAGCGCGTGTACCGGTCGAGAGAGAACCGTTTCATTAATTGTACTCGGTGAGCGTTCCTACGGAGAATGAAGAAGAACACGGGAATTGCATAATCGCCGGACTAACGCTGTTATCGTTTCGGCGCATCGCTTAGGCTCGCGGATACGTTTCACCGCGAATCGTTCCTCGTTCTCCTTTTGCTATGCAAAAAGCAACAAAATGACGCCAATTTGCCACAGCTACGATCGCGAAAAATAAAAAAGAAAAAAGTTACTCTCTTTCAACGTGGCTGGCCGATACTACTCGCAGTCCGAAGACTATGCTGGGGGAAAATGAGGCCCGAGAATCTAATTCTCAAGTCGAGGGAAATAAATAATCAAATTTTCAAATGAAATACAGTTTTTTTAAGGTTCCAGAGTAGAATTCTCTTAAAGAGAAATAGAGAAAAATTGTTATTTCATACGTCGAAGGAACGGCTTATATTCGGTCTTTTTTAGATTTATTTTTCCGCGTTATACGGAAGCCTCGTCGCGCTTAATTATTTCCAGACGGCACGCCCTAAACGCGCGCTAAATAATTCAAATTATATAGTTGAAGTTTGAAGCGGATATCGTCACTGGTTCTTGAGATACAGAAAATTATGCAAATTAGCTCGAATAGAGTAACGATGGATCGTAACGTTAAATTTAATGGGGCCAACTTGGCGAACTTCGAGCCTAAGTAGAGGGAACGAACGACGAACCGAGTCGAATTGTATTTTCGAACAACGAATCCTAGATATTTCTTCAATTTTATTTTCGTATACTCAAGAGAGTATATACCATACGTTGAACAAACAATTTCTTACTTCGTTTCAAGGTGCGATCATCGAGTCTACGTATTTTTACAAACTTCCCCCAGCTCGCGACTCCTCGATAAATTCACGCTGAGATTCTAATCCAAAAATTGGTGTTGGCCACTCGTTGTCGACGGCTGCGAGAGTTTTGGCCAGCGTTTGGGTTTCGTTCGAACGCGCCAACGACTAATCATTTCTGGAACGATTGGTTAAACCACCGCCGCGTCGAATGCTCCCTTTTTCGCTATTAAATCGCCAGTCTCGATTGCGTTTCCCCGGACCGAAAGGGTTCATTAAACCGTATCGGTGCTGACGTAACCGTTCGAATTCGCATCGGTCGCGGAACGATTCATTACCAGGCGTGATTCAGCATCCCACCTGGACCTTATCTCCGTCTCGTGCACGGTCGCGCCAAACGCTGTTAAATTGTGTGAATTCGCGCGAATGTGTTCCCCGTCTACGATTCCCACCACGGGGGCGCACGCAAACGGTCCGAAATTGCTGGCCCGGCGATCCGGAATCGCAGTCTTGGTACGATCCCCGGCCCTTACGTCGAATTAAGGTCGATCGATTTGCATCGCGGCGCGACAATCGCGAGCTATCGATCCGTATTCGATGCGCCATCGGTGTTCACCCAAACCCCTCTCACACCCCCCTCGCCATTTCGTAACGATATTTCACCGATATCGGATCCGATGTTTCGCGTTTCTTCGAGAGGAGAATTCGAGACAGAAAAATGCAAAATTCAACTGTATATATTTACGAAAATTCCGCGCCAGCGAAACACCGGACCGATAGTTGCACAATCCCCCCGTACTCTGACCCAGTGACGGGCAAACTGTTTTAAAAATGGACCAAAAGAAAGAAATTTTGCCGTAATATCGATTCCTGTATAAATTCTAGCAACTATATTTGGCAACTATAATTTAGTTTGTCCGTCGCTGCCCCTACCCGAACATTCGAAACTCATCGTCATAAATATTCGATGTACACGCACGAAAGTCGAGGTTTGCCAAAATTGTTGAATCCGTCCCTTGTAGCAACCCGGGCCAGTCGGAGCCGTCTATGTACACCGAACTGCACCAGGACAACAGTCTGTCTCTGTTCTTCAAGCGTCTGCAAGAAGAGCAAGCCGGGAAGTACATGTGCAAGGCCACTTACGCCAATTCGATTTCTCTGAACAAGACCGTGACGATCGACACCATAGGTGAGCTGAAATTTATATTTTTAAATAAAGAATTATTTCGTTAATCGACCCTTAATGGGTACCATTCGAGTACCGTTTTGTTAGTTAAATTTTACTGTATTTAATTTTAGTAGTTCCCAATATTACAATAATATTATAATTACAGTGTGTGAATACACCAATAGTGTGACATTTAAGGGTTGAATCTGTTTCCATACACTTTTGTATTTTTCTAACGCGAAGGTGGTTATCCATCTTCGAAAGGGTTTTCTCATACAGCGAAACGTGGATGAAATTCCCTGCTGATATATCGTAAACACGAGAATCAGTCTGGTAACGAAATTAGTAGGATTCTCTGCGGAGAAAAGAGGAAGGGGGGGAACAGAAGTATGAAGAGTAATTACTGTTTCGCAGTTGCGATCACTTGGGACAACGCACCCACCAATCAATTCCCTATTCTGGGTGAGGACTTCCCTATTCAGTGCAAAGTGCGGGCAACGCCTTCGCCCTCCGTCGACTGGCTGTACAACGGTGAATTAATTAAGACGAACGAGCACTACATCATAGACACCTATGCCCTGAAGATCAAGAACGTCCAAGAATCTGACGACGGCATCTACACCTGTCGGGCTTCCGTGTTGACCACCGGTGAACTCAAAGAGCGACCTATCCGCGTCGAGGTTCGTATTTTATATTTAAAATTCTTCTTTTTTTTTAACTTCGCCAAGTTGGCGGAAACAAAGGCTCGAGTCGAGTTAGGATTTGTTCCCTTTCGATGATATCTCTACCAGTGGCTATTTTAAAGTCAAACCATCGTGGGAAATTAATTAATACCACCCTTGGGCCGTCCAGACATTAATTGGTACGAAACTGAAGGTACTCTTCTACGTTCCATCCGAGGCTTTGAATATTTAACAGGATAGTGTTGGAAAGTAATATGTTATTCTCGCTGACGCGTGTCGCGTCGGACGTACTCTGAATATTTTACGGACGGACCACGTTTATCAGACGTGTAATTTTATCACCGTATTACCCCGGCCATTATCACGATACTGGTCTTGCAATTATTCTCTACAATCGAATTAAAGAATATTAGTAACATCGTAAAATTGATAGTCTTATAATTTAGATTACTTTAACACTTCACTGACTGATAGAAGTTGAATCACAGACGAGGTATACGAGCAGATCTTATACCCTAGGAACTTTCATGACCCAATCTGGCTGCCATACCAACCTGAAAATCGAATTTTTAAGAAAAATTGACACGGGATAGGTGGACAAATTTTCCGACGAAATTAAAAAATTTCAAATCATTCTGAAAAAATTATTTTTAGTTGCAGGGGTTAATTATAATCATTTTCGGTCATTAGACATAGTCCCGAAATCCTATCCACTTTTGAGAAAAAAATTCGAGTAGATGTGAAATTCTTCGACAAAATTAAAAGTTATCGAGTCGTTGTAAAAAAAATATTTTTGGTTGCAGGGGTCAATTACAATCATTTTCGGTCATTAGACATAGTCCCGAAATCCTATCCACTTTCGAGAAAAAAATTCGAGTATATGTGAAATTCTTTGACAAAATTAAAAGTTTTCGAGTCGTTGTAAAAAAATTATTTTTAGTTGCACGGGTCAATTATAATCATTTTCGGTCATTAGACATAGTCCCAAAATCCTATCCACTTTCGAGAAAAAAATTCGAGCAGATGTGAAATTTTTCGACAAAATTAAAAATTTTCAAGTCGTTCTAAAAAAAATATTTTTGGTTGCAGAGATCAATTACAATCTTTTTTGGTGAATACATATACCCACGAAATCGTACGCACTTTCGAGAAAAAAATTTCTTACCTAAAATATAATGTCTGACCAAGAATGGTGATTCCCCTGAAATTTAATTCGTATGTTTAAAACGTCATAACTCCTGGACGGATTGGAGGATTTTAATGTTTCAAAATGCAAACTACGCATGTTTTAGTGAACAATATTTAGAAATTCTATGAACGTTCAAAAAGTTGTTCCTTAATAGGCTGCCGATCGTTAAGCTACCGGTCGATAAAGTGTCAAGCGGAGACAAAATAATCCAATCAGCCGTTTCGTCCGCGCGATTAGCGCAGATCCTCCGCAGTCTCGGCCGCAGATTTGTGTACCAATTATTCCCGGGTATTCCCGGGGCTCGCGTGACCACAGGCATCAGAACACGGTTTGCGTTTCATTTAACAGGTCCACGTGCGGCCGACCATCGAGGAGCAGCCCGGCACCGTAAACATAATCGAAGGGGAAGACGCGAGTGTACGGTGCATAGCTCGGGGCAAACCGCCGCCACAGTTCACCTGGGTGAAATCCCTGACGAAACAGAATCTGTCCAACACGGATCGCTTCGGGGTGGACGCGGACACGGGGGTGCTGACGATCACCAACGTGAACAGGAACGACGCGGGGGAGTACGAGTGCAGGGCGACGAACGCGGCCGGCTACGCGGACACGAACATCCGCGTGAACGTGATAGTGAAGCCGAAGATCATGGAGTTCTTGAACTCGTCGGTGGTGCAGGACCACCAGGCGTACATCATCTGCAAAGCGTTCGGTCGTCCGCCGCCCCAGGTCACCTTCAGGAAGCACACGTCGGAGAAAGAGTACGCCGAGGGCGTGCAGCTGGACGACGACAGGATAACGCTGACGAACGCCGCCGACGACATGAACGGCGAGACCGTGGGCACCCTGACGATACAGGAGGCCCTCAGGTCGGACGACGGCCTCTACGAGTGCGTATCTAAGAACGCAGGTGGCGAGGCACGCAGAAACGGCCACCTCACCGTCGAGTTCCCACCGTCGTTCGCCTCGATGCCCAACAAGACGTTCTTCTCCTGGGAGGAGAAGCCGGTGAACATCAGCTGCATCGCCGAGAGCATACCGAACGCAACTATACACTGGACCATGCACGGCGACCAGAAGATCGACAACGACCCGATGATCAAGCAAGTGGGCAACGGACCGCTGTCCACGCTCACGATCGTGCCACGCGACAGACGATACTACGCCACCTACAAGTGCGTCGCCACCAACATTCACGGCAAACGGGAGCGCAACATCGAGCTCAGGGAGGGCTTCAGACCCAAGGAGGTGGCGCAGGCGAAGATGGCCGAGATCACCGCCACGACGATCAGGTTCGATCTTGCGCCGCCACCCACCGATCCCGAGCTCCCCGTAAGAACCATCGCCGTACAGTACAAGCTGGACAGGCAGACCTGGACGGAGGCTAAGAACAAGACCTGGTCTGTTGGTGAGTACCTGGGATTTAACGATTTTTTGCGACATACTCTGTATGTAGTAAGCAGGAACGCTTGCGAGAGTAGGTGACGCCTTACTAATCATTAGCGTCCAAAATATTTATTGTACCCCCACAATCAGAGATATTTAGGTGGATCATGTCCTGTACAGTGATATAATAACCAACGAAATTTGCTTGCGAAGGTTCGCTGTACGTGTTGGAGGGCCTCGAACCGAACACTCCGTACGAGTTTCGGTTCGCCGCGAGGAACGAGGTGGGTCAGGGCAACTGGGGCGCGTTGTACAGCGAGACAACACCCGGAAGGTCGTTCCCGAACGAGCCGAAAATAGTAACGTCACCCGCCGAGTACGAGCAGTCGATGTTCGGCCACCAATACGAGATCATGTGGGTGGTGCCAGCGGACAACGGTATGCCGATCGACATGTACCAGATCAAGTACTGTCAAATAAAACGCGTGTCCGGCGAGTGGGAGACGCAGGAGAACACGTGTCGAATGGTGGAGATCAGGACGCAGGAGAGGACGAGGCACTGGTTGAAGGACTTGAACTCCGACACGTTCTACAAAGTGGAACTGAAGGCCCACAACGCGATAGGTTTCAGTAAACCCGGCTCGGCGAAGTTTAAGACGGCAAGGGGTAAGTGTCCATGAATTTCTATCACGCACGTGGCAGACGTGCACACGGTTATTCATTCGCCGTTATTTTTCTCATCCGAACGACACATTCTCGTCGACGTTAGTGCCCTTTTTCAAGTCATGATACTCTTTCAAACATTTATTATATGTGCACGAGGCTATTGCACCGATTGATATTGTTTCTTTTCTTATTTTTTTTTTTTTATTTTTTTTTTTTATTTGTATTATTTTTTACTCGACGAGTAAGACCGTTTGATTACTTCGCCTCTGTTTTTGTTCACTCAAGGAGGAGGGAAAAGGGTCATTGAGGTATTCGGTCGCGCGTTTCGCGTGGCGGCAGATCCCCAATCCTGTCGTCGTTGATTCGTATTCCGGACAAGTTTGCTCAAGGTCGTTGACAATCCCCAATCCGTCGCGTTTGAGCGACAGTGTACGCGAATACGCATGATTTCGATAGTACGATCGTGACACGTCGTTAATAGTAGCTTTACTAACTTTAGCGGAGATGCAAGATTATGGGAAGTTCAATGTTAGTTCCTCACGCACGACCCCCTCACTTTTCTAGCCTAGAGTTATAATTAGAGATAGAGTACGTGTCTGCAAGTTTGTGATTTCTGTCTTTCAAATACAGCGACGGCAGGGAGAGAGACTCCGCGATCTTGAGCTGAAGAATGTTTCACGCTCCTCGTCCAAACTGTCTTTACTTTTTACCCTAACCATGCTCCCTTCGACCCTTCAAAGCCGCCGAAACGATACCGACTTCCACGTCACTCGGTGAACGACATTAACGCAGCATCGAATTGTCGATGAATCCTCGGCACGGACGAGGCTGGTTCTTTCAGGACCCACGCTTGCAACATTCTCATTCGATACGTTATAGTCAACGTAGGTCATACCAAAGTTTCATATACACTCATATACACTTCCAAACAGTTGAATAAAAATAGAATAATATTACTATTTGGTAGAGATTATACGTGAAATTTCAACCGTGTCGCAAGAGACCCAGCCTCAGCCGTCCGCTGGTTAAGAGTCCTCAGTCCCCTTGACCCTTGTAGAGAAAAGCAATTTAGATGAACAGTCCGTTAGCCAACTCGGTGGGCATCTTTAGGCATTAGATATTCTACCCCTCAAAACATGTTCAAACCACAAAACGATCCTTTCTACAAGTCACTTTTTATCATTCAGAATCTACGGGCCTCAATGTGGACTACAATATAGATACTTCCGCTGGAGGTACTCCCAAGCTCGCCGTGACCGCCATTGCTACAGCAATAACGATTCTATTCCTAGCCATTTAAAAGCAAAAAAAAAGCAAAAGAAAAGAAAAAACGCAAAAAATAAAATAAAACGAACGAACAATTTATTTGTCATCGTCAGAAACCGGTCGCTGTTCACGCTCTAATCTTTCCGTTTAGTGTACACGTTTTAGAAGTGGTATTATGCGAATCGTAATATTTACGGGGGAGTACGCCAGAGACACACACAACCACGATGGACGAAAACGAATCTTCGTGTGTGTACGGTTACACGTGTTCCGTCGAGTTTTTCTCTCTCGATTTTTTCTATCTCTCTTCGATAAATCGTACGCGATTGTAAAGGCGAGTAGATGGCGCTCGCTTCTAGACCGGTGCACAACACATTCCGAGAGGTGGTGAGAACGTAGAGGTTTAAGTGGGTTCGTGTAACTAGTGAGAAAGAGAAGAGAGACGAGAACGCGTGAACGATGTTGTATTTATAAAAAAAAATGGTACCTTGTTGAGAACTGCTCACCGTTAGCAAACGTACTGGTACGTTTTTTGTTTCTTCTTCTCTTTTTTTTTTTTTTCTCTTTACTTTCTTTTGTATTCACGACTTCCTGGTGGTTCTTTCGATGATTCGCGCGCGGCTGGCGACCAGCGTTCTTCGCAGCGGAAGACGACGATCGCAGCGAGGCGTGATAAGGAACAACGAAACGCCAGTATCGAACAATTCTTTCTGTCTGTCATTTTTTTTTTTCTTTTTTTTTTACATCGTCGATTCGTCGCGTTCGATCGCGCGGACGTAATTTTCGGACCTGCCGTTGTCGCGAACGAGCCTCCATTTTCTTTCCCTTTTCGGATCCACCGGTGCGCGCCTCGGCGACGAAACACGTTCTCTTTCCGTTTTGTATAATAATGTGCTTCCATTCGAGGAGTTCGTCGCCGTATGAATCATCGTCGTCGACGGACGAGAAGATCGCGCGGACAGAGTCAACGGGGAAAATTCTGTTTCGCCCCACCGGGATAACTCGTCACGCTATCCGTGACGTTTATTCGGGCGAGCGGTTCAATTTGTGTTCGTTTGTCGCGAAACGTTTCGAACGAAACGGATGACATTTTTATTTTCGTTTGACAACGAACGGTTTGCCTTTCGTTCGTTCGGAAATTTTTACGTGGATATGAATTTTGTCTCTGTCCGAGGGGTGCGTTTGGTTCGAACGAAACGACTGTGAAAATAATAAGTCTACGTTCGAATAAATAATGCAATTGGAAAATAACAAACGAAACTGTTACGTCTTTTGATTCGTACAAAATTAGTGTAGTCGATGACTTAATTTTCTTATCTTTACTTTAAATAAAATTTCACGGTTTGAATCGTATTCTGAACCCTTTTGCACCCTTCTGAAGCATTATTCTCGGCTACCGACGACGAGTTTCGCGACGAGTCCGCGCACTGCGGATCTATTTTAGCGTACAGTGAGAGGCTTCGCGGGCCTAATACTTACTGCCTTAAATTTGCCAAATGCGTAGTGTTAGAAACGAGGAGGGAAGTCGTCGACTCATCGACGATAAGGGTCGAACGCAAGAAACGAGGTCCACGGACCGATATCGTGTAACGATCGAGCCCCGTGGGGGGAAGGGGAAGGGGGGGTGCTGGAGTTATTTTCCGACTTCGCGCCACGTTGGCAAAGTACAAATATTTTTGGAGGGAAATTTTCTCGCGGTCCGATTTGTCGCGACGACGGGGAACAGCGCGTGTCCAGAGGAAATTATCTCCTTAAACGGGCGAATAATTTTGTCGAACGTCCCATCCAATTGCCCTAAAGCGACAAGAAATCTTCTAAATTTTATTTTGGTGAATTTTTCTTCAGCCCTGAAAATATGTATAAATCTGTTATTCCTTTAAAAAAGTAATAAGTGACTCTATTAAATGATAATAAAATTTAAAAGATGTCCAAAGTCCTGTAGTGTCATGGATGAACGTTTAAAGAAATTAGGTGCTCGTCTATGGGAAGAGATTTTCAAAAATCTACCCTGCTTTGTCAGTTGGACGAACCCTTGTGACGTTTTCCCAGTCGACAGCGTCGCGAACACCCCGGATAAAATCCGTTTTCGTCCGAGCTGGATAACCCTGGAGCCCGTCGCCATTTTCGTGGGTTTTGCAGCGATTTTCGTTTTCTATCGGGCGCGAGTCGACGTTCGCGGACGCGTCGTATAGAGCCAAAGAACCGCAGATACTTAAATCACGCTTCTCGCGTTCGAGGATAATTGTCCGTGACACGATTAGAATCCGAGAGGTCGTCGAGACCTCGGAGAAGAGCATATATTACGTATATATCCGCACGAACGGGGGGAGCACGCCGATTTAACCATAAATAGATTACGCATCAATTAGTTTTTAGTCTTATCTTTTGTTTATTTTGGGTTCATTTCAGCCGATTGCATACGATTTTTTCTCTCCTCTTGCGTATTTTTTGTGCGTTCTGTTATTTTTTTTCTTTTTTTTTTTTTTTTTATTTCTTCGTTCTCTGGGGTTTTAAAACTTTTACTACTGAGTCGTCGGTTAGTCCTGCTTGATTAGCTCTTGGACCATACGTGTTTAGTGCGCATGATGTGTGTTATGATTACGATTATTATTATTACCATTATTATTACTATTATTAATTAATGTTACGATTATTTTTACCGTTACGGTTACGATTATTATGTTATTACGGCGTACTGGCAGGGATGGGCGAACGGTGTTTCGACAGACTCGAACGACGAACACCTCGCTATTGAGATCCTTAGAATATTTGTTAAATATTCTATAAAGCGTACCAAACAATTTTACCGTGTAAAATTGAATTTTACAAGAATTTCCCCCCAAAACACCAATCTCTATCGTCACGGAATACAATATGGCGGCTTGTTCGTCGTTCGTTCCAAGTCCCGAATGCATACAGTTACTCTCACTCGTGATCGTATTGTATAATGGTGATTCACTATAAATGAAAAAAAGCTTGTTTCTTGTAAATCGAACACGATGAAAAGTTTAAGGGTTTATGTACGGATAAATTATAAATAAAACTTGTCGATGGTCGAAGCATGTTGGAAGCACAGACTGTCGTTCGATTACAGAGGTGCAGCTGCATTGGGCGGCGTGTGAAAAAATCACGTTTATTAATATTACTATACCTTTCTAGTACTATACATTAATATTAAAAAAAGAAAAAAACACAGTGTAATACAAAAATATTTATAAAATTCCCTAAGAAACAAGTTTCCTTTCACGTATAGTGCATATCACCGAGTGTACGAATACGAGATTCCAGGAGTAAATCGTGTACATTCGATTAAAAAATAGGTGCTCGTCCCTGCGTACATGGCTGCTACCGTCTACTATAATTATTATTATTATTACTAACGTCACTGATATTATATCTTGAATCGATTACTGATCACCTATTGTACATCGTATCGTCATTACCATTAGTATTATCGGTATCCGTCGCGAGTGTCGGTGATTTTCGTTTGGAGAACCGACGAACAAAGGTGCTCCGTACGAGACCGGGGGCGCCAAGGATTCGGGAACGTCGGACGATTCCGTCGCGTTGAAAATAAAAAATGAAAAAAAATGGCCACTCCGATCGACCCGCGAAAAGTTGTAATTTCGTAACGAACGCGCGACGGGGCCGTCGAACTTTTCGATCCGTGACGTTTTCACTCACTTGCCTGGGTTCTTAGATGTTAGATTATTATCGCATGGCATGCGCTTGTATCGTTTCAATTATTTGTTTCTTTCCTTCCCCGCCCCCCCCCCTCCACCCTTTCTCGCTCCCTTCTTTTCGCGATCCAATCAGCGCCGTACGACCAGCGTTTACGTTGGACGAGACTTCTTCATTCCATCGAACGTACCTTTGTATACCCCGTACCGAAAGGGATTATCGTGATCGGTTAAATGTGTATGGTTGTAAACGTATCCGAGTCCGAGTGTGTTTTTTAGGTGTAGCGCGAACTGTAAGTTCGACGAGGCTGCGCGAGTGTTCGAGAAACGACCATCTTCGGGGCGTCGAGAAATTTCGCGGCGAAAGTTCGGAGTCCGGAAATACTTTGGATTTCTTTCCAATTTAATGTCTCGCTGAAACGACCTAGGATTCGTTAGGGTTGTCGATTATTTTCTTAAGAGTTTCGAAGCTTAAAAATTGACCTCGGTTGTATTTCTAATTAAAAAAACTCGAATGATCTTGAGAATCTTGGGAATCTTGGGAAACGTCGCTTTATTGTGATAGCTGGATAATCAAAGGCTCCACAGTCATTTCCGTCGAATCAAAATTGCTGGTAAAATATAGCAGACATTAGGGTAAAAAGTATTCTCCGTTTCATATTTTAAATAGAAACATCGTTGGGTGATGTTTAAAATGAAAGTAAAACTGAAATCAAAAAATAAACACGAGACCAAGGTACGAAAGAAACACAGATTGCGCCGAACCAGAGTACTTTTGTTCGACCCAGTTGCCGAGCAAAGCGTTTCTATCGCAGAACTAATTTCGCGATTAAAATTCAATGTTAAATTTCGTTCCCGTTCCACTGCAGGATGTCGAGAAGTTCCGGGAGGGAACCATATCCATGAAACGAGCCGTTTTCTCGGGCGAAAGATGGCCAAAGTTTTGGTACGATTAGATTGCACGGAGGTTTCTTTCAGAGGTGGTTTCTCTATTTTGTCTTTCTGACGCAAAGCTGCAGCTGTTGGCGGACATGGCCGACACAGAGTAACGCGAAACAAAGTGGCGAAAGCACTCGGGGCTCCCAGAAGCAATTCAATTGGCCGGAACTTTGACAATCTCGGTGAGAAAACTATTTGTTCGAGGCGTACGGTTTCCTTTGAACGCTTTGTCCTTTCTATCGCGGTGATTTTTAACACCAGATTCACGGATACTCGTTTACAGTTGCATTAAAATACAGTTTTTCGACGTAAATTGCCAACAAATGTAATATAATTGCCATCGAAGTATTCAGCGTCACTCTGGTATCGAATGGAGGGAAAACATCAGGTTTATTTAAATCAGCGCCATTAAGAGGTTCGTCAGACTCGTAACGATGGGGGATGTGTACTCGTAATCGTAAAAGTCGCGATATATTGCATCGGTGTACTCTATAAGAGTGACCCGTGAGAATGAACAGCTTTCAAGTTGTCGCGTGTTGAACGCTCGTCCAGTCTCGCGTTTTAGATTCATGTAAACGAACCGGACAGTTATGTCTCATGTATACTGACACGGCCTAGTGGATAAAGACCCAAACGTAGTACGGCTTTGTCGTTCGACGATCGATAAACGTTTCGTTCGCGACGACCGAGAGATGCGTGTTACGTGTGTATTATAGAAATCAGTAAGCCAAGGAATCTCATAAATGTTGTTCAGAATCGAAAGTAGATGATAACGAAGAGCCTCCACTGTGCGATCGTCGAGTTCAAAATGTCCACGGACAACGTACGATAGCTCTTGGCATTAGGATAACGCAACGTTTCGTTTGTAACGATTGAGAAATAAATATTTATTGGAAAATGGCTCGGGGGAACGTTTTCTATTCGTGACTGTTCACGACTCTGTAAATAATCGCGCGCTGCACACCGGGGAGGAACAGCGGCGGCCATCTTTGCTCGACCAAGTCTTCGTTTTTGTCGAAAATTCATCGTGCACCCGCGATCTCTCGCTCGAAGACTTCTGAATTTATGAAGATCATTGTTTGTTCAAATTTTCGGAGGGTTCGACTCGAAATGTTAAACACTTGTTCCTCAGGATTTAAAAATTGCAAAAGAACGTCTGCTTTTCGGGGGGTTGTGACAATTTACATTTATTTTTCCAGTCGAATCGCGAGTAACTTTGCTCGAAGAAGTCGACCCTTAGATTCTGCCTCGATGTCGTGCTTTCCGCCTCCCGTAAAGCGGGGTACGAGCTTCCGGTGAGCGTCGTAGGGTGCACGGTGACGGCGAGGGCGGGGGAGAGAGGGGCATTTCCTTGGATCGCGGCCGAAAAGCGCGGCGACGAGACAATAGCCTCTGAAGAGAGAACGAGCCTCGGGGAAACGTCGCGCGAAATCGTTCCTGTCCACGCGGAACCCTTTTCTTTCTCCTATCGATCTCTCGCGAAGCCCGTTCGAACGAGAACCGGACGAAGGAGGGGGCGTTGGAAACACGTCCGTCGGAGCCCTCTTAATTTGGAACTCCCGTCAGAATGGGGATTCGATTCGACCGTGTCCTAATACAATTTCGTCCAAGTTAAATCGCTTTGGGATGAGAATCGACGCCCCGGGATCGCCCCGACCGCGAGATCTCTCCATTTTTTACACCCCTTATCCTCCGTGTTTCACGAGAAATCGACCGCGAGAGAGGATTTTGCCAGAGACGCTGGGATCGCTATAACTCGGAGCGCGAGAGAATGGACCTGGAAGGAATGCGGCTATATTAACCTGAAGATTAGTGTCTGGGGTTGAATTATACTATTTAACACTTTCACTGCTACTCATTTACCACTACGATACTAGAAAAATTCATTCTCAAGTTAAGATGTTGGGGGAAATAAATTTGGATTCGTGAATTTTGAACAAGGTTACAAAGTGCTGAAACAAATTTTAGGTTATGCAGCTTACAATGGTCTGAAATAAAGATTTTACTTTCGCAAAATATTATACTGTTTTGACCATATATGGGTGACAGGATTTACCACTATGACACTAGAAAAATTCATGCTAAAAATAAGTATTGAAACAAATTTTGCAAAATATTATACTGTTTTGATCTGGCAGTGAACGTGTCGAATATATGTTCGTGGCAATTTGATAATAGTTTTATACCTTGATTGTCGTTTTATGCTAAAAATTTAAATTTCTATGTGGTGTTAAACAGTAACTCTCGACTGATCAGTTATCGTTCGAACGTCCATGATAATAAAATATTCGTGGGAATAGTCGCATCCAGGGTCTCGAATGTCCCGAGAACGGATTCGTAACAAATCCCTAGGGATGGTAAATTCCCGAAACAGCGGGGTGTCATGTTTGTTTTGCTCCGTGCATTTGCTTTTCCGAGCCTCCGGGGCGCATCGGTCCGGGAAGGTCGAGTCTCTCACGGATAGAAGGCAGATTTCGAGATTAATCGGTGAAACTACGGGATAATGGTTGGCCTCTAACGCAATTAAAACTCTCGAGGCTGGTGTCCCGTCGTCGTCGACGGAACTTATAATAGCGAGGCTCCGCGTGGCGCCATTGCCGTCTCTCTCTATCCCGGTCTCCTTCGCGTGGATGCAATTTTGCAAGTTAAAACGAAGTCTGCCTCGAAACTGCATCGGTCGGGAGAGATCAGGAACCGGCGTCGACGAGATAATTCCGACGAGGATGCAAATGAGCTGTTGAAGAGACGCGCTACTGTGCTATTAGCTCGCCTCCGAAGAATGTTGGATGAAAGCGTTCGGTACAGTTCGGTACAGCGTCTCTACGATACTCTCAGAAGGGAATAGAAATACCACTCGAGCAACCGTTACGAAATAATTAGCAGAATAATTTTTCTTAACTCTCCGCGCTCCGTGAAAATGGAAAACAAAGCGTTTTATCGACGAAAAATTCTCGCTGCACCGGTACTGTTTATTTTTCCGTTTAATCTTCTTCGCTTTATCGAGCCATTTTTGTTCAATAACCACGAGAAAACGACGCTTGATCGACGTCGAAGACGCTGCTGGCCCGTTCCAGGAACTCGCTTCGTTCCTAAACGGAGTTATAAATAAAAGACGCCGGTTGAAACGAACAGAACGAGAGAGAGAATGACACGCGGAGGGATGGAGCGAGCCGAGAAAGCACGCAGAGTTCGCGTTATGAAGTGCAGTGTGCAATGTCGAGGACCGTGAATCTATTTTCGAGGGTGGAAAGGAGGGGTACGGCGGTATTCGCGAGTTTTCGAGCCCGTGGTCGAGGCGCGATAACGCAATAGTTTCTGTGGCCTTCCTGGATCCTTCGCAGAGACGTCAAAACTATCGTCGAATCGGTCGTTTAATCCTCAAGTGGACTCTCAACCTCGACAGAATTATTTTACTTAATATTGACTTTTAAAAAATAACGAATTAATAGGGAATTACAACAATTTTCAAATAATTACATTAAACTTTTAGTTGCCCCCAATGATCCACTTGAGGGTTAATAGTACATTTTCGACCAAGCTTCAATATCGGTTTGCATTTCAACGCATTGTCCTGGAATTTATTTACACAGTCTCGTTAAAAGTCCACCGACCGCGAAATTTAAAGGATCAAAGAGCAGAACACGGTGCTGGTTGATAACAAAATTCTATTCGACGATCGCAAACCATTTTCATCCTTTCGATCGGGAACGTTGACTTTGACATCCGAACAGGATTACAGGAATACCTGTTATTTCTGTAAAGGTTTAACGGGACGAGCCTTTTGTCAGTCTGAAAAATTATTTTCCGCGGTCCATTCGCTTTTTACCATCGTCGGTCGAAAATAGAGGACTCCCGGGCGAACGGTAAAAATGACGGAATTAAAAAGCGGGCACGAAACGGCTCCGAGCATTAACGGGGCGAAGCTACATTTTTCCAACTAGTTATTCTCGCTAAAAGCCAAGAGAACTACTTTCTCTCTCTCTCTCTCTCTCTCCTCTGTCCGTTCTACAATTACAACGGTACAATTCTCTGACGCGCGTAGAATCGTTCCTTAACATTCGTTACCGTCCGCAGGTCGTTTCCATTTTCACGTCGCTATTTTTCTTTTTCCCCCCCACCACCCTCTCTTCTCGTTCGTTCCCTCCGTTTTCGTCGACGATGTTAACGTTCTCTTTTTCTCCTCCCCTCTCTGCAACGTTTCGCGTTGGATAATGTTCTCATCGTTCGACGGTCCCTGGAAAATGCGTCGTCCGTTCGCGTAATAGTAAAAGAAACAACCGAGTCACGATCCTGTGCCGATCGAGGACACTCTTTTCTTCATTTCTCTTCTCTCTTCATTGGCGGCGAGTAACGATCGCGTTTTCTTCTTTTTTTTTCTTCGACGTGCAGCGTATCGCCTCCCTTCTCGCGATCAATCGAAAGTCGCCAGGCGGGGGAGGATCGTTGCATGTATCCGTGACGCGTATCGACGCAAGAAGCGAGACAGTCGACGGACTCGAGTTGAAGAAAGCGAACTTACGCGTTGGTTTCGCGAACAGAGAATTTTTAGTTTCGTTCACGAGCGAATCTAAAGTTGTTAACTTCGCGAGTAAGCCCAGAAAGAAAGATAAACAATTACGCGCGTTTTCACGGGGATATGTTCGAAGTCGTTCGCATATTCGACTAACACTTATGTATACAATATACACGTATATGTACAAACGTATATATATATATATAAATATATAAATATAGAGGGAGAGATAACATTTACACGCGTGCAAGGATTCATGTGCTAGCCTTAGTGCCTAATATTCGTATTTATGACGTGGGTGTGAACGTAACGTTCCCCCCGTGGAACACTTATTGTAAATATGAGTATGGAAATATATATGTGAGTGTTTAAGGAATACCAGACCAATGAATCCGCCGATGGAGAAGCCACCGTCAAATTGTAGCCGCCACGACGAGAATCGCGCGATTATCAAATGGCCCGCGACCAGAGATGATCCCCGCTCCGACCGGAATTACACGCGCCCGTCGTTTAACACGGATCGTTAATTGTTGCCGACTTAACCCCTTCGCGCGTTAAATTCACGGGGACGATCGAATTTCGTACCGACGTCAAATTGGGAAACTGGGATTATATTGTAATTGGTAGTTCCATAGAATTGCAATTTTCTGCGGTTCGCGAGTACATATCGTACCGATCAGGGAACTCTGCAGCCAGAAATTGGGTGGAAATGAGAGATAAAGAATTTGTTCGTCAAATGAAAATGTCAGTGTTCGAATAACGATATATAATTGTACGATGGAACGAATGTTTTATTGTTCATCCGTTGCTCGAACAAAATGGCCACCTACGCGTGCAACGATGCCACCAGAGACATAGATTCCTGCTCGAAATCTTCGCGTTTATTTATAACGAAATCGAAGCGATTTGAGGTGGTTTCTTTCTCGGCCGTCTTGTTCATTTTCCGCTCACCTTAACAAAAAAGAAAAAAAAAACGAAACACTCGACGAGATAGCCACATGGTCCAAAAGAAAACGGTAAATATGCTCAGCACATCAGAAGAGAACGTCCGGTGTAATGTGTATCATACAATCTGCTAAGTATATCGTAGTAGTCCCTGTTGACTTAAAGCAAAAGAGCGACCGAGCGAGCGAGCGAAAGAGAGTGAGAGAGAGAGAGAGAGAAAGAGAGCAAGTAAGAAGCAATCAGTGGAAAGGCTTTCTGTGTGGAGGTAGCACATTTAGATTAGCGATGCGTAGAAACTAACAAACGGGAGAGAAAGGTAGCGAATGAGCTTTCTTCCCCCTTCCTTGAGCTTCTCGGCACCCTTCTCTGCGTTCGCCAGAAGAAGGAAGCTTCTCTGTCGCTTTTGTACGCCATACGTTTCGCGCTTGGTACTCTTGCACCACTTTGTTCCTCTTTTTTTTTCTATTTTTTTTTCTCCTTTTTGTTCCTTTAGTTGTTTTTTTTAACACGCTTCTTTTTACTGCTTCTTCGATGACGATAGCTTCTTCTTCTTTTTTTTTTTTTTGTTTCTTGTTTGTTTGATCCGTATACTCGTTGGCTTTGGTTTTGGTTCCTTACGTGTCTACGCTTCGATGAAAACGGATTTTTGGCACATCCCCAGAACCCCCCGCCGATCTTGTTTCTTTTCAGGAGACTAAAATTAATCGTCCGCGTAACGTGTTTGGTGATGCTGGATACCCCGTGTTCGATCTCGTTAATACCGGTCCGCGTAATTGTCGGAGATGTGCGGGTGCTCATAAATAACCAATTGGCTCCTCAGGGCCCACCCCTAACCATTCTATATATCTTGATTTTCAACCAGTATTTTCCAAATTAGAGGAAGCCTTACCAGAAGAATAAAAGTTTCCTTTTATTAATGCATTGTTCATAAAAATTCAACTATAAGATAAACTTTGATTCAAAATTATATGCTTGGAATAGAAAATATAATAAATACAATGCATATACTAGCGTGAAAATTTTTACGATCCACTGTTTTTGAAGTAACTTATTATATATAGCCTATCAAAATCGTGGAATTTAATTTTGATTACATTTTTGTATCTCTGATTTGTTAAAAATCTTTGGAAATCACTGGTTTGAGCAAACTGCAGACATATTACATCTCCGTTGTCCGAGAAGCAATCAGACCGTAAAATTATAAGTACAGTGACAATGACAAATTAGTTATTATTATAATACATGTAACTAACGATTATTAATTTTCAGCATTATTAATATTAAAATAGTATGCTATTTTTCACGAATTTCTGCGAACGAGAGTCAAAGCTCTCGACGAAAGTAGCTAAACTTTTCAAGTACCCGCACACCTTCTGGTAATTGCGTTCGAAAATCGTGATTTCTGCCAATGGAAATAATTTTTAAAAACCTACCAGTACGTTTCCACTTTTGTTCGTTACCACGGAATCGTCTGTAAAGGTCCGTTCGTGCAACAACCATGATCCCCTTTATCATCACCAAACATTGTTAAGTACTGCTTTTGCACTAACGGATTGCAAGAAATATTGTACATTCACGTCGCGATACTTAGATCTGATACGCTGTTCTTGTCCTTCAAGCTATAGACACCACCGTGGTTCACCATCAAGGGCCCCTGATATCCAGCGCAGCCATAATCGGTATCGTGATCGCGGTACTGATCATTTTCATTATTGTGATCGACGTGATCTGCTGTTGCGCCCATAAAACAGGTGAGAAACCATTTTAATTGGTGTGGATTTGATAAGTACTCGTTCTTAGGTACAGTTACATCGAGTTAAACGATAATATAAATAATAAAAATAAGTTTCTCAATATTTTCAGAATTTTGTTAGGAGGAAGTTAATTTCTGTTGTGAAATTCTGTTCTGAAGTGAAATTTCTGTTGCAGGAATTATATATTACGTCTGCGAACGATCCCGCCGGAAACCAGTTGACGAAGAAGACGCGAAGTTGGGCAGGTGAGACTCATTTCGATCGAATTCGTTGATCACACCAACACACACGAAACACCCTTTCGATCTTTAGACAATTTATTCGACTTTCCTATATACGTTACATCTATTTTACATTTGTGCTTTGGCAAGTCTGGCTCTACATTACCGTGTCATCGAACCTCTCACCCCCCATCGTCGAACTTCAAATCGTTGGTCTCTATCTTTCTGCTTCCCCGCCGTGAAAAAAATATTGGAGGTTTACCGCGACTAACAACGCGAATTAGTTTAGAACGCGAGAATCTGGTAAACTCCAATTACCTTTATTAATTTTCGACCTGTTAACGTTTACGAACGATACGGTTTACGGTCGAATACACACACAATACCTTACGCCATAACGTTTGTAATTAACCCATTAACACGAGTAATTGCGCGTGGAAGCCGGGAGTAACGTAGTTGTGAAATTAAAGGGACGGTTAATGATTTAATAGAGACTTCAACAATGTTGCTTGATCAAATTGCTACCGAAAACTTTCTATGAACCGTATCCAATTTGTAATAGAAACAGAACTCTGTGCACCGTGAATAGAAAACTACAAAACGCAAGTACTCAAAGAAGCATTATGTAATGCGAGTTTAATGGAAGCTCGATATAAACCGGTCAACGTATAAAAGAAGTAACACGTGGGTTAAACTTGTGTTCAGCCGGTTAGAATCTTAGCCCGCCATTAGGAGACACTTCTGACCCTCTCGCATCTTTCTCTTTTTTTTTCTTTACCGGTAGTCTTTACGGTTGGCGGTTTCCATTGCCGTATTGCGACCAAAAAATGGCCAATGTCGCCGGGGTCACGGCCATCCAAGACTCGGGTAGTGGAAAAAATACCATTAGATTGGTCAAACACACTGCCATGTAAGAGAGATACATAAGTGAAATCAGTAAGACGCATGGCCCCTCACGCGGGGGCTCTGACACGGCTTTCTACTAGGCATGATATTTTTTAATTTAATGCTCCGTCGACTGTCTCCCCCTCCCCCCCTCTTTCTTCGTTTTCATTTCTGTTCTTTTTCCCGGCTCCCTCGAACGTACTGGAATGTCGAACGCGCACACTCGTGGACACGATGGCGTCCATGGGGATGAAACGGACGCGGGACCCAGTCGATAAAACAGGATTCGAGCATGAATTCTCTTTCTGCCTGTTGATTTTTACTCACTTTTAACCCATTCCATTCGTTTTACATTCCTTCTTTCGGTTTTACGCATCCTGTTTCCGCCGCCAACCACTTTTCGTACAGAGAGCACGTTGTACGGGTTCGTGCAACGAACGTCACCATCTTATTAAGTTTCATTTAGTGCTTATTTGTTTCTCTCTGTCTACTTCTCATCACTCTTCACGCGCTCTGCATAAAACTGTCGCCATTATTCTCGCCCGTGCTTTGGCTATGCTGCATGAGATATCAACACTCTGAAGTGATATTAATTGCTCGTTAACTACGTAGCACACCCACCATCACGCTCTAATTTACCCTGCTCCATTCGGCCGTGGATCATGGACGTAGGTGATTCAGTCTCGTTACGGCGCGAAAGTACGGGTAGACGCTGAACACCGAAATTAATTTTGATTCATGCGTCTCTACGATTTTAACACTTTATCCGCCTTTCCATAGATTATCTTAAAAAGCTGCGGGAAGTATTGCGTACAACGGATTGCGAAAGTATGTTGGCACGCCAGAGATCTCAATTGTTTCACGAAATCCATACTATTATCTATAATTTAAAAGCTTACGTTCGAGTCCAAGTCCTTTTATAAACGTGCTCGATTTCACGAAATAATTGATAATTGGTGGAATGACTTTAGAAACGCCAGGTTCCACCAATTGGTAGTCGTCAATGTCGCTGTATGAACGAATACTTTTGCGACCCACTGTACACTTGCTACCGTTTTATTAGAAACATACGGGAAAGGAACGACGAAATTCCCCTGGTTGCAAATACACGATACTAACGAGTGATGGCATGCCTTGTGCGTATTAATCGATGTTGCACCACGCGCCGCATCTCTCGACATGCTCTTTTATGCCCAGTAATAGAAGTAACCGTACTGATCGCGCGGCGAAGAACCATTCTGTACCCGTGGCATTAATCCAGACTGCGCATTGAAACATTTTAGAGACGAGAAGGAGCCGCTGAAGGAAGAGAAGAAGATCACGCCGATCATCGACACTGGTCTGCGTCGGGAAACGTCCATCACCTTCGACGGGAAGAGGTCCGTCTCAAAGACCGGTTTCGTCGGCAAGGATTCGGCCGTTTAGATATTCTTCCGGCGTACTAGATTGTAAATCACCGTGGAAACGCTGTTTCTGGCCAAAGTGTTCTCGAACGATACGATGGGGCTCGTACGTCTCGGTATGTACAACGTAAGTACGCGACGAACGAAGTTTCCCCGGTTCGAATTTTGAATTTAAGCGGGGAACGCGGAACCGCGGTACATTCGAATCCGACGAAGCTTCGTTCCTCGTACCGAGGGCGTCGCGAGCGCCATCCGGCGACGGTCGAACGACACACGAGACACGTCGTTCGACCGGCTATACTTCGTGAATTATTCGACGATCGACGCGACGATACGCGCGTACATTCTCGCCGGTGTGTCCTCCCTCCGTCGAGGACACGACGAAAAGCTGTATAACCTCTTATTGGTAAGCCTGCATTTCACAAAACGATTCGATACATAATTCCCCGACGTAGCTTTCGTTTCGCGAGACCTAACCTCGTTAGTTTCTGTAGCGGTTTCGGGGCAGCATTTTTGGGAAGCCTTAAAGAAAATAAAAAAAAAAACGCTCTCTTCCCGCTCCCTCACTCCCTCCCTCTCCTCCCTCGTAGGTGTTACCGCAAAAGCGTACGGAATACGAGCGTGATTCCCGCGATCGTTTCTAGGGAAAGAGAATCTGTCGACGTAATGTAACTTAGCGAATATTGCAAGGTGGAGATAGATAGATCGCTTGCACGAGGAGGAGGAATGTACAAAATTAATCGCGAAATTGGTAGAAGTTGGTCGATAAATAGTGATCATTGCTTCGAGGCACCCTCTAGATAATAACAGTCTAGTACGCTGGGTAGTACTGTATTATCGTGCGTAGAGCACGAAAGGTATTAAGGAAACCGTTTTTCCGGGCTTCCGTCTCGTTTCTCCAGCGTCTGTGTCGCGATAATCGTTGCTATCGATCCCCGTGAGATCGGGGTGAATCGATACATCGAGAAGCGTCGTTTTTCTTTTCCGTCGCGAAACAGAAACGAACGGAACCGGGACGGGACTCTCTCTCGACGAGGTTCGCGATTTAGCAGCGACCTCTGGATCTGTGTATATACTTTTGAAGGTTTATTGTAACTCCACGACACGACACCCATTCCTGTAAGTTGTTCAATTAGATACCGTATCGTAAGGTCCACGACACAGACACGTTTCATTTTCTAACGTTCGATTCTAAACGCCAGGTTATCGATTTCGTGGTTATATACGACCTTGGTTCAAAGACTGATTCCTTTAAGTGTAAAATTTCATGGAAACGAATCGTACCGGTTATCATTGACGATCAAGTGTAACTCAGGCCACTCGGATTCGCGCTGTTCGCGAACAAATTTTACGAAAACGACATTACTCGTTCGGCTTTCGACTATGTAACTCTTGCCTGCCACGAACATGACTGACGTATTTGGTTACGTTGTATAATTAGTTACGAGTTATACTTCGAAGTGGATCCTGGACGCGCGAAATATTGTTTTTTTTATCCGTGATAATTTATGGTGATAGTTTACCGTGTACAATTTTACAATGTAAAGATTACCATCGTGTGCAAGAGCAGCCCAACCGTCTCCCCTTTCGTTTTTACGTTTCTTTTTTAATTATTATTGATAGTACTTTATGTATCCTGTGTTAGTTACTATTGTAAGTAAGGAAGAATTGGGCAGCTGTCGCAATAAAACTCTGGTTTATAAAATAGCGTGTCGTCGCGATTGGATTACCGATTTGCCATTCCGAAACAGTATACCTAAGGACTGTAAGATACGGAAATTAGAAGGGAGTTCCGAGAAATAAGGTAATCCGATACACCGACTGTGGCGACAATCTACTCGAACGTATCTCTTTACATTAAAAGTCTCCCTGAATATGTATGTATAGTGTAATCAAAAAGCAGCGACACTTTCGATAGTCGGTAAACACGAATTCTTAACGCTTTAGAGAAAAGTTTGCGCGGAGTCGAACCGGGCAGACGTTCGAATCACCGTTCCAGAATACGTAAGAACACAAAAGAGAACAATCGAAAGCTGCCATATATATATATATATAATACCAATTCTGTCCTAATGTGTAAGATGGCTTTTCGAGAAAACGCAGTTAAAATGTGATAAGTTTTTGTAAATGCTTGTAAACGTTTTTCCTAATCGTTAAGGAGTATTGGATATAAGGTTAGGAGGGTCCGGTAAGGTTAGGATGTTGTCATGCAAGTTCGGAAGGTGCGTTCGCAAAGAATACGAAAACTAAGACTAACGAACGAAAGTTAAGCCCGAAATGATAATCGATCGCGTGTATATTTATTGAAAGGGGATGACAATTGTACCTACGTATATAAAAATAAAACTAGAGTGAAAATAAAAGAAAGAAAAAAACATCCGCCACTTCTCCCCGCTTGCGAACACACTTTCCGCGCTTGGTAGCTTTTTTACGTACCCGTAAATACAGAGTTTTGCCAAATATATAGTACTTATTAGCATGTAAGTGAACGAGTACATATTATACACGAGGAAAAAATATATCTATCGACGAGAAATGAAACTTAAACGGCGAGTTGTTCGTCTTCGTGATCGTCACACGCAGTATTTCGAGGCCTCTTCTTCGCGGAGGAGGGGTCGCGTTTATCTAGCTATTTTATATTCGTTGCCAAAATCCGTAACCCAAGCAGCTTCCCATGAAAAGTATTACTGCGCATTCTTCCAACTTAAACAACAAAAAAGGAAAACAAAAGAAAAATAAAAATATTACGAATATTATTAAAAGTTCGTAGGTGTAAGGCATATTTTTTATGTATGCTTTTTTCTGTACGCGTCAAGGATACGTACTCGACTAATAAAGGATAAAGAACATTTTCAAGGTCAAATGATTCACATATTCGTTTACGCTAACATATTTATTCTTGGTACAGTATGAAAAAAATACAATTCATCGTACAAGGATTTTGTACAAACAGACACTCGGAAAGTAAAAGAAGAATAAAAAAAAAAGAAAAGAAGAAACGTTTCACTCGTGAGCTTGATTCAGAGATAAACGACTTAGAATTAATCAACGTCGTATCTGTAGTCTTATCGTATGTGCGCTGTAAAGTTATGGCACTGCACCTTACCACAATGAGGGGAGTAAATGGCCCAAGTATAAATGATAAAAAGCGTACACAAAAATTGTTTTCTTTACTTTTGTTCTCACTACGACGGGCCACCGAGCTCTTCTTGTAACGATCGCGAAGCGCATGATTTTCGATCACACTTCGATGCCCGCGTTCGAGCGTTTACCTTTCTTGATCAACAGTTGTTCGACGTTCAACTGTGGTGGCTCTGTCCGCGTATGCCAGACGTACACCTAAAACCAATTACGAAAGCTTGTATAATTCTCTACAGTGATAGGTCGTCCAACGAATAACTCGTTCTACATTTACCGACAGACAAAAATGTTTCGAACTTAATTTACACGATTTAAAGGAATTAATATTTTTACTCCAAAAATTATTGTATCGAATTCTGCCGTAATAAACTGAACCCCCCCGCTTAAGAGAAACCAATATTTCTTCGAGATAGAGGGTGTTCAGCTAACCCTGGGAAAAATTTTAATGGGGAATTCTAGAGGCCAAAAGAAGACGAAAATCAAGAATACCAATTTGTTGAGGGAGGCTTCGTTAAAAAGTTATTAACGTTTAAAGTTCCGCCCGTGCTGAATTTTTTTCTATAAAGTGGTAGGATTTCGGGGGTATGTGTATTCACCAAAAATGATTGTGATTGACCCCTCTAACTAAATATAATTTTTTTAGTATGATTTTAAATATTTTAATTTCGTCTAAAAATTCCAGTTCCTACTCGAATTTTTTTCTCGAAAGTGGGTAGGATTTCGGGGGTATGTGTATTCACCAAAAATGATTGTGATTGACCCCTCTAACTAAATATAATTTTTTTAGTATGATTTTAAATATTTTAATTTTGTCTAAAAATTTCAGTACCTACTCGAATTTTTTTCTCGAAAGTGGGTAGGATTTCGGGGGTATGTGTATTCTCCAAAAATGATTGTGATTGACCCCTCTAACTAAATATAATTTTTTTAGTATGATTTTAAATATTTTAATTTCGTCTAAAAATTTCAGTACCTACTCGAATTTTTTTCTCGAAAGTGGATAGGATTTCGGGGGTATGTGTATTCATCAAAAATGATTGTGATTGACCCCTCTAACTAAATATAATTTTTTTAGTATGATTTTAAATATTTTAATTTCGTCTAAAAATTTCAGTACCTACTCGAATTTTTTTCTCGAAAGTGGATAGGATTTCGGGGGTATGTGTATTCACCAAAAATGATTGTAATTGACCCCCGCAACCGAAAATAATTTTTCCAGAACGATTTGAAATTTTTTAATTTAATTGTTAATAACTTTTTAACGAGGCTTCAGTCAGGAAACTAATATTCTTTATTTTCGTCTTATTTTGGCCTCCAGAATCTCCTATTAAAGTTTTTCCCAGGATTGGCCGAACACACTGTGTATACGTTCGTCGAGTAAAAATATTCGCGCGTACCTTCGTGCATAGATCCGCCAGGGGTTCCAGGTCGTTCCTGGTGACGATCTGTTTCAGGATCTCGCTCTCCTGGTAGCCGCCTTGAACGTCGTACGAGAACTCCGCCTCCTTGTTCTCTAATAAAAGCGTCACGTTGATGGCGAACCCGGCCATGTCCAACGGAAACGGACGGTCCGGTTTCCAGACCGCGTTGAAATCGATTACCTTATTAGTTACGTTATCACATATTGGTTTCTCCACCATTAAACCGCCGACCAGACCGACCGGCCACACGCCGACCTTCTGAATCTTCGCCATCTGCAAGGTACGTTTACGTAACGTTTCCGTGACTGGGCCGAATTAATGTCCTTACCTCGTGAAACAGCTTCACCGAATACGTGTTGTCGTCGTCGGCGAAATACACGACCCCTTTGTCGGTTAATTTCACATTGTCGCGAAGCCAGCGTAACGCCTCGTTTCGTTGCTCGACGCCGCGCGGCTTCTTCCAATTCGGGTCGTTTCTTCCCAATTTGTAATTAGGCGGGGTCACAGCATTTAGGTGGGTATGCCTTAAATCGCTGTCTAACAAGAAACGCGTGACCAGCATCGTTTTTATCGCCGCGTCTTCCACGACGATCCAATGGAGGTTAGGTACGTGCAGAAACGTCTGTGACAACCGTGTCAACTCTGCTTTTTGTACAGGCCTGGCAAACGTCGGAGTAATGACATATATCGTGGGTTTATCGGCATATTCTCGTTTGCCGCTATCACTTAACACACTATTCTTTTCTATCAGCTTCATTATAGTGTATGACAGTCGGTTCGCGTCTCGTTGATCGGCTTGTAACGAGTCCATCAGGCCCCTCAGTTCTAGCCATTTGCATTGCTCCCTGTAATCTGTAGAACAAATAAATTAAAACGATATTCTGACTAGAATACGAAGGTTTCTATCATAGTGTTTGTTCGTACGCTATGTCCTTCTGCCATAACCTCTTAATAAAGTATTTGAGAGCCTACGTTGATACAACATGTTTTTAATAATTTTTCTACTAGAATGTATTGGCAAAGATTCGTGAGAAGAAACTAAGACAGTATATTTGTTTGATACAAAAAGATTAACTTTGTAGTAAACACGTTTCAAATGTATTTACATTGTGGTTATGTGTAACATTATCGCATCAAATGGGATTATATTCGGTTTAACGGATGCCACCACTATCGAATTTATCGACACAAAACACGTGCGACTGATAACATATTTGTTTGAAATTAGCATAGAATATATGTAAGAGCTACGATACGGAGCACGTCACATTTCACGCATAACCGCGTCCACATGCCTGTTCTGTTTATAGATACGCAATACTGGACGAATACTTACATATGTAAGTTTGTATTAGGATTATAGGCATTAGCAACAGTACTAGGAAGACTTTGTTATGTCGGTAGCCACCCCACATATTAGGTTTACTGACGAATTCGTCGGTGAGGAACAAACTTTCTGTCATGGTTACGACGCCATGACACTACTCTACGATCCCAACTGTTCTTAATTTGAGATAAAACGACGGACCGCCTTCAAAACGTGTAAATCGATAATAAAATTCAAACTCTTGTACAGAGATACTATTGAGGACAGGCCATAAATCAGTTCGCGATATTGCATGAGTAGTGAGGTACGAGTAATCGCTGCGTTATCAATACAGCAGAATTACCACAGATAAGGTATACCCCGTCTGTGGTTTCACCACAGACGAGATCTCGTCTGTGGTTTCACCTTCACAGCCCTCTTGATTAGGCGCCATCTCGTAGCGACTGCCTGAACTAAATTTGTCACGTGACTTGCTCTGCTATTACCCATGTAATGGCGGAACTCGCTTGTGGGAATGCAATTCCGAAATAAGAGATTTTGTCCTTATATGAGCAGCTTTTAGGTCGGATGACGTCTCATTCGAAAGAGGAAGGTCCAATGCAGCGCGCTCTGGTCAGTATTGGAATCGTACAACTCTTTTAGTAACCTAAAAAGACCTCGATTCCGTGGCTGTATTTCATTCATTTTTTTCTCGACTTTCGACGTTGATATTAATAAATGTGAACACAATCTCGTTCGATTCTGACCAGAGCGCACTGCATTGGACCTTTCTCTTTCGAATGAGACCTCATTCGACCCAAAAGCTGCTCATATAAGGGCAAAATCTCTTATTTCGAAACCCCCTATTTCGGGCCAAATTGTGTCGGTTTACAGCGCGCTGCATTACCCGTGCCTACCCCGAGAAGTACTTGTAATACGAATCTAATATGATTTGTTGTTGAAAGTACAAAATGCATTGTCACGTGCATTTATTTTGTTACGAGTTTAGCAGATTTTGTATACTTTACTATTATTGTGTTTATGATTACTAATCTACAAAGAATCGTATAAAAGAATACATTTTTCTTAATAGTCTTTCACGTCACTATGTTCGTCCAAACAAATTTATTTACCATAGCCAGGCAATTAATATTTTAAGTGTAGTACAAAATTCGATATTAGTTTCTTGTTTTATGTTTTGTAATGAAAGTGTTTAATTGTTTGTGATCATACCCACAACGTAAACAGCAGAAGTATGAAATACTCATACTATGCAATACACTTTAATTTTTGTTACACTGAATTTAAACTCTCCTCTTGGACTGTTCTATTACTTGATCATTAATCAATTATTTACATTAATGGTCATACAAATTAATCTCTAATTATGAATGTTTTTATTTTGCATAGATAATCATTTGTAAACTAATAATGCAAAAAATATAAACTTAATTCATTTAAAAAAGTAAAAAAAAAGTAAAAGAAGGTTATAGAATGTTTGTACAGGTGTGACATTTTATTGTCGTTTAATACCACCAAACGTGTTTGCATCTGCATATAAATGTTATATGTTATGACATAGATGATATTTTGTGTATTTCAACAAAATCTTTGTGGTTCATACATAAATAAATTACATGTTTGTTTTTATTTACGCGTGTTTGGCATTTTTACGACATTGTCTTGTAGTTTATTTTTACAAATTGTTATAATCTTTTCATCCTTAAAAAAATTTTAATGTTCAAAATTTTCACATTTGTTTCTATGGATGCACGCGCAAGCGTGCATGTGTGTGATGCACATACTTTTTACTTCTAATGATGAAGATACTGTACAGTATGACATTTGCGCAATATTATATGTGTTTACATACTGACGAGAAAGAAAATTAAAGAATAAAATATTAATATCGCGGTTAGAACATATTTATGAAATTAGAAACTCTTGCTTCTAATATGAAATCTTCTTCTTTCATATCACACGTTATTTTATAGCAGCTAATTACATGATACACTAAGAAATATTTATGTGTACATACATATTTACCTCAAAGGTAATAAAAGCCGCATTATTAAACTTTTGATCTCTTACGAGCGATCGCGTCTTCCACTGCTTTAAGTTGTTTTAACAGTTCTTCTCGTCGTGAACTTGCTTTCTTGGCCGCTTTAGCTGCGGCCGCGGCAACACTTGCTTTACTATCGATTAAAGGTGGTGATTCTAATCCTCTCTTTTTTCCAGCCATTAAAGCGGAACGATCAATCTTTTTCACAGCTGTAGTATTACTAGTTGGTTTCAATGTGAGTTTAATTTGTTGCTTGGTACCACTAAGCTTTAAAGCATCAATACCCTTGGAATCCTTTCGCGTTATTGGCGGAGTTGAACCTTTTCTTCGACGAGTCTCGCTAGATGAAGATGAATAACTTGATTCACTGGAATCACTGCTACTGCCGCTGCTCTCCGACCCTGAACTACTATGCGACGACCTAAAAGCAAATTTTATTATGTCTTACACACATATTTATATTTAAATGTTTATAAGTTATATGAATTTATCAGACACCCCACCAGTTTTACTGTATATAAATAGTGGAATACATTTTTTTTTAAACGTTTTTTACCTGGATCTTGATCGACTTTTGATAACTTTTGCCACTGCAGCTGCTGCTATAGCTGCTTTATCTCGTGCCTTTTCATGGTGACGTTGATGAGAGGAAAGTGGGCTCGGTGCAGGTGGGTTAAGTCCAGCACGTCGGTGAAGTGTACCGGTTGTAGGAGAAATAGAACCTTTGGGTGGACGAGGAGAAGGAGCAGGTGGGTTCATCAACATGGCACCGCGTTGAGGTGCAGCAGCTGCCACCGTTGGAGGATTTGAAGGTGGCGATGTCACGACTGCTTTCCCTTTGCCAGCACCACGGGTTCTAGAGGGAGGGGATGGTGAACGGGACCTGGATAGGGAGTCGTAAGAACTGTAGCTAGAACGGCTCGAGCTACGGCTAGAACTAAAAACAGCATACAGTACACTTGTACGTTTTCGTACATAAGAAACGTTCGGAAAAAAAAAACTTGAACACGAACTATTTATGAATGTTTGTTTAAATATAGTAATTTACAGATCAGAATCTATAAGTTGCATTGCTATTAATGGAGAATACTTAATTCCAATAATTAAATCAAAGGAACAAAATAATCACAGTCATAAGTATTATAGAATTTACCTTGTTGATGAATACGAAGAGCCTGAAGAATAAGATTGTCTTCGTGAACGTCGAGATGATGTATTCCGACGCACGGTGCTGGGGGATTTCCTCCGCATCCAAGGATCTGCCCATTCGTCTCCTCTACCTCTCTCTACAGGAGGTGGTTCCTCTTCCCGCCACGGTTTCGTCGGGGCAATACGTTCTACTATAACTTCCCTTGATGGACGCTTATGTTTCTTTTCGTACTTCTCGTAATATTCTCGTTCCCTATCGCGTTCACGTTCTCTTTCTCTTTCTCGTTCTCGTGTATGCGGCGGTGGTGAAACAGAATGGGGCGTACCGCGAGGTACGGCATGATAATCAATACGTTCTCGATATTCGGTAGCAACTCGAGTATCTGCTTTATAATGTACTCTCCTATTAAAAGTATGTAAATAAATTAATGTTTCGGAAACAAAGTGTATAAATAAAATATTTTGTAACCATTTTATAGTCGATAACTATTACCTATAATATTCTGGTGGTGCTGTTGGTGGTACATAGTAAGGATCAGGTTCTTCAATATATCTTTCTGGCGTAATCCTTGGCGGAGGCATTCTTCGAGGTGCCTCTCTAGGTGGCCACCTTTCAGCTGGTGGTTCTGGGCTGGCTGCTCTTACATAATAACCTGCCTCTCTGTCTAATTCGTCTTGCCCCAAGCTTAAATTCATCTTCTTTTCTTCAAAGTCCATATCTGATTCTTTGCGTTTATTTGCCTTGCGCATCATCTGCGTAAGGAAATAAGTAAATATTAGTAAATACGTTTTATATTAAGGCACATAACATATAGACATTTAATAATTTCATAGAAACATAGACTGACTTCCTTAGCATGTCGTAATCCACGTTCCCATGCTGATTCAGTAGGAAGCTCTTCTACTTTTGGTGTATGAGATGGTGCTCCATAACCAGGTAATGGTCGCACCATATTTGGCCTATCAATGTGCGGTCTGAATTCGTGTGGAGCAGCTGCGTGTGGCGGATATGCCATTGGTCTCACCATATCAAACATCGTATAATTACCCTTATCGGTTACACCTGGATGTAGAAACCTACAACTAACTCCCCACGTACACTGGCCTCGATTATAAAAACGGCAAACAGGTCTTGGTTCTGTTTCTTCTGGTCGGGCATCATCACCATCACTGAGTTCGCCTTCTTCTAATTCAGATTCTATTTTCTCACCATCTTCTTCTCCTTCTTCTTTGTCATTTCCTTCAATTCCATCTTTTAATTTAACTTTATCTTTATCTTTTTCATCTTTGTTTTCTTTAGTAATTGGTGCTTCAGTTTCTCCTAAAAAATAGATGTTTAATTATTCTTACTTCAAATTTGTATAATATTTCTTTCTTTCTAATTTGATATTAATTTACATTTGAAGTTAGATAGTTTGAGTATTATTTACCTTCATCACGCTCGTCTTTCCATTGACCATCAGCTTCAAAATCCAATTGTTCACTCTCTTCTGTTAATCCAACAGGTACATTTTTATCTTCTTTCTCCGTTTTATCATCATTGTTTGGCATATGTCTTTCCTCATTATGTTGACTTTCATTGAGTCCCGATTCATGTTCTGTAGTGCCATCTACCCCATCCATACTTTCTAGATCAGAAACGTCCGATAAATCTTCACCATGTGTAATTGGTGCAAGTTTTGACTTAGCTACTGATTCAGGTTCATCTTCGATATCTCCATCTGAAATTTGTTCTCCATCCAGTTCATTAAATGAACTACTTTTTGCTGGTGGAGAATGAGGCGGTGAATGTTTGTCTGATTCTTGATCATCCATAGGAGATGCAGGGTCTGATTTTGGAGAACTCCTTCCAGACATTAATGACTTTGCTGAACTATGTTCGGATCTTGGAGATTTCGGTGAACTTTGCCTTGATTCACTGTTTTTGTAAGAATATGATTTAGGTGAATTATCTCCAGATCTTTGTACATCAACTTCGAGTTCAAATTGTTTGGGTTCAGCATCTTCCAGGTGTAAGGATTTAGAATCATTAGGAGTAGACGGACATGATCTTTCATCTTGTATTGGAGAATGAGACAAGCTACGATCACTCCTAGGTGAATCTAAAGAATTATTTCTTGAGCGATATGATTTTGGCGTAGTAGGTGGTGATTTTGATAAACTACGAGTGGATCTTGGGGAACCTTCTTCTTCACTAGGAGATGCTAATCCAGATCTCTGAGATTTTGGTGATATTGGTGTATATCTTGGAGATTTTGAATCTCTTTCGGATATGATAGATTCAGGTGACTTCCCTCTTGAAGAAATAGAACTTGCCCTAGATTTATGCCCTGAGACAGATGAATGATGCGAGAAGTTTGGCGATCCCACATTGTCAGCAGATGCAACTGGATTTCTCCTTCCATCATAATCCTCTGAAGAGGAACTTTCTGAACCAGAGTCTGACATGATGGACTATTCTAGCCTGTAAACAAGTGATACTTTTACAATACATATAATGGAATTTAATGAAAAAATGGGACCACCGCTCAATCAAATCATTAATTCCTCTTACTTGAGAAGTGAAATTTTTAGCCGTACCAACCGAATGTAGCACTGAAAAATCTGCATCAGTAGCATCGCAGGGGCTTACCTGTATCAATAAGAGCCTGTGCAGTACTCGCTCTTGAAGACACAACGCGCGCGATCCATACCGTGTTGAACATACTTTTTATATCACGTCGAGAACTTTTTTTACTAGCAACTTTTATACTTTATACTTAAACTGAACTTTTTTCACATATACAATACATACTGTTATTTTTCAGGATTTCTTGCCCGGAACTTTTTGGTTTACGTTTTAAACTTTCAACTCGAACACAACACAAATTAAGAAATACCGGTAAACTGCAAACAGTTTTGTACTGCACTAGAAACTATAACGAACGGACTTTCAACCTGTAAGAATGTCTTTTGGGCATATGGAGAAATAAAGAAAAAAGGGAAAGAGGAAAAATTAGGGAAAAGAGAAACTAAAATATTGTTTTATTATGATATATAAGTAAAATTATATAACACTAATATCAATTGCTATACTTTCATGTAAAAATTAACAATGAGTCCAATAGGAAACATTGATAAGCAAACAAACATTAATTTATCAATTTTATGATGATAAATATATAAAACTGAAGGAATAGAGATTATATTTTATTTATGTGTAAATTTGTTAAATAAAAAATATTTTATTTTAACTGCAAGATAAAATAAAAAGATGTAATACTTAAAACATAAAAAAACATAATTATGTTGTTGATCCCATGGTAGGTGTACATTACTTATAGATTACATACAGTGCAGATTGCAGTAATAATATTTCAAAATTAATTTTATAATTAAGCAATTTATTATTTGATGCTAATGTTTATAATTTCATAAATTATAGTCATGGAAACAACTAACAAACTAGTCATCAATGTATGTAGTTCAAAGATTAATATGATTTTGATTTTATACATTGAATTAACGCGATTCATATAAATATAGCTTTATGCAAATATAATGATCAGGATATTACAAAACTACTTTGAAACAAACGAATTCTAAATAGTTTTTACATAAGCAGGAAATAATTTTTTTGATAGCATTTCATAGAATACAGTCAAACAGTCGTAACGTACGATTAAATTTTTAAACGCAATGTTAATATATTACAAAAAAGTCTACCCAATTCGAAATAATGCAAAAATTAAAACATAATGTGGTTTAGAAGCAAAAACTTTTAATCGATTCGAAAACTAATTATTATTCTATCTTGGTACATGTTAATCATTACATTGAATACAAGTTCGTTCAAGTAATTTTCATGGGTATATTGAGGTTAACACAGCAATGAATTAAATGTTACTGCAAATCAACCTGTAAAATTCTGAACAGAGGATCTCACGGAGTTTCAAGTACCATTTGAAAGAAATACATAATATTTTATGAATTCCGTTGAACATGTGTTGTGGGATTCTTACCTTGGTTGCGCGTATGCCTGTGGGCCTTTGGAGATTTTAAGACTCCGAGGCTTTAGGCGGACGGCGTCACCCAGATATAATGGTTAGATTTTTCGCTTCCTCCCTGTTTTCAAAGTGAACTCTACCCCAAGATGTAACGTTGTTAGCTCCCCGACTAATTCACCACCGTAGAATCAATCTAAAAGAGGACAAAGCACAAACGAAAAATTCATGTAATGCAGGAACCAAAAGCCTTTCATTACTGTAAACCATTGATTACCTTTAAAGTAGACGGTTACGTCTCTAAAATTTTACGTATCCTTTGTTCCTGTACATATTTGAAACTTTGTAGTTGGTAGCAATGACGTATCAATTGTATAATTTATGGTTAAAATGGCTTCTTTTGAACGATATATATTTAAACCTTTATATTAGTTGATATATTCAGAATTATGCATTCAAACACGTTCGTATATTTCTATTACTTCTTTAAAGTGGATTAAATAATGCAAAGAGTTACAGTTACGCTAATAGGAATGTAAGGCTGTGATAGGTTGTGGGTAGTTAACCAATCGTGGTTTAGTTTAACTACAATTTCGTATACCAAATTTTTCGAACGGTTGAAAATTGTTATTATTTTCTTACAATTCTTACCATAATATATCCGTTATGTAAATTTTTAAAGAAACAAAATTCCAAGGAAAAAAGCATGTTAATAGTAATGAAACACTTTTTTGAACATTGCAGATTTATTAAACTATAATATATAAGCTAAAAATTGTGTACATCAGTTGATCATTCAATAATCATCTACCATTGACGAATCAGCATGCTCATCTATTAACAACTGCGTTAATTTTGCAGCAAAAGTTGGGTTTGTTTTTATTTGCTGAAGTAGCCACTCCACAGGTATCCTAAAATCAAAATATTTCATAGCAATAAAATATACAAATATTTATATTCCTTTTACTGATAAGAAAATAGTTTAGGAATAACAAATAGAAAAAACTTTATGAATGTAAAATATGCGTACCCTTCCGGAAAGTATCGTAAAAGTGTAATTTGTTCGTGTTTAATAATGTTTGGATCATCAACAGTACTTTTCCTTTTTCCAAACCCAACTGCAACACCCCGCTTTTCATTTGATTCCCTTTTTCCAAAACCATTTTTACTGATGAGAAAATAGTTTAAAAATAACTAAGAAAAAATAACTTCATGAATGTAAAATTTGAGTACCCTTCCGGACCCTCCGTCAACGTTTTATCAACAGTATTTTTCCTTTTTCCAAAACCATATCCCCACCTTTTTCCAAAACCATATCCCCACCTTTTTCCAAAACCATATGCCATAATTTGTTTTCTACCAGGATTGACTGAATCATCAGAATTTCGGATTTCTCGCGGTCTCGTATATTTTACGAAATCAGAATAATTACGATTTCTAGATGTCGCTACGATAATTCCGGCGGCGAAGGCCAGAATGATAAATATGCTCGCTCGCATGATTGTCTAATATCAAAAAAACATATTGTCAGTTATAATTGCGTAGTCATTGAATTTCTATAAAAAGTAAGTTCTCTTTAATATACAGTTTTTGCACAGCAGAAATAAATGGATCCATCCAAAATACAATCGAATTATATAGAAAATGAAAAAAAGTTCTTATTTGTAAATTATGTTAATTATTTTATCCTTTAAAGATTATATAAACATTATCCACGTATTTCTTTCTGTTTTCATTTTTATATTTTGTCGTATTAAGAAATAATAGAGACGAAATAATAGTTATATCCTATAAAACGATAAAAATACCAGATTCTACAAAATGAAAGCGTGTAAGAGCAAGTAGAAATACAATAATATCGATATGTTTATGATTTCGTCTGTATTAATTATTATATATTTTATACTATAACGAATGAGATGAACTTCTTACAGAATCATAGAACCTTCAAAAGTTACCTTTAAAATCAAATTTATACATACCACAGAGACAAAAAAATCAATAATAACTATAACATAATGAGGTACTTACAATGTTACAGCGGATCTATGACAAGATGAATGTTAATTGTACTCACATAGAAAAATCGATATGTCTACATATTTTACATTAAATATGCAATACTATTCAAAATTTTTATAATTTTTAGGCAAAGTAAAGAAACAAAGGAAGCTTAACATATTCGATATAATTATAAATCGAATAAGATAAAATATGTAATCGATGGTCTTGTTGCAACAAAATATTACAACGTAAAAGTCCAACATTTTTGTAATGTATAATATTGATGCACGTTTCGTTGCCACAATGTTATCTGAGATTTTAAGAAAGATACTAGAAAATTGTTAGTATCTACGAACAAAATTCAGTATTGTAACTGCACGTATAAGCAAGGAGGACTGAGCTGGGAATTTATAGCAGCCCCTTTTGTACCGGGCCGCCGATACCGCTGTTGTAGCCGCCGTTGTCGGCGTCAACGGTCTCCTAACCGCCAATCGTGATTTTTTATTTCGATTTGTTCGTTTTACTCTATTACACATAGGTTGAAGTAATAGAATAACGCAATAAAAGTACTCAATTTTTATTTACAAAGACTTTAAATGTTACCAGAACGTATTGTTCGATATTTAAAGTATTATTTTCTTATAGTTTGTAAACTATAGGTGCGGCCGTTGGCGTCTTTGATGATCTCATAGCGGCCGTTCTAGCCGACGAAACCGCCTACGTTATTTATTTTATCATAAATCACGAAATACAGGCCATAACAGAGTTTAAAACATATTATAACGTTACATAGTTATGCTAATGCTCCTAGTTTATTTTGAAAATATCGTACGATGTAATCCGAAATAATTAATGCTGTAAAATACGTTGCAAAACCGACGCATTGCCGCCGCTTGCGACGAATAGCGCCTTCAGCCGCCAATGCGTATACAAATTCCCACTGCAGATGCTAGTAACAAGGTTCCATACTTACAGAATTGCGCTTTCATATACGAATTTAACATAATAAATCACAAATCATCAAATATTGATTACGCAAAATAAATGTTTGTTAATTATTGTTGAAATGAATTTAGTTGATAGATTTCAAATTAGGTTTAATTTAAAATAATTTAATAAGTTTCAGCAAATAAGAATATTATTAAAAATCATTGTAATTGAAAATTTGTTATACTTTGAAAATCTAATAAATTCCACTTCAATGCAACGTCTTATCAACGATAATTAATAAAATAATTAATGTTATTATAATGTACTTACTAACAAAATAGTTTAATTTAAAGAAACTTAAATGGGGCACACATTTCAATAATAAATATAAATATTTATAGTAATAATAGAATTTTATTTCTTATACTTAACAATATCTCATATAATTGGTATGCATATTACAATGCATATACATATGTACAAAATACGGATTTATATGTGAACATATGTACAAAATAGAGAATATTTGTCCTTCTATACTCCAATGCAATGCAAGTTGGTTTTATTCAAAGAATTATATTATGCTTGAAATTTACGATTATTTAACAGTCTTCGCTTGGAAATGATCCATGATAATTACAGGAATTTCTTTAAGGATAAACGATCGTGGTATGCCAGAATATTTTATAAATAACTCTAAAAAATGTAAAGTGTTAGTTCCTTCGGAATCTCCATCACTTCCCGTTTTTGCGCTGCAATTACAATATTGATGTCAATAGGTGTTATTATAAGATAATATATAAAAATATCTTTATACCTGTCTGGAGTAACACAGGATAGAACATATGTACAAAGGTATTTAACATAACGTATCATTGTGGAAAAAGCACATTGGCGCAAAACTGTTTGTACTCCAATTACGAATATTACAGCATCAAGAGGGTCTTGAGGTTTTTTACTTAAAAGACTTCCTGCAATCAATTTTACTTATTTTACTTATTATTAGTTATATTTCAAATATTTAAGTATGTATACATATATAAATTACCTGTATTTTTACAATAGTACAATTTAGGCAGTTGTGTCACAGTAAGTAAAAATATAATGAGCGCAATGTTACTTATATTTGGCGATTTAATATAAACATTATTATGTGGGTTACTTATACCAGCCCAATCTAATCTAACGCTAAGCTCGCGCAATAATTCATTTCTATCAGCCTCATTTTGATCAGAATTGCCTCTTTTATCGATTTCCAATAAAATAGCTCTATAAATCCAAATAAACATGTGAAATAGAAATATTCACGTATTAATATGAAATAGGAATTTATTAAAGTATTATTTATACATACGTATTTACAGTTTGAAGTGCTGCTTCCATATGTTTAGCTTCGAATTTGCAAGCAGTGTTCAGTTCATATGCAATTTTTTTTTTAAGAAGTTGGTAATGCCCGACTTTTAATATCCATTCAAGTAGTTGAGGACAGAATTTATTAGTATAAGTACTAACAGAGGTATGAAGTTTTGGCATATTACCTAAAAACATATATTAAATAAACTAAATCACCTGAATTTATTAGTAATATATAATACAGTAAACTGTAAAACAATACCTTTGGAACTCTCTATAGAATTGAATATTGTCTCAAAACAATCAAGCGTAGACGTCCACGTTTTATTACGAATATTCTTTTCTATATAATGGGTCATATTACCTAATTCAGTAACGATATAAAATGAAATAAGTTTATCAAGTCCTGTTAAGCCAGGTGTACCTATTGCTTCTAATATCTTTGAAAAAATTTTATAATTTAATACTTCTGCTTGCGTTCTAAGATCATACCAGGCAAGGGAATGTTCAATATAAACAGTTGTCCTACAAACGTGTATATAAATATAAATAATAGTATCAACGAAACAATAAAAATTACTATAATATTATTAAGTTCAAAAAATCTATAAAAATATATATGTATATACACATATAATATATAATACCTAGAATCAGTTATACGAACAAGTTCACGAGCAAGTCTGCCAATAAAAGTTACACAATTATTATCCAATACAGACACATGTTTTTCTTCTTGAAGGTATCTCCATGATCTTTCTGGAGTCCAGGAAGAACCTGCACACTCTTCATCCACTGCATTATTTATGATATACGTTATCTACAAGAAATTAAGGATAATTGTATAAGTTATTATATACCAATTTACATTAATATAAATATAATTAATAAAAATCATTTTAAACATTCATGGATTTACCTACTTCTTCATGCCATATTTTTAAACTATTAATATTTATATAATCTTGAATATATTGAAATGATTTACGGTAACCATCCATAATCGCAGCTAAATTATCAAGTTTTTGTATTAAAGATATCTAAAATAATGTAGCATTAGAAAACAATTGATTTTCAATAAAACATAATATAGTAAAACAATTTTAATATAGAGCTTACTTTTGTTTTTGGTTCAAAAACAAGACCACTGTCTAAAGCTAATGTAACTTTTTTTCCAAGTTCTTGTCGTATACCATCTTCCAAAAGATGATGAGAATCAACTCTCAATACGCCCAATGGAACGCTTCTTAAAGATAACACTCCTTTTGTAAACACTGACACAGCATACGTTAACTTAGCCATCTTAAAGAAAGCATTATTTTTATGTAGTAATACAAATTTTGTCACTCCAGTTCCCTTCAATTTATGTTTTCAAAAGAAAAAAGAGAAATGAAAAATTCGGATTTTACCTTCAATCTGTCGTCTAATTGTGCGTATTCTTTCAGTTTATCTTTTGGTAACTTAGTGGGTATTTCCTTAAAAGCATTAGTTTCAAGATGAACTATCTGAGCAAGTAAACCAAACACAGTTTCAGGTATTATTTGTAAAACACGTCTTGCATATTTTTCTAATTCCCTACTATAATATTGTGATACTGATGATAAATCTGCACTGCGCGCTTGATTTATCCGTAATAAAGGAGTTTCCAAAGCTGAAGCCATCTGAAAACATGGTAAATATAAATGTTTAATTTGATAAGATATACTAAACATAAATTCAGATAAAAGTTCAAATTTACTTTTAAAAAAAGGGCTTTTAAGTTTATTACAGTTGGAGGATTTTCTTTTATACTAGCTTGCATTGTGTCGATAAATGATTCCATTACGTTCCATGCATAACAACAATCTGTCACTATATTTAAACTGATCATGATGTCTTTTGTTATATTTCCTGTGCGCAACATATTATGCAATATTTCACATATATCAGCTATATGTTGTGATATATGTAAATTATTTCCCAACTGATGAAACTCTGTAATAATTACAATCAGAGTGAAAACTTAATGTAAAATAATGTAACAATAAAAGGTTGAATTATTATATGTGCATTAAGATTTATATCATTATTACGTTGCACGTGTTCTAAGGCCTGTAATAATTGTACTATTTTCCTCCCATCCTCTTCTTGCAATGAATCGATATGTTTACTAATCTTCATAAACCACGAATGTAGATTTTGATTTTTTTCAACACCATCAAGAGATTTATTACCACTAAATATTTGGGTAAGGTCTGTTATACGTTCGACGCATATTCCCTTATCCCTAACCCATTTAGTTTCTTTACCACATAATAACTATAAATTAAAAACTAAGTTAACATTTCATTAATCTTGTATATAATCAGATAATGTACGAAGTATTATTATTCATACATCTTTATACAATTGTTTGACATCTTGTTCAATCTGGGCAGTACTTAGTAACAATTGTAGACAATCGGCTGTTGTATATTTGCTTTCATTTATTACTAATTGCCTGAGTATACGTAAACGTTTTGAATCTTCTAATGTTATAGTTGACATTGCTGTATGTAGAAGAATCCAATGTAATGTTACATTACATTCTCTTACTAACTTTACCAATGATCCTATTGCATTTTCATCTAAAATAATTGCCAATTGTACTTCTTCTGTTTCAGATATTAATTTCTAAAATAAATTTTTGGTAGAGACAATAATACATGTAGCAACATACTTAATATAATTTTATTTTTAAATTGTGCAAAAATAAATACCTTCATTTTTTTACCATAATTTTGTGCAATTACTTTTACATTTGATGATTCAAGTGTATTACTAAGAGCTGTTCTCGCAGCCTTATATGGTGACCACCAATCACATAAATTTATCACTATCCCCATATAAATACTAATCACCCAATTATCGGGGAAAAATCTATCTACTATCTCTCTCATAATAGCTGTATGTGTATGTAACATAGACGATTTAAATGACAATATTACAACCAACATCGATGCTTGATTGGAAAGAGCAGTACTGCGATGTTCTGGATGTGGAAAAGCAAGGCTTTGATTATATATTTCGTCTGAACGTAAACGTCCAATAATATGTTCTATCAAAGACTCATTCAATGGTATTCTCCTGTAAAATAAATGTTTGTAAATGGAAAAATTAAAGATCTTCAGAACTTAAAAAGCTTTGAAATACCCACTTAAAATATTCTTCAGGATAATTTGCAGGTCGCTTACTAGAAGTTTTTGAAAATCCTGTTGAACGTAATAACGTACATATGTCATCAACACGTGTAGAGGACGAACGTTGAGCATTATATCGATCATAAGATACAAGTAATCTTTCCCTTACACATCCTTCGAAATGGTAATCCACCAAAAGTAACATAACTCCATATAAATATACTGCCTCACACTATTAATATGAATTCTTTAGTTTCTTTAGCCATTCAAAATAAGCACCATATATTTATACTGAATATAAATGTATGATACACAATTTATTAACTGTAAAAATACCATTAGCTGTCTTCCTTCTTCATTAAGCATGATCGAATCTATAGATTGATGAATATATACTCCATCTTCTAATTCATCAACATAAAAGTTTAAGTCTGTAACATATTTATGTATACTTTCAAAAGCCAAGTAAAACCTTGAAATTATATCTGAAAAATTATTTCTCAACTCTTCATCTGTTTCTTGAAGAACCTATGTAAAAATTACATGTGTCAGTTGAGATTACCAGTGTTTATTTAAATATTATTATCTGTATAACGAAAACTAATTATCTTTACAAAGTACTCATAAACTGATAATTTTACTAAATAAATAAATTTACTTACCGGATCATTTTCTATTTTTTGTTCGTAAACGCTAACTGATTTAAAATATGTAAAATCAATTATAATTGATCCATACTTTTGTACTATTTGTTTTGAATCCAAACTGCAAAGAAAAATCTACGTAAATTTATAATTAGCATAAAATGAAATGAAAATGTAATAACTTTTAAAATGATAATTTTTATTTATTTGTAAAATATATGTAATACTAAAAGATATAAATAACCTAAATACTGGCGGCACATAATCCTTTAATCTCATCAATTCAGCTATAATAGCATTTCCACGAGACACCAAACGTAATAAATTTTGGCCACAAGTATTATTAGGTGCCAAGAAATCACCCATTTTGTGGAATTATTTATTTTAACAAAGGTAATCGGTAACCAATCGACATTGCAATAGCAACAAACGTCAATGAACACGTTGACACTTGACAGGCGGTAACAGAAAGAATAGCAGTGTCGGTGTGCCGCCGTCGATGCATTCAATTATGCCTTTGGTCACACTGCCGTCAACTATATGTATTGTTGCGCGTCCGGCGGCGTATTTCCGAAACTTCGTAGGGAATTCGGCGGGGAACGCTGCCCGTGGAGTGCTAAGGCACTCTGCTCCTTGGACGCGGGAGTTTCAAACGAAGATCGCTAGATAAGGAAAATAATAAATGGATGCAACGATTTTAACACACGTAAATAGAACTTTAATTGTAACTTAATAAAGGAATATAAAACAAAACAACCAGATTTCGCAGGAATTATTATAACCCGGTCGTACACTTCCGCTCTCTTAATACAAAATGCTTCTCTCTTTGCCGATTCTACTGATACATGTACGATCTCGCTCAAGTTTCAATGTTACGTCCTTTCACTTTCGATCTCCGGATTCAAGTGTCGCTCTGCCGGCCGGTCGAGGCCCAGCCCACACGTAGGCCCCTCCAGATCGTCCCTTCCTTTATTCGGGCCGGGCGCAAAACTCTCGCACGCGCGTTCCTCGGCACACCCCCCGATCCCTCGAGAACGGTCCTCTGCGGCACGTGGCCGTTATCGGCTTTTGCACGCAGCTCGTTTCCGGCAATCGATAGCGCACGGCCCAAGTTCCTGGAATTACACATCTAGGAGAAGGGATCAAAGGGGAGCTCACGACTATCCAAACATCCGTCTCCAATAAATTATTGGCTAATCTATGACCCGAAGTGAAGTCATTAAAAGAATCTCTAACCACTTTTAAACCGTAGAATTGGCGCGGACTCCACTTTGTCTCCCTTTCCTATTACATTCGTGTAATCTGATTTAAACCTCGCGCCCCCCAGAGCTTCTGCTACACGGCGCCAGGCGGCGACCGCAACAGTATTATAGCCGACTCTAGTAAGTATGTACTAGCCGTGCTATGGAACGTGGCAACACCGCTCATGTGCGGATCGGGAGTCCTATTTTCAATAGTGGAGATTTGTGTTCAGGATTATAATTAACGTTATTTTGCGATATAAAATTATACTAATATACAGTATTTTTTATTAATTATGTATAAGGAATATATGAATATCATAACTATAGTAAGTAGAAGTAATACAGAAGTATATTAATATTTATAAATGTGGTATATATTTTGTGGACTGTCGGAATAGTTTGGTGTTGTGATGCATTATATTTGAAATATTTACAGAGATTTCAAGAAAATAGAAGTGTGAAACAAGTTAAAACCATCTTTGAACCAAACTGAAGGATTTAAAAATTGATAAAGGTATGTATAAGTTAATAGAGACCTGAAATAGGCAAAATTATTGGTACGAAGCCAAACAGGTTAAGTGCCCGTGGAAAAGAGGTTAGCATAATTAGCTATTGAAAGGAACAATTATGGAGTTAATTATAAAATCGTGTTAGAGGACAGTATGATAATTGTGAAAAATTTCCTCACCACCCTAGGGGTATTTACCATGGCGTGTTACCTTTTTTTTTATTGTATATAAATATATATAAAAATTAATGTTTTAAGAAAGATGAAATTAAAAAAAATCATTGAAAATCTAGTTCCTATTAAAAGTTTTTAATTTACGATTTTTAGAAGTGATGTCTGTACGTGTTTCCAATTGACTATTATTTACAGTTTTCACATAATCGTTTAATAAAATATTTGAAAAAATTGATAATAATTTAAATCAAATACTTTGGTAAGCTCGACCACAAACGCATGTATCTGAAAATGCTAAATAATGTATGTTTGATTGAATGCTAATATATGTTAATTTACATAAAATATGTTTATGATTTCCAGATTGCAAAAATTGAGATTCTAAATTGCCATCATTTATTATGGCTTCCATTATTGCATACATATGAATAAATGAGGCTATCGCTTCTTCAGTGGGGGCAGAAAGGCCCCCTCTTTGTAAGTGATCAAAATATACATCGCCTACAGTTTTACCTTTATCCTCCACAACTAATAAACGACATATACTGCAATTTAATTTTTTAGCAACAGAATGGGACCCATAACCAGAAATATAAATTTTAATGGAATCATCTACAACACAATCGGACAAGTATTCGGTATCGAAGATTCCTGAGAAACAAGTCACATCAGTGGGAAGATCATGAAGATCGTTATTATTGTCATCACAAATTCGAAATTTATTTTTGATTTCAGTAAGTGAAAACGAATTTGCCGATTTTGTAAATATATGTTTTAATCTAATTTTTTTTTCTGCATGAATTATTTCGTTATATGACACATGATAATTACAACCAGATAAAAGTCTATAATTTTCAAATCGTTTTTCTAATTTTTCGGTTGTAAAATGGAGGGTACTACATTCCTTATAAGCCTTGGACATCTCAACAAAACATTCTCCAGTACACCATTGGGCGATAGAATACCGTGGTACCTTTCAATATCAGTTTCTGCAAAATGCAAACTACAGACGGCAGAATATTTTGATGGTGTCCAATTCTTACGAGGAATAGCAACCCTCCATTTCTCCCGCAATTCCTCATCTTTGGGGAATAAAAATATAGAATTGTAATTATTATCTTTTAAGGTACTATCATAATTTCCCTTGCAATTGGGAACACGGCAACGCCGTGGCATTATGTGAAATTTATAAAAAAAGTGTATATAAAACAAAATGTCCAAAAATGCTATAGATTATATTAAATAAGTGTGCTACACACCAAAATCAAGATCTGTAGAGTTAATATAAATAAATGAAACACCTGGATTATTGCTCCGTTGCTCACATTTAATGGACTTCAGTACATTAATATTTGAAACATTCGAAAGATAGGGGGGAGACCGGAAGGCCGGTAGATGGAGCCTATGTAGCCCAGAGGCCGATGGGTAGTGGGAGGCTGTTACGGTAGGTTGGGCTAGGTATATCGAAGCCGGACTCCCGCGGTGTTGCTATTTTATTACAGCACGGCTAGAGTACTAGAGTCGGCTGTGGTATTTACATACTTAGGACGAAAAATAGTAGTTTCACCTAAAAGTGTGAATAAAACTAAAATAAAACACAATATGTTTTGTTACGAAAAAGAATGAGATACTACAGACTTTTATTGAGGTTAAACATAAAGATAATATTCATTTAAGACAGTGTACGCGATTATACACATTGTAAGGATGTTTAATCCTTTGCATTTAAAGAATACTTTTCTAAATGCATCTTTAATTAATAAATTGAAATTTTGTTATCAACCGGTAGTAAAAAATTCTGTACATAAAAGTTATGTATTTCATAAATCATACCATTCTTTGCCTAATCATGCACTTAAATCAAGAAATACAAGGTACTGTATAGTATTTTAGGATTTATATAAAAAGTTTGTGTTACTGAATTAGTGCTACAGATGAATAAGATGCTGTACAAATTTGTCTATAAACTGTTGTCCACATTTTGAAAACATTAATATTTTTTGTATGTATTTGTACAGAGAATCGATTGAAGAAATGATGAATGTAAATACAAATGTGCAAAATAATGTACTGCTGTTTAAACATGAATCTTCCACAACTTGTACATTACTTAGGTATTTTAGTATTGGATGGGTATTTTGTTCTGCATCATTAATATATTATTCGTATAATCAAATCAATTTGTCAGAATACTCAAAATCTATATCTCGGAAAGATTATTTGAACAAAAAGGGACTATATGTTGTAATGTTCGCATGTGGAATTGTATTAGGTAATAGTACATAATTTACAATTAATGTTTGTAATATACATACATAATGATACAAAATACAATACATTTAAGTATGAATATTCACTATATATTGGATGTACATACATTTCTGAATATTCTTTTATTGAATATCATACTTAAGTTATATAAATATTTACTATACAGGGTGTTCGGCCACCTCTGGGAAAAATTTTAATGAGGGATTCTAGAGGCCAAAGTAAGACGAAAATAAAGAATGCCAATTTGTTGATGGAGGCTTCGTTAAAAAGTAATTAACAATTAAATTAAAAAATTTCAAATCGTTCTGGAAAAATTATTTTCGGTTGCGGGGTTCAATTACAATCATTTTTGGTAAATAGACCTACCCCCGAAATCTTGCGCATTTTCGAGAAAAAAATTCAGTACGGACGGAACTTTAAACGTTAATAACTTCTTAACGAAGCCTCCATTAACAAATTAGTATTCTTGATTTTCGTCTTATTTTGACCTCTAGAATCTCTCATTAAAATTTTTCCCAGGGGTGGCCAAACACCCTGTATAGATGTAAAATAAGTGGATTTATGTATGTAATTTACAATGTGGGATAGTTTTTTCCCTTATTGTAATATAAATAAAATATTAATCATGTCTGTATTTTTATATTTAGGGCCTCTTGCGATTTTTATATTACATTTTTCAATGCAACGATTTATAAAATACATTATTTTAAACAGAGGTGGTAAAAATGTATCTCTAATTACATATCATTTATTTAAAAAAGAAGCACTCTTAACATTACCTGTGAATATGGTAAATGATAGTTTTAACAAGTTTAGTTAACTTATGTATTTTTGTTGTATTCTATATTTTTATGATTGTATAACCATAAAAATTACATGTGTTTTTCACAGTTTTAATTTATCATTTTTAAGGTAAAATCTTCTATGTCAAGACAAGAAGCTAAACAATATTTGCCATTGAAGGTTTGTGATAAATTGTTTTTTTATTTAATGGATTTGGAGGGAACAATGCTAAATGAAAAGCTTTTTGATAACACAATTGGATATGACAAAGTTTTCCAACATAGTGCATTTACAAATAAAAAATAGTTATCCAACAGATGAAGATCAAAACCTTATGTAGTGGGACTCTATGTAAGCTATGAGCTACATAAATAAAATTTATGATGAAGTCTTCTATTTGTTAATCATTTCATTTATTACACAGAATATGTACATCTAAAAAATTGGTAATTTACATTAGATATTTTATTGATTTTAAACGTATATGTATAAAATAAATAACTTACCATTTTATACAAAATGTAATTTTACATGTTATGTTGTCAGTGAAATAATATGTTAGTAGCATTGATATACATGAAACATAACTTTTTTTGTTCTAGAGTATCTTAATTCATTATACAATTTTGATAATTCTATGTATAATATAAACATATTGAATACTTTCATATTTTACATAAAATACATATTATTTATTGTCAATATCTTTGACGATCATAATATTTATTTGAGTATTTGCTTAAACGATCACTGTATCCATCATCTTGATACTTATCTTCTGCCTTGTAATACACTTCAGGTGCTGAGCCTACATGTCCTTGCCAATATCTAGTCCAATAAAGGTCTTCTGGATTAATGTCATGTGGGTGCTTTGCATTTCTAAATACATGTACACAATATATGAGACTTCCTATCAAAGTTAAAAATCCAAATACAAGAAACACTATTCCCAAAATCCTAAAAAAAAAATAACAATTTTGCTTGATATAAAACTCTATAATCTCAGCCTTTAAGTTAGGAGTCGAGTTATTTGTATTAATTATATACTTACCAAACTATTAATGGTTGAAAGAATTGAATTACTATAACAAAACCTAATGTAACAAGAATTAAACCAAGATTGAGAAGTAACATAAGGCAGCAAATTCCCTTGGTATTTGGACAAAAAGGATTAGGTGTTGACATAGTTTCTATAATAATACCATCCTTCTTGGATGTGTGTGATTTTACTGATTTTGCAGAACCATAACTGCAATGACTAGGTGCCCGATGACCCAATCTTGAACTTGGAGTTAGACTGTGATGCGATGCATGACTATCGATTAGATAATAATGTTTATAATATAATGTTGCATAAATAATAGTAGGATTTATTATATTTAAAACCTTATGTCTGAAGTTGCTCTATATGCAGCACTTGTAACATATATATCTGATCCATTGTCACATATGCTGCCATGCGAAGCACTCTTATTAAGGGGATGAAGACTATGTCTGGAAGACCCTGATAGCACAGAAACACGACTGTTAGGTGTGCTTCGCGATCGTCTTCCTTCCTCTTTTTCATATCTCTCTGGACGGTCCTTTTTCATTGCTTTTACCTATTCAACGCATGCACAAGGTATTTTATTTTAAATGACCAAAGTAGAACAATTGAGACAAAGTAAATGATTCCATTAAAAAGATAAAGGTGATCTTGAAATCTAAGAAGTGTGAAATATAATTCCATTAGAATGGAACATCCTGTATAATTGTAAATTACCATTGTAGTATGGTCAGCAGATACAATATATTCAGATACTGTACGATCCGATGGAGCATGATGGCTCTCATCTCCATCAGTTAAATAGTCTCGATTGGTACCAGTATGGTATCCCACATATCTTGAAGTATGAGTCATTTTAATACCTATGTTGGGACATTTTTTTTGCAAAAATTACAAGGATGATGATTAATTTATACTATGTACTATTGACATATATTTTAGTTAAAAAGAAAATTAACTAAAAAATAAAAAATATGTAATAGTATAATTTCTAAGTATTTAAATAATAGAGCTTAAAATTTATTTCATATATCCAGAAAATGTAAGTTTCAACAAAACTTACTTAATAAATATTGAATGATATAAAAGAATATTACTATATCACAGATTTCAACCAATGACATTGATCTCACATACGAATATTATTTATTTTATTGCCTGTAACAAAATTATTATTTAATAAAAATAAGTACATATTTTTCTAGTAATCTAATTTTATTATAAATATTGGTATTGCTATACAATATTATGAAACATGAGTACATCAAGTATAAATTAAGTATTGTCTATTTAACTAGCTAAAATTGTAAATTGGATTTGTTGAATTGATATGCGGGTAACAAAGTAAGAATAACATCCTTTGCATATGAATGATAAAACATGTAATTATCATAGAATCTTTCGATTATATGGCGTGTGTCGTCATGCACTTGCGCCGGTAAAGAAATCCTAATTTAGTATCATGATGTCATTTGACAAGGTCGTGTGCATCTTCAATCGGTAACAGAATAATTCTGAATGTAGTTGTCACCTTTGGTGTACGCAAATTTCATTTTCTTATTTGAAATGTTTAAATTTTTCGTATATCTTTAACAGTTGGCATTAAGAGACTATAACTATATATGGAACAAAAATTTCGTTTGCATACACATAAATTAATTTAATTGGCAATGTAGGAACTACTGCAATGAAAATCATATGTCTAAATATTTTGTTTCATTTTTGTTGGTTCAAATACTTTCAATTTTAATACTTCCCGTTTCTATAGTTTATTGTACGATAAAAATACAAAATCTGCGTATGCATGTATAGAAACTCGAAAGGATAAAATTTTACCTGCGCAAGCGCCATAAGTCGTGTCAACTTAGGAACAAACGCAGATTGTTTTTCAATTCATGTCGACTTTTGTTGATTCTTTAGATATATAATCAGAATAAAATTTGAATTTAACTAACGAAGCTACATGAGGAAACAAGATAGGAATAACAATATGATCTCAGATTTCAACAAACGAAATAGATAATAAGATTATCGTAAAATCGTCATACCTGAAATATCCATGTTGAAGACGTTTATCGAAAATAAATTTGATCAGTAAGTTGTTGATCAAGATTTCGTATGGATGCTTCTTAAGTGGTTATGAGTTGTTTATATATAAAATGTCCTTTTTCCGCCAAAGTGTGTTGGTTAAGCATATAATGATATTGAAACATATCGTACATTTGATTTTTCACATATTAGTATTAACGGTACTTGATACATTGCATATTTTAACAAAACACTATACATCTACATTTTAAAAGATACACAGAAAATCATTTTGAGCACTGTTTAGATGGTACTGATTTATTTACGATCGATCAATCAATGTAGGTAGAGCACGACTGTACAGGTTTCTGTGGCTTTCACGCTTTCTGCAAGAGTGAAGATTCCGAGCGAAAGGTGCATTTATTGTAGCTTGCTGGACGAAAGCACATCATGAAGCCTTTAATAGGCAAGGTGAAGAGCTGCATAGTTTTTCTTGAGTGAAATATTTTGTTATTAGACAAAATTTATCTGTTAATCTTTAATCAATTAATTTATAGCGGTAGATTCGTATTAAAATCTCTTAATTGCAATAATTGGTTATTTAAAATATTGTAATAACAGCATTATTATTTGATCAATTCACTAAATATTTAAGCATTGATATGTACTGTAATATTACAACATTTACAATAGTATACATTTAATGAATTGTAATTTTTGTTATAATATTTACGTGATTCAGTAAAAAATTTAGCTAACATTGTTTATAAAATGTTATATAAAAATATTTTTTTTATATAAATGAACATTTATTTCAAAGCATTCTTTGTGTAATAAATATGTATATTATACAACATTCTGAAATCTAGTATTTTATAAAAATATTCTGTATATTTCTACACGTGTACTAAATTTACTTTGCTGTTGCTATAAATAAATTGTAATTATAATTTTTAAATTATAATCAAAAATTTTATATTGACAATTGCGCATGCGTTGAAAGTGACTTCTCCTAAACTTCGCGGTAAAACTGAAACGTTTGTTTGATTAGTTGTTTTAAGGAAATTGTCAGTAAATTTATTTTATCGAACACAATTCTGTTTTTTTTTTTAATACAAACATATTGTGATTATTTTGTGCATGGAGGGCTTGAAATGTCTCAGCACGGTGCTGCTTTACAAGCATATAATCAAGAACTTGTGAAGTGTAAATAAATATAACCTACAATTTATAATTATTTAATTATCATTTATATGAGTGAAAAATTTTGTTTAGTTTACGTGCAATTACATAATGTATTGTTGTAGTCGCAGAATTTTAGGTTCTAAATTAATGCATTTTTTATACTATTTTTTAATATTTTTTAGGTTTAGAAGAAATGAAATCAAGGCGTACAGAATTGCAAGCTCAAATTGAGTCACAGGAGGAAGAGAAAAATAATTTGCAAAGAGAAATAGAAAAATTGTCTTATAAATTAACACGATTAAATGATAGTTTAACTAAAAGGATAGCTGTTAGAAATGAATATGACAGAACCATTGCTGATACAGAAACAGCATATATAAAGGTGCATTTGTTTGTAATTAATATTTCTTTCAAATTGATTTTAAACTTTAATGTAAATAGACCTAAAAATAATTTTATCATTATATTATAAAAATACAAATATTATAATATTACAGATTTTGGAGAGTTCACAACTTTTACTAAATATGATTAAAAGAGAAGCTACGAATTTAGATCAAACATTAGTTAAAGCAAACATGGAGAAACAACAATACAGACTATAAATACACAATGAAAAGTATATGGAATTAAAAAATATATTTATTGAAGTCTTAAATATAAATATCATAGAGATTAGGCTGTTAACAGCAGTTCGATAAGTACAAAATTGTAAATATTTTGTTAAACTTACATATTCTTTTCTAAACTTCCTATCATATTTACATATCAATATATTTTCCGATTTTGTATTAATCAGCTTTCGTATAATATACTTATATTTTTATTGATACAATAGAATGATTTTAACTAAAGCAATAATAACTTTCTACTTTTTAACGAATTTTATAAATAAATAATACCTATGCCATATGTTGAATATTACATTAAATATTGATATTTACCATTTGTATTAATTATAATAACTCGTCCTAATATTAGTGTTTAATTTTTTATGTACATGAAAGTATTACTCATAAACTACCATAATGTCTTGTTATGTACATAAAGACTGACTAATATATTTGTCTGTTTTAAATATTAAGCTGTTTTCTAATGTATTTTACAATAAATTAATTGTATATAAAGAATATTAGAAATACTTTTATATTCTTTTTTATTAAGTAGCATTCTACTGATTTATTTCTTGAGATCATTAATAATTTAAAAATAACTTAAATTTAATTAAGAACATTTGACACAATAACTAAATATATTAAAAGTTTAATTGTATAATATAAATGATATGAATGTAAATATTTTTCTTGTATACTCTTGTTTTAAATTTTCACTCATATTGGAGTAATGTTTTTAGATAATATTTAAGCATTTCCAAGTGCTTTTTGTTCATTCCAAACATTCAGTAACTCATTTGGGTTTCCATATCCATGAGAAGTTATTACATATTTATAATTAAATTTTGTGTAATCTTTCTTGTAAAAATGAAATTCTTCGCAATGAAAAGGCTCAATATCTGCTTTCTTTGCAACTAAGCCCAAAAAAATATCATCAAATCTAAAATGTTTTGTATACATACTAGTATAATACATTTCTAACAGGGCTTCTTTCGATAATATGTATGCACCGGTTGTAATGTATGTTGGCCATAAATGATATGGATACTCGCTAAGAGAAACATACCACTTAGAAGATTTATGACGATGAGGTGAAGACACAAATACAAACCCTGCAAATAATCTAACATCTTCTGGAAGTTCAAAATCAAAAATTTGTTTTTTCCTTCTCTGCAAATTAGTTTCATTTCTTACAATTTCTGCCTGGTCAGAGATCTTTTTCATCAAAGAATTTGTATTAATTACAGTAATTGAATTTAAAGTTTCATTATTAAAATCCTGTGTTAATTTATGATTAATTTCATTGGTAGTAAGAGTGTCTTTTAAGTTTTCACGAACAAGTGAATCATTTTTATTCAAAGTAATGCTATTTGTCTGTGTAATTGAATTGTTAATACCCAATTCTTCTGTTTTATCAGAATCTTTAATCTCTCTTTTATGAGCTCCAATCTTTTTGGGTTCTTTCAGATAATCTGGATAATTAGCTGGATTTCTTATGAATCTCAGAACGTTTCTTACCGAAACATACATATCATCGTCAACAAACATATAAAACTTTGAATTTTGGCAATATTTTACTAACCATTTAAAACTTATCATAGTTTTAATAGTATTATTGTAATACATGTCTCTGAAATCTGCTTGTACAATATCTTTATATTTTGCAGCTTCCATTTCTAATTTTGCTTGAAGTTCATTATCCTCTTGATGTACACCTACGACAAAAATTGTTCTTGAAGGTACATCAAAGAATCTTTTCTCAAAACCCCAAGTGTTTCTAATTGCCATTCTTCTTTCAAAATGTTCTAATGCAGATTTCACTATGTACACAACACGAAAACTGCTATATGCAGCATCTTCGCATTTTTGTCTAATATCAATTTTATATGTATAATTGTACTCATTTATAGGATCAACATCAGGTTTTTCATTATGTCGTAATGCATTAACAAATTCATGTACATCACCTTCATAAGGATAAACAAACTTTGAATCATATGTGATTTCAAGGAAGTGTGTAAATGCCCCAAAAAAATCAAGGATCATGATAAGACCAATGCAAATGCAAACATATTTCAACTTGATTTTTGAGGCAAGTCGAAAGCTTGTTTGAAAACAAGGACGCAATAAACAATACATCCTTATATAGTAAAATATTACATAATTTTTGTCTTTTTAATATTCATAAAATCTGTAAAATAGTACATATTTATATTATACTGAAATATGTATTTTAAAAATCATATAAATAAATACTTACACAACTATCATGTATATAATTTATATGTAAAGGTGTTTAAATATAGTTTTACTCGTGCTAATATTTTAACCACATTAATGTTTCTTTTTTAAAACGTTTCAAAATTGTACTCACAATACGTTTTATTAATTATATTGTTACAGATTACGATATTATCTGTTCTTTATTATTTCAACGACTAATATTGTTTGTATCAGTAATTAATTGATGTATATGTATGCATGAATATGCATATACGTATATACGTAAAAAATTGAATCCATTAATTTATTTATGTATTAAAATTTATTAAATGTTTAATGATGTATAGAAAATTTTAACATCGCGTTTGAAAATTTTAGGTTTGATACTTACTTGATTTTACATTTTTTCGTCTATCTATGGAATGGAAAGAAGTTTACTCAATGTTTGCATTTTCGTGTTACCAACCAAACGCAGCAAAACTATTTGTTTGCATTTTCAAAACTTATCTTGTATTCTATAATGCTTATAGTATTTAATGTTAATAGAAAGCATATACATAGGAATGTAACAGTTATCACTGTTAATTCAACATGTTCGTATAATTATACACAATTATTTTAATACAAATGTCGCGAAAATCTTTTTCAATTTTAATATTTTTCTTTATAAAAACTTCAAATAATATTACAATAAACACATAATATAGACTATTATGAAAATTTAATTTTTACATGTTTTGCGCATTTAAACATTTTAAATGAAGTTTTCTAAATAGATGATACGTCGGTAGCTAAATTACCATTATTTGATTTTGTGCAAATATGTGATTATTTAGCATTGATATTCGATCCCTGAATATAACTCTGGCTGCTATAATGCTTATGCGCACATATGTATATGTTAATCTCTTTCAGAAATGACGTTTCTGTGATGTTGGTAAGCCTTTGTTCTGAAGTCGGTTGTTCACTTCAAAAGAATCGGAGCAAAGATGGACTCCTAAGAAATTTTTATACACAGCAGTCATTCGACTTTGGATTTTCTTCGTTAAATTTCCTTGAAACGTTTGAGATTATTCTTATATGACCGAGTCTGCCGTGTGAACGATGATCGTACAGGAGCCAGTGCAGGTAAAATCATTAGAGTTTAGAAGGAGGCTGCCAGTGACGTGCGATTTTCTATCGGGGCGCATCCACACTTATTGATACTGACATCAGTAATTGAAACCGTTTTCGTATATATTTACTTCTTAACGGGAAACTGATCTTGGGTTATGCTCACTATCTCATGATGCTTTATTTGTTTTGTAATATTACACTTTTTACGAAGTTATCAAATTTTTATCCAATATTCATCTAAATGCATTTTTCCGTGAGGGTGTACTTGTTTAGGGTTGTTTGCTTTTGCGAAATGGACGTAAATGGGAGGGGATATGACTATAAATAAGTAGAAGCATTTACAACGTTTACGCGTTTTTTCTCATATTTTATATAGAAATTTGTAAATTGTCATGATTTTAAATGTGTTATTGTACAGACTAATAATTATACAGACTCCTTGTACGTGTCTTTTGCTTTGCAGAGGCATAATAATTAAACACATTATTGTTACGTATTCGTACATGATCTGTTGATATATTATGATATGTATAATTACAGGCAGCCATATGGCATTGTTTAAATCATTATGCTTATCCAGATGCAATATTTTTAGCAGAAAGGTTGTGCGCAGAAGGCAAGTGTTTGATTTTCTTTAATACAATGTTTTAAATAATTAATTTATATTTATATCGTCTAATTAGAATATTATGTTAATAATCAATACTTTATAGTTGACACTGAAGAAACTTTGTTCCTTTTGGCGACATGTTATTATCGTTCAGGCAGAGTTAGACAAGCTTATGCGTTACTTTCTAAAAAATCTCCAACGTCTGCACAATGCAGATTTCTTTTGGCTAAATGTTGTTACGATTTAGAAAAGTAAGTCTGAAGTTACATTATTTCAATACTTTGGTACTACCGTGTATCCTAATATTAAAATTTTTAGATATGCAGAGGCAGAAGCAGCGATAATAGGAGGTTACTACAAGCAGTTGAAAAATTTAGAAGAAATCATAACTCAGTTTGGTGAACATGCATGCTTCTCACTTCAGGTTATAGCTAAGATTTATTATAAAATGATGCGCACTGCAAAAGGAAACGATGCACATAAACTGGCATTAAAATTGAATCCATTTCTTTGGCATTCGTTTGAAGAGTTGTGTAATGTTGGCGAAGTGGTAGATCCTGCGAAAGTTTTTCAATTAGATAAATTAGATAATTTTGCAATGTGCCATGGTAGTATATCTACTCCCATATATGCCACTGAGTCTGATCTCATTGTACCTACTAATAATTCGAACGGTACACCTACTACAAATGGCAACAATGTGTATGTACATATTTATTATGGCAGTATATATACGAGCCATTTGTTACGCAAGTAGTCCAAGTTCATCTATATTTTGTACTAACAGAAACTTCATTAAAAAAAATAAATGAACTTATACCACTTTGGTAATGAATGGCTTACACGATTATATCATGTTATTATATTATTTGTATCTTGTAGCACTCCTGTGCAAATAACAACAGCATCGACTATAATGAATGGTATAGGACCCGGTATACGGTTATATTCTTCTGTAGACGAGAGTCCGCAAAATCTACCTACACATTATAGTAATTGTTCTTCGATATCGCCAAGAGCTAAGCTGCCTCGGTACCGTAGTATGTTCAATAATACTATGAGTCCTCTTACACCAACTTTTGGTATCTTACCATTGGAAAGCAATACACCTGAACCAACAGTTCTACCTTCGCATACTACTCTTATAGAAGCTAATGATCAGAAAAGTTTAGTAAAACGTGTCACTAGTTTAAGGGCCCATGTGGGGGTAAGTATCGATCATTAAATTCTTAAATACGTAACTCGTAATGTACTGTGCAATGCATAATGTAATGTTTTGGTGCATAGCAATTAATGTCAAGGAAAGAAACACCTTTACAACAAGGAAAACCAGTATTTTCACAATCGGGAAACACGAGTAACAGCGCCAATATTGTAACGGTAACGCCTACTACTCCATCGCCTGCAGCACCAACGCTACAAGGTACTAATGTCAGGCGTTCGTCAAGACTCTTCAGTCACAGCTATTCAGTGAAGGTAGTTATTTCTTCTTCTATTTTACCTTTTCCATTCTCGAATGTATCTAAATATTATTTAGAAATACAATTGATATATATTCTTTTATTAGGAAAATAATAAATCTCCTAATAGAAATAAATTTGCGACACCTAAATCTCCATCTCGAAAGACAAAGGCCAGACTTTCAAAAACCAATTTAAACAAGGCTAGTTTTAATGAGCTAAACGAGAGAAACCGAAATGAAAAGGAGAAAACGGAAACTATTACATCAGAAAAGGCTGTAGCTAATGTAAACGCATTGAACAATCAAAGTAGTATCAACTTTTGTGCAGTTACACTCCAAAAACAATGTGCCGAGGGATTAATGTCACTACTACGTGAATTAGGATTGGCATATCAACATTTAAGTCAATTTAATTGTTCTCAAGCAGTTGAATTATTAAGTGCTCTCCCAGCACAACATTACAATACGGGATGGGTGTTATCCATGTTAGCTCGCGCACATTTTGAAATGATAGATTATAAAAAAGCTGCCAGTTATTTTGCGGAAGTGAGACAATTAGAACCCCAAAGGACTGAACTCATAGAAATTTATAGTACGGTTTTGTGGCATTTGCATGCTGAAGTGCAGCTCTCTACTCTCGCGCAAGAACTTGTTTCCGAAGATCGCAATTCACCAGCTGCTTGGTGCGCTACCGGAAACTTATTTTCCGCGCAAACAGAACATGAAACGGCAATTAAATTCTTTCAAAGAGCTATCCAGGTATATTGTTTATTTAAATGCTTTAATATTTATGGAAACGTCATCCTTGGCTATCAATCCTAATTTTTACTGTATTAAAAAAATATATATTCTAAATATAACTAAATTAAAAGTTGCGTGTTTCAAAAATTTATAGGTAGATCCCAATTTTCCATATGCCTATACACTTCTTGGTCATGAATATGTTATGACAGAAGAATTGGATAAGGCCATCACTGCATTTCGTAACGCCATCAGGCTTGATTCTAGACATTATAATGCATGGTAAGCTTGTTAAAATAATTGTAAAAAATGAATTAGTTTAAATAACGAATCATTTTCCTCGTGTAGGTTTGGGCTAGGAACAATATTTTCCAAACAGGAGCAATATAGTCTAGCGGAGTTGCATTTTAAACGTGCGTTACAAATTAATCCGCAGAATTCTGCGATAATGTGCCACATCGGTGTTGTACAACATGCACTGAAGAAAACTGACCAAGCTTTAAAGACTTTTAATACTGCGATCGCAAACGACCCCGACAATACACTATGCAAATTTCATCGTGCTAGTATTAATTTCTCAATTGGTCGGCACGCAGAAGCGCTGAGGGAATTCGAGGAGTTGAAAAATATTGTACCCAAAGAGTCTCTAGTCTATTATTCGATAGGAAAAGTAAAAATCATTATCAGTTACTTACATTACATTATATGGTTACTTTTTTTCTTACTTACGCTCGTTCTTTTCTCGTTTAGGTGCATAAAAAGTTGGGTAATACGCATCTCGCGTTAATGTACTTTAGTTGGGCCACAGACCTAGATCCGAAAGGTGTCAACAGTCAAATTAAAGAAGCTATATTGAGTCCAGGTCAAGGGGATGAAGAATCTCCGGCAACTCAGTCAGGTAATTAATCTCACATTCACTTTTTATATAATTTAACGTAGTTTTGGAAGACGATGAAATATTTCTTGAGACTTCCTAACCTTCGTTTGTCCACCTCTGTCTCCAAGTATTTGTTAACCGGACGTGTTTTGTTCTTTTCTGTTTCACGCATACAGATGAACCGCAGGCGCAGTATAACTCCATGGAGCAAGAAATTGAAAGCAACAGAGATGGAAGTGCCGCGGGGCCGGCTGCAAATGTTTCTGTTGAAGCTCATGCCGATGACAGTGACGATAGTTTATGAAGATAACCTGTTGTGTGCAAGATTGCTATGGAATGAAGCATTATTGCCCGTTACTATTTATCTTTTTTATTGATCGGATTGATCAATTTTTCGAAACCAACTTAGCTCATTCTGAATTCATACTTTCGCGCGCACTCGTCAACTTCATCTAAGCAGTGCTTTGTTATTAGACATTTAATATTTATAACATCCCCCTTAGTCCCGTAGTATTGCGTCCTTTGGGTAACAAACACTGTCTTTCCACTTTCTGAATCGTACATTTATTTTCTTTTTTCTATCAGTCCCGAAAATGAATACGTTACGGATAATCGATATATCCCCCACGAAAGGGAGAAATTCCACAATATCATCCATTTTATCGATTTGTACATTACGCGTTTCTCTGTATATTTTTTACGATTACTCGTCTTATTTTTATATATATATATATGTATACGTTCGAGCGTTTGATCACTTTCGTTAAGGATTTACGGTTGAGTACAGACTGTATTGCGTTTGTAGGATGGGCGAGTGTAAACGTAAGCATGCCGTAAGTAGATAGGGAATATAATTAATTAACTGAGTAAATAAGTACGAGGAAGTGTAAATGTAAATTATTATTACTGTATTATCAATATTATTATTACCATTAGTGCTATTAGTACTATTATCCATATAATTACTATTATTGATTCAGTAATCACGGGAATATTTTTTGGCCATGTCAATGGCCATTGGACGATCGTGCAATTCTCGTCGTGAAACAGTGTCATCAAATCTTGATCGAACTTCTTAGAACCTGTACGCTGTTCGCGGTTGTTGTTGACTAGACGATTCGATGACCGCAGGGCGAGTCAAATCTGTTCGTATTTGCGATTGTTTATTTATCGGGCGTCTCGAAAGTCTATTACACGTATTTATTGATAATATAGAGTTCTAAATAAAATACATTCTATAATTACGATTTCGTTTTGGCGTGCCTTAAATATCCAACTTCCGTCTAATGTTGTGCGATCTTTACTATTTACTGAATTTAATCATTTATCTGTGTTCTTATTATGTTGATCCTAATTTCTATTTCGATGTTCGTAAGAATCTTCACTCGAGATTATCAACTAAACGATACAATAAATTTCTGTTTTAGACTTTCCGGAGAGCCCACGAACTATCGGATTATTTAATTGTATGCAGCAGAATCTCTTTATCGCGACGCGATACGACCGCCAACAGTCTGGCGATTCGCGTTCGCTGAAGCGTACGTGTGTAACCGCACGGAACGATACGTTAATCGTGTTTCGACAGATTAAAATGTAAAGGTGTATACTTGAATGACGAAGTGATTTACGCGAACGCTACACGAACCATTTGCTCGAGAAAAGAAGTCGTAGCATTTTATATTGTATACATTCGAAGGGAAGAGAGTCGTAACGAGACAAATAGACGAATTGCCGACTAAGACTTGTATATATATAATATATAAGTATACATTTATGTGATACGGTATCTCGTCCCCCTTATTCTTTCAATTAAAGCGTATCCCAATTTTTCAAGATTCGCAGATCTATCTGTTCGTCGGCAACCGTTTATACACGGTGTCCTGCAATACGTACCGGTTGAAATAACGTCTAGACCAGACTTGGGAAAAATTTTATTCGAATAATCGATAAGTAATAAAACCAACATATAGCAACTCACTCGATCTGAAAGTTCAATTTTCCGTATATTTTATTTAAATTAGTTTTGGGAATTAATTCGCTAAGAGCATGTTGGCGTAATAACAGATGGAAAACTGTTTTAGAATCTGACGGATTAGAAATCATGTTTCTGTTTTCATTTTTCGAAGTTTATTCTCAAGTTAGTCTGTTTTTTTAGTTCTGGAATTTATAACACGATAATGTTCATGGTCATGGTAGGATTAAAGTGCTTTTTTGAAAGTCGGTTTCCAATATGAAACAAAGTGCATGTAATGTGTTCATTTTTAATCTTGTGTGACCTTAAATATGTTTGTTACAATAGCATGTCGTTAAAAGGAATCATGTTTCTCTCAAAGTAAGCTTGAAAAATCGAAGATAAAAATATCATTTATTTGTTATTAAGTAAAAAATATGCTATCTCTACTATTATTTCAGAAACTCGGTAGTTTGGACGTTGTTTCAAACGGATTGTACTTGGTCCCCGTGCACATCGATAGTCACTGACGTTACTCGTGGTCACGAGCTACTAATTCGGGCACTGTACGTGCGTAAGGTGGGATGCGCAGAAGATTATTCACCGTCCATTCCTATACATTGCGGTTTCAGTGTTGGTGCGTGTATTATGGTCAAGCGAGTAAATTTGGGCTCGATGCTTGATAAAAGCACACGCATTGACTCTGCAAACCACATCGTGCAACTGCGGTCGGCGGATAATCTGCGCATCTACCTTGCGCACATGCAGTAAGCAGTACAATCGTTTCGACGCCGATAGCGCTAGTGGTCGCATGGCCCCGCGGCAACTTCAATTATGGGTCGGTGTGCATTCTTTAGGTTCTCGTACGGAGTAAAGTTTTGTGCAACAATATTCCTGGCTAAAATCGAAGTAATTTAAACAAGGCCCTTTAATTCTTCGCTTTCCTTAATATTAGTTTTCTACACTATACGCATTTAAGACGTAGAAAGTAAAATGAGATTCCTAGGAAGGAAATTCATTGAGAATGCATTTCTATTTATTTCTGGCGTGGAAATCGAATAATTTCTACCAAATTTTTAAAATAAGGTTGCTACGCGTAGGGTGCATATTCTATTGAACATACTTAGGAGTCGAAAGTTCTGCGGTTCGTGGATTGAGATACGCTTTCAAGTTTCATTTTTTACTGTTAATATTCCCCCCCCCCACCTCCCCCATTTTTCTTTTCTTAATTTAACTTTATTTATTTATTCCGTTTATCATTCATTTATTTCTTTTCGCACTCGGTTAATGAAGGTAACACGACTGAGGGGAGATTAATAGTTCTCTTTTGTTGTTCGTTCGATTGCGTTTAATGCGAATATCACCTGTGGTCGTTGCCTACGAGTTTAATACGCTTTTTAGTTGTAAGAAACGAAGCGAGATTATCGTGCTACGGGTTTCAAAACAGGAAGTTGTTTACATTTTTGTAAGCCGGAATCCTATGGAAAAATGTCTTTAACTTCCGCGAGCAATCAGAGAAAGAACACGCAATGATTATTTGCTTCGTCTGTCTGGTTCTTGTAATAATAATTAAACAAAATCAAGTTCAAGCAACATTAAGGAACGTTGTCGTGTTACTCGTTACAAACAGATGTACGTGCAAAAATAAAGGCTTGCACTTTGTATGATACACTACCATTCTTCTTATTCTTTTACACTCGGCGAGATATATTTTATTCTTCATTGTTTTCATACCACAGAATCATTGGGAACAAAGTTTACTCGTGTCTTCCAAAATGTCACTGTACTCGCGTAACGCTTTCTCCAAAAAACTTGCTTTGCCAATGAGTGTTATATTTTCTAGAGTAGCGTAATAGTTCGTTTATACAGGATGAATCACGAACGTCTTTAGGTATAATGACACAAAAAAAAAAAGAATGCGTAGATCCAAATTAGATCAGTAACAATTGAAATATTAGATTGTACTTAAAAATATAATACAATCAATTTTGTCTTTAACAAACAAAATACGAGACCGTATGTTGCTTGGTAATGATTAAATCGAAGAAATTGTGTAATTTAGATCGGTGTTTTTCAAAGTAAGATCATTCCAGGATCGTATAGGATCCAATATGTCAGCTAAAGGTCAGGGGTCGGGTTTAGATGGCTTACTTTGGGATGGGGGGGGGGAGTGGTGGTGTTGGTGGTTGTGAAACATGTAAAAATATATTTTTGAACCTTCCTTTGCACATAGTGAAACTTAGTTATCGATATTTAAATTATTCAAACGCTTTAATTATTTATTTATACGAACGCATGCTTGAAAATATTTAAGAAATGTAATGGAAAATGAATAATAAATCAATTTTGTTAAGATTCCGTTACTCTTGGAGATAAGAGTTATTTTTAAATTCGTACAACGGGGCAAATATTATTGTCTAGGGTCCTGTTTGATGTTAATCCGCTGTTGGATGTATGTTATCGGTAATCACGCGTCGTCGACTGTAATATTAACAAAGTAAGATATCTCTTAAGCCGTGAAAGTCTAACGAAAACTTTGCATTGCGTTGAAGTGACAGTATCGTACTTTACATTCTTGTTATGCAATACGTGAACTGTGTTCATCAGTGTATAGTTGGTCGATCGCGAAGTTGGACATTCTTCGTGGCTTCTGTCGCGAGAAAAACTGCGTTTTTAACTGAATATTAAGGGTCAAAGATCGATTTTTGTTGGGTATATCTGATAATTCTTTTCTTGAAAGAAAGATGACAATGGATCGCGTACAAACTGGTAAGTGTATTTATATCGTGATTAAATATTCCAATAAATTCCTATTCGATAAATTATGTATTGCAAGTTGTACCAGTGCGTTTCATAGCAACATCCTTTCGTAATTAAACAGGTTTATACGAGTGGGGTTTTAAGGTCACGGTTTAAACTTCGATTCCATGAATTTTATTTTAATTCTTAAAACTTCTCCAACAATTTAATGATTACTTGTTCCACGCACAAAGTGAATTGCAACAAATCTGTTTATTTAGTGTTGGGAGAAAAAGATTCACACGAGCTTGGCAGGACTCTTACTCACGAGCACCTGACTTTAATGTTCGAAACTTTTTACGTTCCACCTCCGAAACATTTGAAGCCTTTCCTGGACAAAAAGATCGAACTTCGGAATGTTGGAATTCTCAGACAATACCCGTGAGTCTACTACATATATTTTGTATTAGTGAAATTAAGGGGGGCTCAAGTCATCAATTTTACCATTGGAACTGTCCGCCATTTTATTTTCATCGAGAAACGCCAGCTTTCGAGAATAAACCTTTTCCCCAGACCGAACAGCAGTTTTTGCAACATGAAAATTATGAACAAACTTTTATTCACAGCTACAGCAATACGTATAATTTAACGTTTAATGACGAAGACACGATGGATCCTATTTCGGAAGAAATGAAATTCTATCGCGATTGTGGCGGTTGCACCATTGCAGAGAACAGTAACCATGGCCTGAAGCGTAATATTTCGTCAATGAAAAAAGTCAGCAGAGAATCTGGGGTCAATCTTATCGCTGGAACAGGTATCCCCATCTCCGAAATCTATTAATTTCCATCGGGTGTTCCCCAACGCGCGAAAAGTATTAGTTGCATACGAAGTCGGGGGGAAAAACACGTCATCTTAGATGCGATTCAAGTATTTATTTAAAGTGAAACAACAGACATTATTTATGGAACGACCTAATGTTACTCGATTTTCGGATTATTTTTTGTTACTGAACATTTTAATTGTCCCGCAAGGCTATTACGTGGCTGCGACTCAAAGTGCCAGCGAACTCCGATTATCGAAGGAAGAAATGTACAATGTAATGTTAAGAGAGATGACGATCGGTTGCATAGAGTGCCCTGATGTCAGGACAGGTTTCATCGGGGAAGTTGGAAGTACTTGGCCATTCGAAGGCACGCACATCTTATTTTTAATTATTACTGTGGGAGTTTCTCACATTACCTTCAACAATTTCGTTAATAATTAATTTTTCTTGGGGCAGATTTCGAGAAACGGTCTATTCTAGCGGCTGGGGAACTTCAGGGGCAACTGAAGTGTCCTGTTACCTTTCATCCTGGAAGACATCACGAGGCACCGTCTGAGATAATGAGGCTGTATCAGGAAGCTGGCGGTGACGCGCGAAAAGCAATTCTCTCTCATCTAGATCGTACGTATGTTTTTTTCAAAATGGTGTCCGTCTCAAAATCTATTCTTTAAAAATTTAGGCGCGCATCCGATATATTAGTTTTATATCAACAGGAACCTTGCTGGATGAACAGAAGCTGTTGGAGTTCTCCGACGAGACGAAGTGTTACTGCCAGTTCGATCTGTTCGGAGTCGAATGCTCTTTTTATCAACTGAATCCGTCGATCGATATGCCGTCCGACGCGCAACGCATAGATCACGTCAAATTACTCCGGGACGATAAAAAATTGGATCGCGTGCTTTTGAGCCACGACATTCACACCAAGCATAGATTGGTATGTATCGACGAATATATTAATTTTATTAACGCTCTATAAATTCGCATTCCTTGAAAGACGGTGTTCCCAAACGAAAGGGAATAAGTAAAAGAAAAAATTATACTAAAAGTCATGTGTAAACAATATTCTAATACAGTGTTACATTTTGTACAGATGAGGTTTGGTGGTCACGGATTCGCCCATATTTATAACAACGTTCTACCGAGGATGCTGGCAAAGGGTTTCACTCAAGAAGAAATCGACATCCTAACTATTAACAATCCAAAAACTTGGTTATTGCGCTAATTATCAGCATCGCGAGACCGTGTAGCAGCACACAACGCATTCTTAATAGCCTCAAGACACACTTGCGTACCAGAGACAGATTAAGCTAATTTTAAGTGGTATTATAATAGAAACGATAAACGCTCGGATAAATTTCAGATACGTTCGGTTCAAAAAGTCACCGTGCACCAGAGATAGGCGAATAAACGAATTCAACAAATATCCTATTTCTACAAAAACTGCATAACATGCCTTTTTTTCAATAACTGTCAAGTATCTGTATCCATAATGCTATATGTATATTTGTGAACAGAACGATTAGATTTACAAGAAGGCATGTAAATAAAATCGTTGACCCCGAAGACCTTCTTGTAAGCATAAGGGATGTTATCAGCACGATAACAAACCGAAACACATTGCTTGTTTTACCAAATGACGGCTCTAAAATAAACATTTTGATGTCCTACGGTGGGTCTCCACGTTCGAGTACCACCGAGAAACAAATTAAAAATCATTATCATAAAAGAATTCAAGCTATCATCAACGTCAAGGGCTAGATACAATAAGTGTTAAAGCTATTTGACGTTAGGTCACATTATTGATCACATTCAACGTTACGTCTACTGTTTATTTACTGTTCTAACGAATACTATGCTTCAAGGTATACGTCAAACGCGTTTCCAAAAATGTATAATCAGAGATTGCGGTTTTCGAGAGTCACTGTACTCGTATGCTCCAAGTGTTGGATCTTTTACCACAGACGAGGTATACCGAGGTATACGAGGTATCTGTGCTTTTACCTTATACTTTTGTCTACCACTGTACGCGTCGAGGAACCAACTTCTTACGACGAGCGTTCAGTTATCCGCGACGAAGTTTACAAGACCGATCCCGGGTGTTTACCACGGGGACAGAAGTATAATGATATCGCGACACTGTGACGATACGGGTGGGGCAAGAGGTAGGAAGACGACCCTTGAGGTCGAGCCTCTTGTCTCCCTCCGTTTCACGGAATTAGTTTATTATCAAAGCGAGAACGCGACGCGCGCGACCAGCGTACTCTCTGTGTCGTATCGATCGGTTGTCTCGCGATCAACGAACCAAACCGGAGCCACGAGATGAGCGTGCGTAAACCGAGAAGGGACTCGGACGTCCTGTTGGCGAAGTTCGGTCACAAGGAGTTCCTCTTCAAGTTCCTCGTGATCGGTGATTATGGCGTCGGTGGGTTTCGCGTATCAAGCTTATTATAGTTATCGTTACACGAGCCTTTGCGTATTTATATTTATATTTCAATGACACACACACACACACACACACACACACACACACACATACACACACAGTCCACAGTTTGATTGGTGTCAAAATCGTAGAACTCTCGACAGGAACGAGACAGAGATTTCTTGTTTAAATATTGCAAAATATGAGAAAAATAGAAACAATTGGAATTATTTGACACCGTTCGTAGTTGACTTTTCTTCGTTCAAACGCGATGATTTTGAATTGAACAATCTCTGTTTTGTTATTTTAAAATTGGTCTTCCATAGACGGCCATGTTTGTTTTTCAAGCACGGTAATCTATTTGGTTCTTTGGTGCCTCAGATTTTGAGAAATTCTGAGTTCTGTGACACTTGTAGAGGTCTCTCATTTTGCGTACGATGTGTGATTAATCACTATAAAAATATTAATAGCGGTTCGACGTATTTTCAATCTATCATTAAGATACGTTGTCGACGCGAGTAAATCAATGAGGTTGCCCTTGATTTTATGTTTTCTTCTTTCTCGAGCGTATTTCTAGCATTCAGTAATTACATGATTCATCGATAAGCTTGAATTAATTAATTATGTACGAATTCTTTGTCTCGCTTAAAGCTGCTATTGATAGAAAATTATTGTTTCGAATAATTACAAAACAGTTTGAATACGATGCAAATGGAAATATTGCGTTTTTTTAATTCGTTTCAGGGAAAACTGCGCTCGTCAGGAGATACACGGAAGGTAACGAAAATTATATTTATTTATATTATACTAATACTGATGCGTTTACGCCTGAATGCATACAGGGACTATCAATTTAAAAACGAGGTTCTTCGAGGGAATTCATTTTTTAAATAATATGGCGGACGTAAACTTTTTTACCGATTGTATACATTTCCCACGATCCCTAAATAACTGTTTTATCTACTCTCGATATATTGCGTAAACAATCATCTCTCTACTTTTATTCTTGATCTCGTTTAATTAATCACTCGTGCAACCACGGTCTGACATACTCGATAATATATGGGAAGTTCAAAAGAATGTATCATTGTAGTATTCATCGGTAATACGAACAAAATTGCGATTATTCTTTGCAGGAAGGTTCACGTCAAATTACAAGATTACCATAGGGGCTGATTTCGCTATAAAAGCGCTCGATTGGGATCCTCACACTAAAATAAACTTGCAATTATGGTATTGTCGATGCGTTCATTCGCCTGAATGCTGCTCTGTGCGTTCACTCGACGCTTATATTTTGTATCAAACCATTAAATATAAAAATTAGTATCGTAGTTGTCTAGTGAAGTGCAGATCAGTTTCCAATATTAGCGTGCATCGACGTAACATATTGTTTTATATTTCGACTTTCGTTTTCAGGGACGTCGCCGGCCATGAGAGATTCGGATACATGACCAGAGTCTATTACAAATATGCGTGAGTATTTAAAAAAGGAAAATAAAAATAAGAAATAATTATTTAGAAAGTTTTTAGAACGCGTCTGTTACTTCCAAACGTATTTCATTATTTCAACTACAGAATTAATAAGTATTTTAAAAATGAAATAGTTGAAAATAGTATTTAAAAAAGCTCGAAATTTATAATTATCGAATTACTATAATTTCTCATCCTTTCTAGAGTGGCCGCAGCTTTGGTTTTCGACATTTCACGTGTAGCGACGTTCCAGTCGATTAAAAAATGGCTGTCCGATCTGAGGGAGAAGGTCACGCTACCGGATGGTAGAAATATACCCGTGGTTCTTTTAGCAAACAAGTGTGATATCCCTTGCCCTGTGGTCCCAGCCGAGCAAATCGCCAAATTTTGCAAAGAGAACGATATAGGTGCCTGGTACATAACTTCTGCGAAAGAAAATACGAATATCGGTGATTACAGTTCTTATCGAGTCGTAAAAATATACATCGTACGTCCGTTTTCTTAACTTGAGCTAAAATAAGGATTTTTAAAATGTTTTCCTCTCTATTTTCACAGACGTGGCGATGCGTTATTTAGTGGAGAACGTACTGAAATCGAAAATCGAAGGCGGAGTGCGCGATTCCGTCAGACTGCGAGACAGGCCTCCGATTCGAGAGAAGAACGGATGTTGCAAGTCATGATCAACGCAGAAGACTCGGAGTCACTTATGGTACCATCACGATCGCCCCGAAACAATTATTTTCTTTTATAAAAAAATCCAATCGAAGAATTAAACAATTTTATACGAGAACGATTACACGCCGCTGCTTCGTAAACGCGTAATAGAATGTATTTTTACTGTAAATTCGATAAGCTGAAAATATTTATTTCGAAACAGAAAAGTCAGGCGACTCGAATGGTCTTGGAAGTGGTCAATTAGCCTGTCTGGGAATTTTTGTCGCCTGCATTTTTGATCTTATCGACAACGATTTCTAAAAATAGAATTGAAAATTGTCTAGAAATTTTGAAAATACAGCGGCCTGAGCGAGTCAGGTTTTTGATAACAGTATTTGAGAGACATAAAACAATGAAATATACAATAAATCAGTTTTTTTAACGACCCAACTAAAACGAAAGATGTATGTATTTAACGAGATACATATGTACTTACTTGGGGTCAAAATAAAAGGTAAAAGATGTACGATAAAAGGAATATTTAATTTGTACTTCTTCGGTAACCTCTTTACATGGCTCTCGTTATTTGGATTACGTGAAGAGAACGGCGAATAAATATGATTTTGTAATATTAAACTAACGAACGCAATAGAAATTTATTATTAGATTTACTTTGTTTTTACATTATACCGATGGAGACTGATGTGCGCGTTTTATTTACAAATATACTCGTGCGCAACCTTTGGCAGAAGTTCGACACTTGCTTCCGAGCATCTCGAAGATTAAATACACGTTTATTTTTTTAATCTATTTTCTCTTTACCACATTTTTACTAACGTTTCTGTTGGTCAGTCGACAAATAATTTACTTTCTATCATACAATACTAAAAATTGCTTTGGTTACACTATTACCTCGCTCATTGACCGAACATTTCCCTCGATAATTTAATCCAAGTCGTGGTACTATTGGTAGCCGAAGAAAATAGTCCCAAAAGGAACGCGAATCCTATTTGTCAGATTCTTACCCCCTCCACACAGTGCATGCAACTGATGGATCTTTCTAGTTTTTATGTTTTCTTAAATACTCTTGTGTTACACTTCAAGACAGTATTTTTCAACTTCTAAAAATTCTCTAACTTCCCTCTGTAATTGAATAACGACTCGCGATCAGTTAAAGAGGTAATACTGTATCGAACTCCAATTACATTACAGCCCTGCTGTATCTTTCAGAGTTAACAACCAGAAATTTAGATTCCTTTGTAAACTAACTTCAGTTCACGTTGCAAAAGCCAATTTACAAACGATTCTAAAATCTTTATTCGTCACTCTGAGATAAAATTTGTCCAACTTTCGTTTACACTCTCTTTAACTCTTCTCTGTACTTCCTTAATCCTCCGAGCGATCTCCTCGATTCTTCTTCTTTCGTCAACAACTCCTGTTTTCCGCTTCGTTGATCGTCCCTAATCGCTATTATTTTCGTCTTGCAGTATATTTCAAATAGAAAATATACGTTTCGTTCCATATGCTCGGAGGATTAACCGCATTATCGCCTGCTGATTCTTCCCGTTCTCGATCCCCAAATTTAAGGATCGTCGTCGAACCGAGAATTCCTCACCGGATTCATGGCAATGGAGACCGTCGACACCATCGTCTTGCTGAAGTCCTTCGAATAGTCTGTAAAAGAAATCGCGCGGATGGAAATCGATTCGTAATACCGGTTCTCCTTCGAACGCGTGCTTGAACAATCGATGGAACGCATAGCAGTAAGCAGGAAACTGTTAATGAGGAAAACCGACGAAGCGGGTGACTCATGTCCATGGTTAGCTTCGAGTATGTTTCTCTTCTCCTTGGACGAAAGAATTTAGTTTTTAACGCTATAGCTGGGTATTGCGTTCCCTACAAACCTTTATCAACGATTTATTAAGCTGTTGTATACGAAATTTCACTATTTAGTGATTAAAAGGCACCACAAAATTGTGAACGAATTTGAATCTTGAAATTGATACAAACGAGATTGATATAAGATCTGGAGAAGATTTGGTCTATGAAATTAATAAATGTAATTAGTGACAGTTTTAAGTAGACACATATACACACATGGACTTGAGAGTGAGGATCACTGATCTCTGTATACTAAATGCCCAGAGTTGTACAATTGTTATATTCGTTCTTAACTTCGCTATTATTTGTAAAAGCTGTTTAGTAAGTCCTGTTAGAGACTTGGGTTTGAGATACGATCGCTTACTGCACTATTTTGGAGAAACAGCTGCGAGCAATAGCCATGAATTTAATTAGCGAGGGACCAAGGCCCTAAAAATGGCCCATTGTCGACAACTTTCGTCGTTTCTGGCTAACACGTGCATTTCTAGTGTCCTACTACCTCATTTGCAATAGCAATTGACGTAGCATGTGTCGTCGAGGGACACTGGTAATCGTTTCCAAATGTACAACTCTGGGGGGCCCAATGCCCCGCGTTTCAAGGCCCCATAAGCTAGTATAATTTTCTCAAATTACTAATAAAAATGTCAAAACTGTGTAATTTTTACTTTTTGGTAATCGTTTTCAAATGTACAACTCTGGGGGGAGGAGGGCAATGCCCCGCGTTTCAAGGTCCTATAAGCTAATACAATTTTTTTTAAACTTTTAATAAGAATTTCAAAGCTGTGTTATTTGTTTCAATTTCGAGGTTTCGATCAGCGGCGGGGAAAGGGTACGCGACATGCCCGGTGGAAGAGCAATTTGCAATCTTAGAAAGCAGAGGAATTTGTGCCCTTGACTTACGAAGTGAGCGAAGTGTGGTCGCTTAGCTCGCGTTCGGTCAGAGCTTGGTGAGCGTTACCACGCGACGGTGCTCGAAGTTACCTTGGCCGTAGTCCTGCTGATGGTGACCTGGGGCGCTGCTCCCGTAGGGCGTCAGACTCGCCCTTATCCGCGAACAGCCTATCACGCCCGCGTACGCCTGCCTGTACTGCTTGTTCATGATCACGTATATTATCGGATTCACACAGGAGGCAAAGTACAGGAGGAGGTAGCCCAATACGTGAAATTCTAAAAACACACAAACAACACAGACTTTCAATTTTCGATAAATTTTGCGTCATAATGGGGGTGGTATTCTTTAACGTCAAATCAGAGACGAGGTATACGAGTAAACCTTACATCTAGGGAGTTAAGGAACAACTTTCCGAACATTCTTCAATCCGTTCAGGAGTTATGATTTTTTAAATATAAACATTTCTGGCCCCACATTATATTTTCGGTAAACAATTTTCTTCTCGAAAATGCGTAGGAATTCGGGGATATGTCTATTCGCCAAAAATGATTATAATTGACCCCCGCAATCGAAAATAATTTTTTTAGAACGATTTGAAATTTTTCAATTTTGTCGACTTTCTGCACCTATTGAATTTTTTTCTCGAAACTGCGTAGGAATTCGAGAGTGTGTGTATTTACCAAAAATGATTGTAATCGACCCCCGCAACTAAAAATAATTTTTTCAGAACGATTGGAAATTTTTGAATTTTGTCGAAAAATTTGCAAATACCTGGATACCGAACTTCAACGTCGGCAACTTTCACGATAGTAATTGGAAGGTAACAAGCGACGAAACTGAGAAATATAGCGAGCACCATCTTCGTTATTCGCCATTCACTGCGTCTCTGTTTGATCTCCCTGGTGTCCCTTCCGGGCGTGTGGGGCGACTTTATCGCGGGCGTCGCGTGTTTTCTCATCCTCGACTCGGAGCTGCGAATCGCAGAGCGTACACTTTTGCTACCCCGAAAATTAAATAAAACATTTGTACCTGTGCACGACCCAAAATATCTTCGTGTAACATCCGACGATTACCAAGCAGGGTATCACGAAACCCATGACGAAGAGGAACGTCTTCGACGTGCTGCCTCTGCTATCCTTCACGATAGAGCAGGTTTCCAAATTTTTGTCGTAGTCGAATCTGCCTGAGGTTAAAAAAGAAGCGAGTGTGATAAAATTATTAAAAACTATTAATAATTTGATGCAAAGCTTTTTAAATACACTGCATCTTACCCCAAATTCCTAACAGGGTGGGCACTTGCATTCCATACGAGAACAACCAACAAAAGAGAATCATAAAAGCGATCCAATACTTCTTGTACACCTTGCTGTACAAGCCATGGTGGGCTATCATGATGTATCTGAAATATTCCGGATAATTTGTAATATTTCGAAATGTTCGTTCGTGGCTGCTATTTAGTAATTAATTACCTATTTATTGTTATAACTGCGACGGAGAGGAGACTGACGCCGACGTTTCCGTACCTCAGGAATGGCACGAGGACGCAGAGAAACCGCACTTCCGCCCAACTCGCGTTTACGAACCTGATGGAATCGAAAGGCAGCACCAGGAAACAGAACACGAAGTCTGCCACGCACAGGCTGCAATAATTTCGAACAAAAATATTTTTAATCCCTCCTTACATTTTCCCTCGAATGTCTCTGGATGTAATTCAAGTTTGACAATAAAAGTCTACGACAAATTTCATTTTGCCGTTGAAAAGACTGGACTAATTTTGTTGATTAAAAAGTCAGATTTTCATTATAGATTCTTGCAATAACGATACCTTATAATAAAAGCTGCAGCAACGTTGCGAACTTTTGGATATTTGCATAGCGCGATGATCGTCAACAGATTGCCGATTAGACCAACGATCATTATTAGAAAAGCGACAACAGCTGCAAACGTTCTCAGCGGCGTCGGGAATCTGTACAGACAAATCCCATAATCTTAAACCTCATCTTCGATATACTTTAAAGAGATTTTCTAAGATAGAAATGCAGAATTATTCGAAAATGGTCCAACGAGATCGTTTCAAAGATGGCGGACGATAGTGGAAAAGAACTTAAAGTGATTTCATTGGTTGCAACCTTTTTTTTTTATTATCTTTGAACGAAATCAATTGCAAATCCCATTTTGATAAAATTGTTCACGATAAGCTTAATTTTTATAGTAATTTCTAGTCACCTCGATAGCTCCCCATCGATTATAGCGCCTTCGGTATTGTTGTAAGAAACACGCAGCAACCACGTGGCCAAATTGTCCATTTCGACGATTAGTTTCTGTTCCGTTTCGAGTGATTCATTCGATTTCGATCCACCTTCGAGGCCTGGAAATAGATCAACAAATAGATACAAATTGTACACGCGTCTACGGTTCGAACCGTGACTTCGACAAAAAATTATTTCAAATACGATGATCTACGGTCTGCTGTCGTCGTTCTGAAAGCAATTTCATTTCTTTGACACGCAATGCTGATTCTTTGGATGCAAAAAAACTGTGCACGTTCACGTTTTGACATTGTCATCGTTGTTCAATTATTTTTTTTCGAACAAGTTTCTCGAAAGAGGCGATACTTCTAAGTGAATTGTACTTTCAGACATAGAATTATTATTTTTATTTCTGATAACAGCACCGGAAGTATTAATAAAAATAATTGCGTATAAATAATTTTTATATATTGAAAAGGATGTAAATTAGAAGTTGAATCATTTATATGAAATGAACTATGTTTGCTTGAATTGTAACAATTCAACAAAGGTTAGGAGGGCATCAATCATCGAAAGTGACTCGAGGGAATTCATTATTATTTATGGGGTCGTCGGAAGGGTACTTTTATTCAACGGAAGTAGGTCATCCCGGAGTTTTTACAAAGGACAATGTAAGATGTTTGCGAGAACATCACCACTGACAAATTTTTCAAGACTCGACAACTTCGAAATTATGAACTATTCCACCGAGTTAAACTTTATTGCGTGGGAGAATGCTATGAAATATTGGAGTATCGTTAAATCGCGTTTATCGGAGACTTCAGGCGTGACTATTTCTAAACATAAGGTAAAATTAATAGTCGATTCAAGCTATTAATTCCAGTCTAAATATATCCCGAACGTTTTCGACCTTCATTTTTTTGGGTCATCTTCGGTGGCATAAAAAATGATCTAAATTTATTTAAAACAGGAACAAGTGGTCACGTAGCAGAACAAATTATAACATCAGGCATTTTACCTTTACGAACATTGTTATACTTTATTGTAAAAGAAATTATGGAAATAAGAGACATTGCCAAGGCTTGTGTTTTGCACAAATACACAGCTGACTATTTAATTTTTTCTTGTCTCGAATTCATAGTTGTTCGAATATCATCGGTATTCAGTGAAAGGATAAATGGTAGATGAAAATTGAAAAGTACAAGCAAATAATAGCGACGTCATCGATAGAGAAACTATACGTGAATTTCAGCTTCTGTTGGATTTGGTAAACTAGGGTCAAGCTGCAGTGCATTAACCTCGATTGAGCTTAATTAAGAGAAATTAACGGACACCCAGTACTAGGCGTCCCCTCGCGACAAAAAACTCGTCAAAACTTATGGAAGACATGGGAACCAGTGGGTGATGTCCTCCAGTTCCTCTATCGTTTCTTTCGACAGTAAACTCTTGGTTATCTCTTTGGACGTGCCTCGTGAGATCAATCCTCCGTTCCCAGCTCGAAGCAAAGTGCATTTATAACATTACAGAATAAATTACACTCGACTAATAAGTTTTTAAAAAATATCTTCGGTCGTATCATTGCAATGTGGATCGAAGTAGCATCGTGTTCCATAATGGCGTCGCTAAACGAACCGAAAAAAGGCTTAATTGGCTAACTGGATCACTTACAGCTGGATGAATACCGAATAACGACGGCCCACGATCGCATTAACGCCACCTAAGCCGCGAAGGGTGAATTTAATCGTGTTCTAGTAGCAACGAAATGAATTAACGTTGAAAAGAGTGGTACAAGTTGTATCGTTTCAAATTAAAATAAATTGTCTGCAAACCTGTAAATTAAAGAATATAGTGGATATTAAGTTTCAGATCAAACAGAAATATATTTCTTCCATACTTCTAGTACACTAATTAAACTTCAAAATCAAGAAAAGCTCAGGGGGGAGGGGGGGTGAAAAATCGATATTTCAAGGATCCAAGATTCCCAGAAAAGTTACAAATACAATACAAATATTAAACTTTCTATAATTATTCAACCCATCAAAGCAAATGATTTCGTATAGGGTTGCATCTCCTATAGCCATAATTTTTATTATAGTTAGTCACTATAGCGAAGTAAAGTACTCGGGAAGAAAGAAATTCTTGCGAAACGTTTCTTTGTTCTTCCTCGTGTTTCAGCGATACATTTCGACGCGTAAGAAAAAAGAGAAGACAAAAACATGGCGGACACGCGCGTGTGTCGTGTTCCGTAGAATCTTTCGCGATCGACTGACGTCACCGAATGATTTCTGAGTTAATCACGCGGCGAATGGCAATGAATGAGTCAAGTTGACTCACGGTGAAAGTATACTAAGCAGCGCGCGGCGAGACGATCATGGAAATCGGTTGTTCGTCGCGTTTTGTTGAAACCTCCATTCATGGATACGAGATCGACGAGCAGAAAACACGGAAAGAAAAAGAAAATAGAAAATTTGAACAATAGAAAAGACGGGAAAATCTTTGACCATGTAACAGTAAATAACGATAGTATTGGCGAGGATCAACGCGAACGGAATAATGACGGCGATACGAATTGTATTCTTAGCTGTTAATGCTATCCGAGCGCCATCGAAGAATGTGCACTGAATTTACAGTCGCTCGTATTTCTTGAGTGACACGTGGACGATGTATGCACGTGCATCGAGTTCAGAGAAAGCACACCTACACGAACGAAGACCGGGTAAACAGTGTTTCTGGGCCGATATGGAATCGCAACAGTGCAAATGTTCCTTCGAACAACGGTGCTTGTTATTTAATTAGTCGCGAGGAGGAATATGGTTCAAGTCGACAGGTGCTAGATATTGTTTTAAAAAAGGCAATTGCGTCAAAGATTCGCGTAGGAAGATTTAATGGCGGAGATTCTGACCCCGGAAGATCAAAAATCCACCGATCGACAATTTTCTTTCGTAATTGTGATTACAAAATTGTTACTTGAGAGTGTACGAATACAGAAAAGTCCCCTAATTTACAACGTTAACGAGTCGCGATATTAAACTACGAAGACGACGATGACACTGGACAACGAAGGGTTAACGTATGAGACAATAAAAGCATGGGTTCGAAAATTGGAACAGACGCTCGTTGCAACCGTAGATTCATGCTAGTTTACGAGAATTCTAGATTGCTTTTAATTAGTCGCCACTTGTTGGCGAACAGGGTGTCGGCTAAAAATTTTCGCGTCGATATGACTATTAATGGCGGAAAAGTTTTGAACAATAACACGAATATACGTGTATCTATTGACTCGTCTGTCTCCCCGTTGCTATGAATATTTCACGTATAAGCAGACTTATGCAAATGGGGGGACGGATGAAGAGAATAAATTAGGAGGAATCGACTTATATCGAGATATTGAAACTTTGTCGATATATCGATGCTTGCACATAACGTATGGGAATAATAACATAGATCGAGAAATTAAAATTCAAGTAATTTGTCTTGGTTACAGCCCCTATAGCCATCTTTCTGTACAGTAATTAAATTTCAAAATCAAGAAAAGCTCAACAGAGGGGGGTTAACAAAAAATCAATATTTCAGGGATCTAAGAATCCCAAAAAATAAATATTAAACTTTTTATTAAAAGTATTAGCGATAGGGTACCGATAACCATGTTTTCGAGATCTCTGGTTCGAGGACCGCCCACAACACCACGTGTTACAAGAGACTATGGACGCCTGCACTTACCGAACCGCTGCAGCGCTGGGAGAGGAACAGAGAGCGACAGGTATAAAGAAGAGCAAAGAAAAGAAGGGAAAAATACATAGACGTCATTCGTGTTGCGTATTGTAGGAGCCTTTTTTTGTCTTTAAAACGTTCGTTGTCGCACGAAACACATACTCGCGTTTTTTGCCTCGATCTTGGCATTGGTCCTCGAAACGGCGCATATGCCCGCTACCAATTGCAGTTAGGCTCGTCGAAGCATGACGACTATCAAGGTCCTCGAATATTCTCGAGACATACGAAAATTGTTATTAATATTTCACCCTCGAATGTCAAAGCGGTTCTAATTTTCAATCTATTACGAAGATATTTGTAAACTATAATAGAAACCTGCTTGCGTTGCTCGATATTTGATAGTAATTTTGTGACAATAACATGATTTATTTAAAATGTAATAATACAATAAGAAGCAAATTGTTATTGAACGCATCCAAACATAATATGGTTTTGTAAACGAGAATTCTCATTGCATTCTTCTATGACGTTGAAAGCGACGTCAAAGTTTTTTTAAATGTATATTGCGAATATCAACATTGCGTGACCCTCTTCAAAATAATATCGAACGCGTGTCAAAGCTACTGTTTTCATCGTTCACAATTTCACTATTACAGACATTAATATCGATTCACGCAATGAAGGGATTATTTTAAAAATAGTAGACCGCAGAAAACATGCAATAACACACTGAATAACGATCAAACACGCGAGAAAAAGCCTTAAAATTTACAACTACACAATAATTCTTTGTTCAAAGGATCGTCTAAGATCGACGTCCTCGAATCATCGCTTCCTCAAATAAACATTACCGCTCGAGCGACCGCGAAGGCGCGCGTTCGAACGGAAAACGAAAGCCCGCAGGAAGATAAATGTACCGTCGACGGAATAACGAACCGTACGAATTCCGATTCTGACTCACCGCATTAATTCTTTTCACGAATCATCCGTCATAGCGATTCGTGGACGGCGGAACATCCGTGTGCCACCTCGACTCGCGGATGACGCGTCGAAAAAAAAGAAAAACGAAAGTGGCGAGTCCCGCGAACGATTCACCGACGATTATCGACCACGTGCGAGACGAGACTCTCGCGCTTCGATACTATCGAACGCGACCACTTTTGCTTCTACGTTTGCCGCGCACGCGTTCGCGCACACGATGGCATATCGCTGTCGATACGCAAAACGTTTCGAGTAGATCGACGATCGATCGACTGTACTAAAATCGATTGTCGCGAGCGAGCAGCGACGTTAAGACGACCTATCCGTCACCGTCACCGCGGATGGACTGCTTGTCGCGCTAGATACGGGCCCCGGCGGTTCCATGAAGGGTGGGGGGAGCGGACTTAGGCGAACGCAAACGCAGGCGTGTGACAATTTGCGGGGTAAACGCACAGCGACTCGAATTAATATCTAGACAGTACCATTTTATTTTTTTAATGATAAAGGGAACATAGTAAATGGTACCATACAAGTTTTTTAAATGTTCCTTGATGTTTTCTTTTCGTATTGTACGAACGAAGAAATAGGGCGAGTTCTCTTTCTAAATTAAGCACACCAGTTATTCTATGTAATGTTCTATAGAAAATATTTTATTTTACTAAATCTATAAAGTAACTTTACGTATGGAGTTTGAGATCGAAAAATATGATTTGATCGTCGAATAAAATTAAACGTTCGTTGACACGAAACTTTCGTGGAAATTGTAGGTCCAATCGGTGATCGTTTGAAGTACGATCAGTTAAACCGTCATTATTGAAGTGTTGTCAGCCGCTGGTTGCCGCGCTAGACGCATATTGCCCTAGATTAAGCCTAGAGTTACACCCCCATCTCTAATAAAAAGCAAACGTTCGACGATTTATCGTCAAGGGGCCGTTTACCCGGTCCCCTTTCTAGAAAAACTTCGACCTAAATCAGTGTAAACGTTACATTCGCGTACCCACCGAACGATGTTTAAAGAAATCGAACAATTTTTCCATTCGTCTGTGAGAATTTCGGTGACACGAAATTAATCTTGCTTTTATGTCTTCGACGAATTAAGAGTTCCTTGGTTGGCGGTGCCCGGATGCGGGTTCCGTGGAAATCGGGATATTCGTCACGAGATAAGAATTTATCTCATGACAAATTAAGTACGAAATTAGTGAGAATGTACTTCAGCAGATTTAAAAAATTTTTCTACTAAATCGTAGCATTCCTTTATAAAAATAGATAACGAAATTTCCTAAAAGATACTGTTTACGTTAAATATAATATTATAAATATTAGGTAAGGTATAAGTTGAGTAAATTACAAGTTAATGGAGATGAAAACCGCGGGAGGGGTGGGAGGAAAAAATGGTCAAAGAACAGAAAGCCATAAGCAACCATCGTCCGTGGTCGGTGACATCCGGCTTACGCGACGTTACGAATCAGGCAATGCATATCTGCATGGAAGTCTTGGACGACGTAGATGTACGTCGCCATTACACGCGGTGAATGATTTATAGAAACGCGGGATCGAGGGATCCTCGGTGCTCCCGGAGCACCTACGCCTCGAACGGCGCGGTGTTTCGCCCGCTGAAAACACGACGGGTCCCTTACATCCTTTTTAAAAATAATTAACGGTGGAACAACGCGAGGGGGAGACGCAACAGCTGGGTGCGGAGCGTGTACAACGGAAGAGCGCCGCGCACCGCGCCCCTAATAAATCGGAAGTGGCACCGTTCCTCTTTTTTTTCTTTGCTGCGCCTACTTCGCAAGGAGGAAACGCCATTTACGCGGTCACTCAGCGATCGAGTGGTAAATAGAATTAATTAAAACGGACAGGGGCAACTAGTGAATCCACGAGGGGGTTGATTTAAATCGTATGAGGTTTGTTTACGTGGGGTAAATCCCTTTGGGGGAGGGGAGAGGGGTCCGTTTACCGATTATAATCGGTACTAATGATCGATTAACCCTGTTGCTACCGGCCTGTGTTCGCGTTCCTAACGTGGAACGTGTTTGATGTTTAGGCTGCGGATGTTTATGCATTTTAATTCTCAAAGAATTACAAAATACATTTAGTTATTATATTTAGGGTTTGAGACCTGTACAAAGCTCTCAATTTTATTATTTCTGTTGGTAAACATTATTGAAATTGAGAAACTACACGATTATAATGGCTCTTCTAATTAAAATAGAATGAAAACTGTGAGAGATAATCTGGTGCTCATTGTGAAAATTTTTCTTTTAAATTTTAGAAATAGATATTAGTTAAATGAAATTCCCAAGGCCTGTGTTACCTTCGCTTGTTTTTACAGCCATAAGCGGGGTAGATTTGTTTGAACAGTGAAGAATAGGAAAAGGGTCGTCGTAAGGTGTAAAGACAATAAACGTGACAATTTTTGTCTTATCTTTCTAAATATCCATATCCAAATACGTTGGACTATGATTAAAAACTCCATTATTCAGTATTTTTAGAAATTGTTATTAACGGAGCAATTAAAAAATGAAATCGTTCTGCTTTAAAGGATGCAGATTCTGAAAACGATAGTAAAGAGATGCTTTTCAGATTATTAATTTCGTCGAATCGATCAAGTTTGATTTAGAGATGTTTGCAGTTTTTAAAATTCTTCGAAACGGTGATGTTTCCAGGTGCGGAGGTAATAGTCATTGTTATTCACGCTAGATCACGCGTCGATTAATCATAGTTAATGAAGGATATCGAGAATTCGATAATTCCTATCGCTTTTACTGCTTACTTTACTTACGAGAATCGATTATCGCATTCTGCGATTATCGCGACCATTCATTCTAGTTATTTTTACTACAGATTGCGTGAATATTTTGAAATTCAATTTCTGTACAAATTATACATGCTCGTAAATATTAACATTTAGAAAGGTGAGAACTCAATGTTATTTCTACTTCCACGTTTGCTTCTTTTAGCTTGCAATTCGATCTATTAATTTCTTTGGAAAGTGCATCGATAGTTTAAATAATATTAGTTTGATGTTAGAAATGTACAAATAAACATTATTATATATCAATTTCCTTATTTTCGATTTGGGAAAATTTTCAACCGAATATAGAAATGTCCGGCCAAACAAGGCTGCAAATACTCGTAAATGTACTTTATTAAGCATCTACGCCCCCGCACAGTGGTACGTCAAACGTCATCCGACGAGTTCACTGATTTCATCGTTAACGTCTTACCGCCCTCGGATCTGTTAACGACAGCCAGAGATTGAAAGACTCCGTAATTTACGAGGAAATCCCGTCAACACGTACGATGCACCGATTTTCAACGATCATAAAAACTAATATCAAATTACGTCCCACGAGCGTAACGTTTTCTAATTCTCATCCTCGATACAACAGCGAAATTACATTGGACTCAAATTAATTAGATTTAAGCAGGACACCTATAACGTTTGAAGTTAATGTATAAGATTTTGTTTGTTTAAACCGTATCTCCCGTTGCCAATCCCCAAAGCTACTTCGAAACAAGAAAATTCCCCCGATATCTATAAAATAGATTTCCACGCGTTCCTTCGGTCCATGAAGGACACTCACCCCACGCCTGCGCTCTATTAGGATCCAGAGATCTCTATCGGCGAATTCGGCGGTTCAGCTGGTTAGTCGCTTCGCGAATCACGCGGGATTAGGTTTCAAACATATGTTTCCCTCAAATTCGCCTCCGATTTCGCCAAAAGATCCCCGACCATCGCGAGTAACGAACTCTCACGACGGAATCGAATTAACAATGTGCAAAGTTACCACGGAAAATAGATGATTCGATCGTTAAAAGTTTGCTGAAACAATTTATAAAAGGTTACAACTCGAAACGAATGGCGTTCGAAGGGTAGACCTCGGAGGTACGCGCAGGTGGGCACGAGCGTTTTATTTACAGAGACATTGACCGCGTTGAGACGTGTGTGGAAAGGTGGTGAACCGAGTTAACAATGTGGCTCGCTGTTAAGAAGATTCGAATGAATCGAGAAGAAAAGTGTACGCGTGCTCCGCGTCGGTGAAATCTCATAAATGATCCGCATCAATGAACCCAGTGCCGACAACGTTTGCTTCTCACGAAGGTAAGCGCTGCTCCATTCATTTCTGGGTAAGGATTCGCGTGAATGGACGGATTGTGCTGACGATAACAGCCCGACACCGGTTGATACGCGACGATAAAACTCGCTTTCGCTCTACGTTTGTTCGCTGTTAGACATTCCCGCGTTTCGTTCTATCGGTTACGAACGAAAGTATAAAAGAACTATCTGTAGAAACACATGATTGCCACGTCGAGTGACTGGTTTTCACTCCTATGTAAAAATGCATTCGATATTTCTTCCAATTTTGATTGGTAGTTCAGTGATGGACCTGCAATTTTATATATTATTTATTTTATGCAATTTTATATATATTATGGCAAAATTGATTAATATTGATGTAAATAATACTATTTAAAAATTTATGAGTATTAGGGATCATTACAAGTGGTTGAAAGAAAGCTTAAAGTGCCGGTTACCAGCGACCACCGTGGCAGTCAACGTGTTAAATAGACAAGATAGTCAGGAGATTGTATTATATTAAGTTAATTATGCTTCCATGAGGAATATTAAGCGGTTAATTATGCTTTTTGAGGAATTTGAAAGAAACCCTAAAAGCTTGAAGTGCCGGTCACCGGTGACCACCGTGGCAGCCAACGTGTTAAATAGACAAGAAAGTCGGGAGATTATGCTATATTAAGTTAATTATGCTTCTTGAGGAATTCATGAATAAATTTGGTTGAAAAAGACATAGTTGTCTGTAAAGCTCGATGGGCAAAAAATTCTGTCTCTTTCAAGATGGACACGTTCGAGAAAGATTCGCCCTTTTCTTAGACGGTCCACGTGAAATCTGAAAACGTTTCACTGAAGCTTTGGGGGGTTCCCCGGGGAACGCAATACCGTCCGTAAGGTAGAATCGCTTAAAGTTTACTCTCGGTTGAAAGAAGTTTATCGTCACGAGTGGCGAAAATAGATTTCCTCTCTTCCCTTTCGACGCCCCACGGTGAGAAAAAAAGAGGTTTTCCAGTGCATTTTCTAGACGTGCGAGAAACACGGAACGCGAAACGCGAAACGTTGTAACGGGAAGGAAAGAAAACAAATGAACCGGACGGGAGCTTAGGAGGAACCCAGAAAATGGAAACACGAAAAGCAGAAAGAGATCAAGGCCATTGTTTGCTTAGATCATTGCAAATTGATCGCCTTTTGCGACATAATGCGCATTCCTACTTTAATTCGTAAACTAACAAATTCGAACGATAGAAACAGAGTTGTTGTCTAATAAATAAAACTTCGTCCATGCCCAATTTTTCTAAGTTTACTTCACTATATTCGAATAAATAGATGTCGATACTGACTGTAATTTTTTTTATAGACGCATTAATGATAAATATAATATTCTGCGGTAATTTTCTCGGCTATAGATTTGGCAGTTGCCGAAAGAAATTCGTATTTGGAGGAATTAAGAGTATAAAGAGTATATCGGTTCCAGAGAAAGATTGCCGTGGTCTTTATCTGCGAGCTGGTCGCCAGATTTTACGGCCCTGTGCAAAACGACACCTGTACACCATGCTGTCCGCAGATGGAGTACTGGATGGCGAGCAACGAGACCGAACAGAATGGCAGAGCAGAGGCACTCGAGGAGGTCCTTCAGGATCCAGGATCCGCGGTTCTGTTCGTCGGTTATCCACGATGGCTTTTACACTTCGCCGCCATCTGTTGCATCCTCTTCATGTTCGTCGGCATCCCTGGGAATCTTTTCACCATTATTGCCCTGTACCGTACCAAAAAGGTCAGCGTACGATTAACACACTTTTGCCACTGTTAAAATATACATCTTGCATTTCATTGCTTTATATTAATTCTTAGAATAATTATAGAAAAAAAATTAATTGCTGTTTTTCTCTTTGCTTGGTATAGTTTGCTTCTTTGTTTTCACATGGTGATTATATTGCTTTAATTGTAAATAAAATTATTTGGTAAGAAACATATAATTCCATAATTAATTTTCCTAATCTATAGTTTGGACGATATCGAACATGATTTAATTAGTTATTAATAGTCATCGCTCACTGTACGATATTTTCTGATTGGCGAATATTAATAAACGATTTAGTGGAGAATGTTTTGCGTTTTTGGTTTCTGCATTTTTTAGATGAGAATCGGATTTAGCTGATGATTAAATAATATCGATCGGTAGTAATCGTGAACGTGGATGATTAATAATTTTAAGATAAATGAAAGTAAAGGTGGGTGTGTGGTATACGATAAAACGAGGAATCCCAAGTGACGAATATCTTACATGGCACGAGATAGATTACGCGTCGCGGTTACTCGAGTTTCTAGTATACTTTGTCGCTATTAAATCTCAGACTGGATAAGTTAAGAAGCGGGATCGTCTGTGATCTTGTTTTAGAAGACAATGGTAGCGCGTAACGAGGTCCCATCGAACGCTCGTTACTAAATTTTAATTAAATATCGACGCAATCACTAAATTATAGATTGTAGCAAACGATATTTTCTTTTTCTGCGTTCGAATTTTTGGACAATGAAATGAATAATATACTGGTGAATACATAGGTTGAGATATTAAATAAATAGGGTGAAGCAACGAACAATATTGACAGAGTTCTGAAAATTTCGAATAAAATATTTAGCAGTCCCATAATTCTATAACGTTTAAAGAAGTTAAAATAAACTTTCCATATTCGCCGCGTACATTAATAAATATTCGAGTTTCGTCACTATTTGTATACACTGCCGCTCAAAAGTTTGATAGCGCGTCTGGTATAGCAAAAATTTATTTTCACGCGTTAAATGGATGCAACCGCGTCTGTAAACACGAATATATATTTTTACTATAAATGTTTGCTTTCGCGTGAACAGTCACGTTACAAATATTGTTAGTTCCATGAAAATAATAATTAACCTCGTACTCTTTTTTCCTCCCAAACGAATAACAAATAATCGAGCACGTTTAAATGATATAATAGCGACAATGTTATTCGTTGCAAAGCGGAACGATGCATTGAAAAATGTCTGCTTTATCGAGGTCACGTTTTATGAAATAATTCTCAACGATACTGTAGCTCGATCGAATTACGAGAGTTTTTCGTGGTTTCGCGTACGATTTGCAAACTCCGTGGATGTTTATCCGTTCGAATAGTCTATTTACCGAGCAGCCTCGATCGCCAGATAAGACGTACCGACGCCACGATAACTCCTCGCCTCGCATATAAACGTTTTCCTTTCTTCGAGTTCACTGGGATTTATGTAGGAGACGATTTTGCAACGCGCGATGCATACACGATTTATTTTAAATCGATAGCCAAGCTTCGAAATAACCATCAAACTCTACCAGCGACTCTACCGTACAAAATTCGTATCGAAATTCGTTCGAATAAATCGTTATTTCAAATAATATAACAAACAATCTAAAACCAACGTCACGTGCTCGATATCTTTTCTTATAACTAACAATGGGACTCCCAGTAACAAGTTAGATGAGTCACCATTTTGTATTGTCCTATTCTTCGTTCGAACTACGTTTAAGCATGCATCTAGACGCGTTTGGTATAATAAAAAGCCATACTTTTGCTTTCCTACGAGCGATTCTCATTCGTTGCGTGTAAAGATAAATTATTATTTTCGTAGAAAAAGTATTTAAAGTACTCTGGCGATTTTAAGTCTCCGCTTTGGATAATTCAAGATGGCGACGATCGGGGATCCTCATTCGCGAAAGATTCTTCCGCAGAAATATTTTACATTTGAAATAAATGGTATTTCTAGTCGTTTGTGCTTCTATGCGAGTGTTACTCGTTCGTAGGATTTCATTTTCGTCCATTGTTTCGCGCGGTAATGACCATACGTTTCTAAAAATAGCGGTAACGTAATAATCAAACGAGCCAATGATCGAGAGGTCAACGGCACCGTTTGTTATGAAACGAAATTTTCGGATTCAAGCGTTGCATACCCGATGCAGGACTGAGACTAATTGTGGAAATCGAGCATTCGAACACTTTGGAGACTCAAATATGCAATTTCTCCGATCGATGAACTAGAATTAAACAAGGAATAAATATTCAATGACGAGTTTTGCTTACCAATGCAAAATACCAAACGAAGCATCAAATTCTATACATTCGGTGTCTCAATTGTTTCTCGAATTCTAAATTTCATTTCAAGTTCGAGTAAAAGCAATTAATTTTTAATACGGAAGAATCATTTCCCAGAGTCGTTACGCTCGATTCTGGCAACTTTAAACCGGAACGTTCTTTCGCCGCGGGAATAGCTGCTGCGCGTGAGCCTGAAATTAGGCAATCGACTTCTTACGCCTGTGCGCAAGCAAAGCATCGATAGGCGTTCCAATCGAATGGAAATTGAAATTTTCCATTACACTTTTACGATTTTTAATTATATACTATTGTCCCAAACAGGAAAATTAATGTTTTGAAGATAAGTATACCTATTTGTACATTATTTTTCAGCTGAGGAACGCCACGACGATCTTCATAATGAACCTATCGGTCTCGGATTTTATGTTCTGTTGTTTTAATCTTCCTCTGGCCACGTCGACTTTCTGGCACAGTTCCTGGAGTCATGGAGCACTCCTGTGCCGGCTGTTTCCTTTGCTGAGGTACGGTCTGGTCGCAGTGAGCCTCTTCACGATAATGGCGATCACGATCAATCGTTATATTATGATAGGTCATCCTAGGTTATACCCTACGTAAGTAAATTTCCAGGATCTTCGTGTTTAATTCCGTGAAACCTGAACCATTTATAGATACGAATTATTATATTTAGGGATTGAGACTACCCTCTACAAAGCTTTTATTTCATTAATTCTATTAATAAAGATTTTGATATTTTGGGAACGAAAAAGAGAAAGTGAAATGATACAGAAAAGGGTCCTCTGCGATTTCATGACAAAAAGGACCCCGCACAAATCTTCTGGAAAATGCTCGTAAATTGAACAGTTACCGAGATACGGGGCATCAAAAGTCAATAATAGTGCGCCTTATTCTAGACTACCACGTTTGAGCATATTTCAGTGTAAGACGCACTGTTGTACACTGCCCATTTATTTGACCTCTTGAAACTCAGGAATTGTACTGTGGGCTCTTAAATACTACCCCTTGACTTCCTGACCCTCTGAATCCCATTCAGGAGTTAAAATAAAAAAACGCCAAAAAGGTAAAAAATGGTTCTCTTTTTCATTGTACAAACATGAAGCACCGTCGACATTAGCACTACCCAGTGTGCACCACGAGGAGGTTGCTCGATCGGATTTTGCACACCATATGGCCCTGAAGAGGGCCGTTTTTACAGTTCTCCCTATTCGACCATAAGAATCTCAACATTCATATTGTCTTGATAGTTTCTATTAACGGCATCTCTGGTCGTATTTAGAAGATTGCCATCCGAATATTTGACATGCCTTTGATGATGAGCAAATCCTAAAAACCTTAAAACACTTGCAATATGTGCGCATGTACCCAATGTTTTGGTACCGGATTGACAGATGTAGTAGTAACCATTTATTACTTCCTCTTCTAGTTCCAGTTCATTTTTGGGAATGTGAGAAATAAGAACTTGATGTTTGGTACGATTCCGAAATCGTGAATAAACTGTTAGTCTTCTAAGGCTGTTATCTGCCAACGAAGTGTCAATCTCCACTAATAGAGGGCATCAAGACAATATGAATGTTGAGATTGTTATGAACAAATAGAGAGAACTATAAAAACGGCATTATTCAGGGCCACATGGTGTGCAAAATCCGATCGAGCAACCTCCTCGTGGTACACACTGGGTAATGCTAATGTCGACGGTGGTTCATGTTTGTACAATGAAAAAAAGAACCATCTTTTACCTTTTTGGCGTTTTTTTATTTTGTCTCCTGAAGGGGAGTCAGAGGGTTAGGGGGTCAAGGGGTAATATTTAAGGGCCCACAGGGTCACAATAGTGCTCCTTACACTGAAATATGCTCAAACGCGATAGCCTAGAATAAGGCGTGTGGCATCGCCTCCCATGCTCGCCACCAGAGGGGTCGCGCTCTCACAAGCGCTCGACCGACCCCTCGGTTGCTATAACACAGATATACATTCCTCGAACGACTTCCCAATATCCCAGTCGTCTAAGGCAGGGCCTGCTAGAAAGTCTTACTAATGAGTCCACTAGCAGGCCCGGACGAAACGCGCCCCCTCCTTTCCTTTTCTGCCCTCCTGCGATTCTCACGAGATCCTCCCCTCAACGACACAGCGCCACAGGCGCACCATTATTGACTTTTGATCCCCCGTATCTCGGGAACTGTTCAATTTATGAGCTTGGGCCCATTGGAACTTTTCATCAAGACATCATGAACTACATCATATCAAAAGTTCAGTTAATTTAACCGGGGGCCATTTTCCATAATATCTGTACGGGGTCTTTTGTAAAATATTGACTTTCGAGATTGTCAAGAATTTTGAACCTCGAAACATGTTCATAGTCTTTTCTGTATCTTTTATCGAACACCCTAAACCTTGATCCATCCTAACAACTACGTTTCATTTTTCAGATTGTATAAACCAAAGTACTTATGGCCCATGGTTCTGAGTATTTGGATCGTCGCGTTTGGCATTCTGATCGTCACGTGGTTCGAGAGCTGGGGCCGTTTCGGTCTGGACACGGCCATTGGTTCCTGTTCGATCCTCCCGGATGTTTATGGTCGAAGCCCCAAGGAGTTTCTTTTCGTCATTGCTTTCCTGACGCCCTGCATCGCGATAATCGTTTGCTACGTAAGAATTTTCTGTATCGTTAGGAAAACGGGCTGCAAGAGCAGGAGAAGAAACGTGGCCGCCACTAGAAACATTGATAAACTCAATCACGAGGTGAGAACGATTCTGAAATGTAAAATTGGAGAAGTAATATTTTGAACTACAGGAGAAAAGAATAAAAGTCCATTTTGACGAATGGTATGAAAATTTTATAGCATTGTCTGTATACTGCAAATTATACTCAATTCCAAAAGCGATTTTATTAAAATATTTGGGCATACGTAGAGTTATTGATGTAGTTAATTAGTTCAATGTGTATTCTTAGACGTAATTTTCTAAATTCGCAGCCATTAGCTCGTTGTTACCCGAGACCAAGGATTTTATATAAAACTTTCTATAAAATCGTTGGTTGCGAGTAACATCAATTACCAGGTCTCACCACGAGGAGATCGCTGCGAATGGAGACCCGAAGAAATGGATGGAATCCAAGTTCCATCGATCTCCCTTTTACATTTTTAGAAACTAGACTACTAGAGAGATAAAAGGAAGAAAAGTTGGTAGCAGGAGGCGTTTTTCAGCTTCGTTTTCATCTGTTACAGCGAGGCTCCGTGTCTCCCAGAAATCAAGAAGAGGAGCTCTCGGTATTGGGATCGAATTGCACAGCGAGTGTCCTCTGTACAAACTTCGCTTCGAAACGCGCGATCACGCCGTCGAATCGATTCAACGATTCGCAGACGCCTTCGAGATCGGCGATCGAAGAAACGCTGTCGGAATCGCAGCCCTCGTGGCAGCAAGAGAAAGATATCAGAGACGACGAGAACGAGGAATCGGAGAGGAAGGATTCCAAGGAACGACCGGACAAACGGAACAGTCAGTTGTCGGCTTTGGAAAGCGTCGAAGTCTACGAGAAAATAGATTCCAGTTTGGGGATCAAGATTGACGATATACCGTACGTCGACGAACGCGACGATTTAGACGCTACGAACGATAGTTGTTCGAACAACGATCGAAATACGATTCAAGGATCGTCCGCGAAGGGTTCCGTGAATTCTCGAGGTAAACTGGAGAGAATGGCAAGCAGGAGCTCGTTTATAATCGAGCTGGGTCTCTGGGTTCAAAGACTGAGCTCGAAGGCCTCCATGGAGAGCGATCGTTTGGAGAGCTTCAGCTCAAACTCCCCCGAACGATCTACGCCAAGGCAGCCAGCGAACGGTGATCGAGACTCGGGATCCAAGAAATTGAGGAGACCGAAGAACTCCTCGGTTCCACCTAGAATGAGCAACAAAGACAAGAAGTTGCTTAGTATGATTCTAGTGATATTCTTGTCTTTCGTCGTTTGCTATTTACCGATCACCGTCACGAAAATCTCGAGGAACGCCATCGACTGGAGGGGTTTCAACATCGCTGGTTACATCTTGATTTATTTAACGACCTGTATAAATCCTGTGGTATACGTGGTCATGAGTTCCGATTACAGAAGTGCCTACAAAAACGTGTTACTGTGTAGAAACGTGTCCAGAGCGAAAAATGAATTTAGGAGGCCGTGAGGGTGGAAGAATTTTCCATCGAAACAAGCTGTGTTCTTCGAATAGTTTTTTAACGAATAAATATTATGAAATAAATATAAATTTGTGTTAAGAATGTTTAACATCTCCAATATTGTCTATATTATGTGCAAATGTTAATGAAGTGTTTCGTCGATATTTAACACGGAAATAACAAATGTAGAAGCTTCGTTAGAAAACATTCTTTATTCGTTAATTACACTTCGTTACATAATCCACCAGTCGAATACGGAATAAATAATAAGTACAATCTGTGTTTATACGCTTGTACCAAATTATTCCGACGTATCTCTGATATTTTTTTTCCAACTTGCCAAATATTTTTCTTCGTCGTTCAACCCTCTGAACAATACGTAACAATACGTATCTTATGACACTCGAGAGATTATAAGAAAGCTAGCGATCAGAGTCCCATCCAAATCGGTCCAGCGATTTTTATGATCATCGAACATAATCAAACTCGCAATCTCTACCCCTTTGTATTATAGACTTACGATTTGATGTATAGTAACGCTCAGGGTCGGCTTAAGGGTGTATGGCCGCCATTGGACCATATAAAGTCGGCCCTGATAACACTTAACGATAAATAGTAAGAAACTAATACGACAAAATACATTTTTTAAGATATTTGCAGTAGACTAATCGTTGCTATCAAGTTTCAACTATCAAAATGGTACATAATCTTCAATATGATTGTCAATACCGCTTGTCGAATAAATTTATAAGATGGGAGAGCGTTTCTATGGCGACACTTGCTTAACGAATACAGAAAGAAATTTTTAATTGAAGCTAAGGGCACGAAAGCTGAAAATTATTTACAAAACAAACAACTTGTTGGAAATAGACAAGTGTATATTTCGATCGCAGATATTTCCTTTTTGCACCATAGTTTATAAAAGTAAGAAACTAATGGCCATGTATTTGTATAAATTACGCATCAAAACACTTACAATTCAATACACGAAAATGCTATACAAAGTCAGATCACAATATTGTTGATCAGAAATATTGGTATTGGTTTCCATAATAGAGGAAAATAATTTCATAATGTGTAACAATAACATTGTTCAATAAAAATCATCTTTCTGTATTAATAAATAAATAGTACATACTTCGAGTCAACAATGTTGCTGCTCCAGGTTGTGCAATATAAGAGTTCATTAAAAAATTCTGCAGTTTCGTGATGTAATAATATTGCGTTTTACTATAAATTTGGTGCGCTATAGTTTAATGGATTGATCGTGTAATTTTCAAGTACATTATCGGCCACGTATAATGTTTTCGTTTGCTAGTATTTTCAACAAGTTGTTAAGTTACTAAGCAAATCGGAAAATTAAATATTAGATTAAGTTTTATTGAGCAAAACCAGCTTATAACTTTATGCACTGTTGGTTCATATCAAAAAAATTCTGTTCTATATTCTCGATTTAAGAGGATTTTATCCGAAATATTGTGCATTTCAAAACTTTAATTTCTTAATAAATTAAAACTAGTTCAATTTGTAATAACGACGCCGTAAGTACCAATACTTAAATAATTTCGAAACTCGTTCTAACCTCGTGTATGGTCAATACTGTACTAGTAGGAGGTCAAGAGATCTGTCCTGAAAGTAACGCGAATCCTATTGGTTAGATTTTTTTACTCCGCCCTCGTAACGCACGTGACGAGCGTGTGGACCAATAAAACAACACATTCATTAATACCGATACGTATCGATTCCCAAGTATCGTATCGAGTCATTAAATGAATATAAAAATAAATTCTCACTGTTGCTAATAAGATGCACTTGTTGACATTTCTTATAATAACGATACAATTCATACATTAAGTATTATCGAGACTTCAACTAAATAACGTTGAAGCTACCAAGTATTAAAATTATAGATCACTCGAAGAATTTCAAACGAAACATCAGCATTTTGTAAATAACTTTAAAGAAACCATTGAAAAGAGACATAAAATAAAAGATAGTAACGTTATCGGTAGTTTATATGATACAAACGTTATCGATGATCTACAAATTGTATACATCTATGGCGTACGTTGATAATATGGAAAAACGTATGCAGAGTATACTTCATAAATTAACATTTAATTTAATACGAGTAAATAAATTCTGCAGACATGTAGCATACGTTTCTCATATTTACGTGCGCTACGAATGCATAAAATCCACAGTCTAGTTACCGCAATCTCTCTGATTTCTCACGACGTACGAACTTCCTTTCCACTCGCGACGCCATTTTTTAGGCTCTCGAAATGTAAACTGTAATTAAAATCCAAAGTTGTGTCTAATTCGCGTCTAGATTGGGCGGTACGGCCGCGCTTTGTATCGTACTGATGTTCATTTGCGGCGGCCATTTTTTCTGGTCATCTTCTTTCGCGCTCTGTGACTGTGGCGTCACTTTCGTGATGTCCAGCTTATTCTTCTCCCTGTTCTTGTAATGCAACGCAGCTGCTCCGCCGCTTAAGCAGGCACCGACGACTATAGTCAACCACTTTAAGAATCTGTTTAACAAACGTTTAAAAGCCATTATTTACAGTATAGTATTCGAAAATGGCGGACGCTCTTTGTACGTCCTCTGCTGGGGCCCATCTGCAAAAAACTAATAACATTTGAGTATGTTCTCATGGAAATCGCTCAACTCTAACGATAGTGGTGGTGGCATCCGGTGGCCCTGTGTATAAAATACGGAATAAGGATTTACATATTCCTCCTTTCTTTAAACAGCGTAACTCGAAGAAGGTATTTACCCGACGGCGTTTATCGCGAAGAACACGGTTTTCAATTTTTTCACGAACTCGTCGCCTAGCAGGATTCCTTCCTCGACCCAGAAAAGTGGAAACAGACACTCTGGGAATTTTTTCATCAACTTAAACTTTTCGACGGGATGCAGGAACATGTTGAATTGCAGTCTCTTGTGCGCGTTTAACGGGGTGGCTGTCATTGGCTCGAAGTCCATAGAGATATCGTGCTCCTCCTAGGGAAATTGTGAAAATGTTACCATTTTTACAGAAAATTATAAAGGCAGTACCAGAGAGGGGCGTGATTTTATTTAAATATTAGCGTGTATTCCAATCACATTTTTCATGTTGAATTTTATTTAAAATAGACGTCATTTTAATTCCATTCTTCCAATCGCGATTCTAGTATTTTTCTGGTATTTTGTTGGTTGCAAGTCAAGAACTAGCCTCGTTAGGATGGAGTCCATCGACGAGTTTCAGATACTCATCCGATCCTAGAAAATGAGGTAGCGAACCGACCATCGGCACACCCAGGCACTTGGACAAGTCGTGCAAATTTTTCTTCAAGCAAGTGTCGGGCGTGGGACAGAAACACTTCTCCATGGGATTCGTGCTCTGGTCTCCAAAGTCAGCCGTGTAATGATTCGTGTGGACCCCTGCGTAAAAGGGCGGGCAATTCAGTAAACGCATCAACAATTATGGCGATTGGGGGATCGTCTTGACTTTAAGCTTCGTGCTGTGTACCTTTAACTTTGGTCTTGTGTGTGAAATGGGCGGACAGGCTTCTGCAAATGTCAGGACTGAAGGAGACGATATCGTCGTCGTCCGTGAGCAACGGTGGAAAAATGGTGGAATCCGTTCCGTTGAACGCGTTGCAGTGGTCCTCCGACCAAATCGTTAACGCTGGTTTTCCGTCGAATTCCGTCACGCGACCGACGTCTTTGTAATTTTTTATTCCACGCAAAACGCGTATACGTTCGGGAACGATGGTGCCATTTTTCTGTACAAAATATGTTTATGTATAAAATGTCTGCCTTTGCTATTTCATAAGTAAATGAAATTCAACGAATCTAAACGATTATAATTAGAGAACATATGTACATACTGGGCCAAATAAGGAGAAAAAGTAATGGCCCTGGCCGTCTGTTGTGAAATCGCTGCTCCTGGCCTTTAAATTATTGCAAATGGCGGACCCAGCGAAGTCCTTCACCGTACAGTCAACTGGCAGACCTTCGAACAATATTTCCTTTGCTGTTGCCTTTACGAAAACTGAGCTTGGCTTCTTGAAAATGCTGTCCACACCTTTGTCTGGAATCGGGAACGTTAAATATTTTAGGAAACTCGATAAAACGACAAGTAATTGATTATAGGTTTACGATCGGGACGCCAACTAACGGTTTCTTATATAGTTAAAAACAAGCTCGAGAAAAGAATAAGACGATAAGTGTAGGATGAGTTGAGCATTACGTTATGGAGAACAATTGATTATTTCACCCCCAAGGCAGGGTGTAAGCGGTTTATTGTTAGCTATAAGATACGGTAGAGTTGGCCTTCGCTTCTGATCGAATCGAAGGAATATTCAATCGAGTGTTCTTGGAGAATAGAAACCGTGAAGAGGATGATGTACTCACTGATGATCCCCATCGCCCCGGGTTGTTCGGCCAGAGTAATTTTTACAATGCTGAGAATGAGAATATGGGGGACGTAGAGCACCTCGTCGCCGGTTAAACCGTTGCTGCGCGAAGGGTTGAAGTACCATGTTGCTTTTACGTTGTACTCGATGCTGTCATCTTCATCTCGATCGACGAGATTCACCTTCTGTTTGTACTCGCTGGAAATAACAAATGTATTTATTTATTCCACGATACATGTGTCCAATGTGTTCTTAGAAACAATTTTTGTATATTGCAGGTTCCATTTGTTTGCAGTTTTGTCGAGCCTCTAAAAAGAGTGTCTTTTTTTTTTTTTAAACGACCGAAAATTAGAAAAAAACTTACTCGTAAAAGTATGGCCCCACTTCCTGAAGGATCGGTTTCTCTCCCGCTGTTATTTCGACGGGATTCGTTACGTTGAAGAGATAAATTTTAAAGTCAAGCGGAAGGGGGAAGTTCGACCACAATTCGCGCATCTCGGAACCATGTCGCAGCGATACTTGCTGGAATTTCAAATTGTTATAATAATAGTATAAGTATAAGCAAATGGTCTTGTCATCCAGAGTAATAGATTGACGAGCCCCGATAAAATTACAGATTGTTAATAACGTTAATAATAGATCAGGTAACACAGAATATCATCGTTGCCTGCAGCCTGTAGCCGCGTCATCTTCTTGTCTTTGAAGCCGATACTTATCGAAACGACGATAAGTATTGGCGTTTTGCAGCCAGTTTACATATCTTATCGAAACGAGTATGCTTTGCATTTAATTGTAAGAGTTAACCGTGTTCTCTGACAAAGGATGTTGCACGTGTGTAACGCGATGACACGCGATGGGAAATAATTATGGAAAGTTCTGAGTAACGACAAACACAATGGAGAGGAACGGTGTAGAGTGACTATTACAGAGAGAAGAATACAACTTTTCTGCGGGAATAATGGTAGGTAAGAAACGGTCGTGAAAAATTGAAAGTAACGTTAATGGCGTCAGTAATAAATAATTGTTACTCGATGCAAAATAATAAATCAAATAAAAATTACCTGCTTAAATTCTATTTGAAACGTATATAAAAATTGTATACCAAATCAAAAATTTATCAGTCAATTTTTACTAGTTATTGCTAGCTACTTTTGGTAAAAAGTTTCCTCAATTTATTTCTTAATTCTTAATTCTTGCTGTAAAAGGGACAAAAATGATGGTTTTCTTATTAGAATTGTCTGCTTACCCTCTTGATCTGTGACCTTAGAAACGGAGGAAAGATCACTGCACAGAACAGAACGCCGAAACTGAACATAGAACCACCGATGATTCCCAATTTCTTCGGCTTCATAGTAATGCACTAAGAAAATCACAAATCTATATTCGACAGTGTTCTCGTCCAGTGCACTCACGTAAAGATTTTCAGAAAATTTTCTTCGGTAAAACGTGGATTTTGAAAAAAAAAACTGGATAAGAATCTAAAATAAATCCGTAAATAAATATTTATCTCGAGTGGAAAATTTTGAGAAAATCACGCGCGAGTCTAAATCGATTTTAACACACTGAGCGCCGACACTGACAGCATGTAAAAATTTTTTATATTTTATAATGTTACCATTGAACTCGATATATAATTTAAATGCATTAAACATTGCGCAATTTAAAAGAAGCAATACTGTTCCATATTATCGAGGGGGCAGCGCTCAAGCGATAGACTCAGAAATACCGCGTTTTCGCGGGCCCGGCGCTCAATGTGTTAAGTCTTGGTTCTCCGAAAACAATATCTGTTTCAGCGGAACGTTTAAAAAAGTGTTTTATCGCGACGGGAGTTCGTCGATCAATTCAAATCAAATTTTGAAAACCTTGCATTTGCTCGGAGCAGGCAGCGCATTTCGAAGCTTTCGGCCTGTCGTTAAAAACGACAGCAGGCCCACAATCGACGTGTACAGGGTGAGATCGACGCTCCGACGAAAAAGACGGCGGATCAAGTTGAACGTGACTCGCTTTAAATTCATTCTTTAATATCGTTCCTCGACTTCTCGAACTATCCCCCCTTAAAAGTTCAACTTTTGGCAACTTTTCAAGCAACCCTTCTACGAATCATTCGCCAAATCGCTTCTTTTAATTTTTTTCGTTTGTTCCTCGATTTTATCAAACGATCTAGGATCCTCGATCCCCTAATACTAATATTGCCCCCAACCTTTTAAAAAATTATTCTTGGCAAACCGCCTGACCCAATTATTTTCAATCAAAATCTTTTTTTATCGCGAATGTTAGATTACAAAGAATTTTCAAGGTAACTATATTTTTTTTTTTTTTAAATTGTCAATCTCGAAGCTCCCCAAAAATCGTATAATGCACGATAAATAAAAATTTTGATTCGTCCACTGGTTACGAATACAATCGAGCTGGTCGAATCAGGTGGTCCATCCTGTATTTACGTAGAGGATCGGAGATTTTAAAACGTTTGTTGTTCGATAACGAGCCGTTGTTAAATATGATTTACGTTTCTTTTTTTCGTTCACTTTTTCGTTACGGATTTGGTCGGTTGTCGAGCAGTTTTGCGCGCACCTTGTTATCACGAGCTCGTTGGGAACAACGTCGATAGTCGAGTGGAAACCGTGTGCCGCGATGAGAGCGACTCTCTCACTATCGTCCTGGGCCGTCGATCTTCGAGTGTTCGCGCCAGAGGACTGCGCGTTTCGAGCACGCCCGGCGTCGCGACGCCGCGACACTCGCGTGTACGCGGCCACTCCTGCGTCACCACGTATTCACCGATTTTTTCTCGAACTTATTCACCGCGAATTACCCGACCAAATATGGACAGCTTTTGCAATTAAAATACTAGTAGTCGATAAATAAAATAAATATCAGTAAATTAAATCTCCGATCAATGACCTGACTCTGATATTACCTTTTTTATATTTATATACCGTTTCAGGGAAAGCAGAATATGCGAAGGGAGGGGCTGGAGCCCTTGTAACACCCCCCTGTAACACTATTTGCTTAAGTTTGTATTCTAAAATTTGAAAAGTTCAGTCATTCAAATACTCCATAAATTATAAATTCGATTCTTCGAATATTCAAAGAAATAGCATGTATTCTTGTTAAAGAAAAGGATTCGTGTATCGTATATTCATTTTTTTAAATATCTCGTACGTTTCTAGGATTTTCACATCTAGGTGAATAATACTTTTCTATCAGGTTTAAACTGTTATGGATTTATTCTTGGGGCACTGTAACGTATGTGCTTCGGTGTCAAGTGTAACGCCTATCGAACGCAAAGGTGCTGAAGAATCTATTAAATATGAAGTTGCTATAGATATCTGTTACTGGGAAAGCGCTCGAACCGAGAATTTTATCGCTGTTAGCCATACTTATGACAGTTAAGGAAAGTCGACTGAAAAATTTATACGCGCAAATAGTTCCAAATTATAGGTAGTTAAAACGGTGGGTAAACGACGTTAATTTTGCATAAAAGCCATCTAAGACAGGATGACATCGTTATGAAAACGCCGATAACGAATGTTATTCTTAATTCTAAATTTTCAATTTTCCGTTATCATTTCTACTATCGTCTCAAGTTTCGTTGTTTTGTTTATTAAAACGGTTTCGATCGTTTGTTTAAGATCCTCTTTATCAATGAAAATGAACAACGTGCTTCCATCTATAGATTTATTACCAAAGAGCATAACGATTGAAATCAAGAATGTTTCTTCGATAACAATCATGTAAATGTGTCTATATTAAATGTTTCGAAAATATTCGGAACATCGAATAAAAATTTAACTCTCTATTGCACAATATGGCCAGCTTATTATTTAGCATATGTAACTTAATAAAGTGTTAACATCGATGCATCTCACGTAGAATAATTACTGTACGAAAAAAAAATTGCTTCGTAACAAATGAATCCGAGACGCGACGATTGTCCTTGCAGTACCGAAGTATAATTAAGTCGAATCATTCGAGTATGAAGACGTATTTAGCGTTCGTTTATAAAAAACTGATAAAGTAGACAGTCGACAGTAAATATAGTGGAGAATTAGTAAATCAGGAACGATGCATTTCTTAATAATTTATATACATGGCTCTATGTACATGAGGCTCTCTTTACGAGAGCATCTGACCGTTAAAAATGCAAAGGGTCCGCCATGTTTTTAAGTTGACCTTTATGCTCCAATTGATATAAGTGTTTTCCACACAGAGACACTTTCAGGTGTGACAACTGTACGCCAATCTATTTGCTTGAATTATACGTGCATTGGCAATATGGCGTTGTCAAGGACGCACTGTGACCCTATTGGAATGGGTAGTTTGAAACTTATCTAAGTCCGTCGCCTGAAAGGGGTAATGAGGAAGATTATGCTAATATTATAGTAATTCGTATTCTATTAAAACTGAACAAATTTTTAGGATGAACTATTTATTTTCTATAATAGCGTTTGTTTACTCAATGGTCCTCGAATCGACGACACTGGATCTTAGAAACTACAGAACCGTTTGTCGCGCCTTTACACACACACCTCGAGTAAGTGTCACGCCATCGTGTCAACCGGAATTACGTCAATAGCCTCATAATTTTTTCTACGACTTGAGAATGTTGCAAAATTAACGCTGAAAATCGAATTCTAGTTACGTTGATTCAACCTGTGCATAAAATTCACTTCGAACAAAACGAAATTCCTTGCTCGGGAATAACAACGTCTGAAAATAACACGTTCCGTGAAAGATTGGTTAAATTTTATACAACATGTGAAATTAATTTATTAAATTCATTAGTACAAAATACTTGGCAGTGCTGATACACAACCTTATATAACTTTTACACGTTAAGGACGAGTACCGTAGAGGCTCGTCCTGACTCAAAACGACTAATAAAGTAACCATAATCATGTTCAATGGTCGGTGGAAGACACTCTCTACAAAACAGACTAGTATCGAAATCGTAAAGAACCGTTTAGGTGCAACATGGAAACAAGGCAGTTAACCGAGAAAGAAACTAATCCAATCTTGGGCTAGTTTGAATCATAATCCCCAGATATACACCCTCAACACCCAATGGAAAGGAAATATAACGGAGTTGGTGGCTAACATGGGAGTTAACCGATTTCAGTTAACCGGGGATGAAATACAGTGTGACTCGTGACAAGTTCATCATCGCCTATTTTACATGGATAAGCTACGATCGAATAAGGAAAACGTTTCGTTAATAGCGTTTTGACGAGACTCTGTTATAATCTAATTTAATAAGTGGCCAGGTTCGAACTTACAGGGATCCGGATCAACGTCGCCACTTGAACCAACTGTGGGTTTTGTGGGCATGAATAGCAACCGGTACAGGGTAAGGTTTGGGGACGTGATAGGGTACGCCCACGTGAACGGGGTACGGTCTGTCCACGTGGACCACCTTCTCGTACGGAACAGGGTACGGTTTCGGTACTGCAACAGGAACAGGAACTGGACGATCAACGGGAACGTGAACTGGCCTGTCTACTGGCACCGGCACTGGTCTGTCGACGTGCACCACCTTCTCCACGTGGACGGGATACGGTTTTGGCACCGGAACCGCGACTGGAACGGCAACGGGACGATCCACTGGCACTGGAACGGCCACGTGTTTGGTCACAGGGACTGCTACTGGGAACGGATGCGGAACCGGGTGTGGCACAGCCACCGGATGCGGGACAGGCACTGGATGCAGAACTGGCTGCGGCACTGGTACCGGAACAGCGGCTGTTAAAACAGAAAACGGTTTTTATTTTCACTGAAATGCTTCTAGATATTGGCTGGATTCAATTCAAGAGCTGTGGCGCTGCTTTTACTGGTGAAGGAAGTGAGAAAAGATCGTAAGAAGTGGGCTCAATCATTAAGGCTTCTAGCAGGTCCTGCCTTGGACGACAGGATATTGGATAGTCGTTCGAGGAGCGTATATGGGAACGGAAGGGTCACTGGAACGCTTGCAAGAGAGACAAGAGCGTGGCCCTCTGGTGGTGAGTACGGAAGGTGACGCCACAAAGCTAATATTTGACTTATTGCTTGGCTCCGATACAATAGTTCTTTTGCCGTTCTAACTGAACAAATAGCTTAAAACGAAACGCTATTTTCTAGTGAAGAACCATCCTCTTCCACTGTAAATGCTTCTTGTCAATTATTCTTAGAGGAAGCAACAATAGCTCTAGAACAGAACTTAGGGATGAATTAGGTAGTATAAAAATGTACTGACGCGCTGGATGTGCTACAGCCGGGGGAGGTACAATGTCCAAGTGTCCATCGTGAACATGAGCTTCGTAAACAGGCGCCGGTTCAGGTCCAGCGTAGAGAGGTCCAGGTGGCAGGCCATATCCAAGGTTGGCAATACCTCTTTTATCGTGCTTCTTTACAGACGAGTCATCCTTTTCACGCTTGTCGGTTGTGATTGCTGTACTGGCTACTGCGAGTAGTGACAAAATCTACGAACGAACCGAAGAATATTATTTTTTATCGTTAGAGTAACTTTAAACCGACCATCGAACACTTTCGTCACTAATAAATAATCGAATACAACGCACAGCCCTTGAATGATTCACTGATTTACGACAGCACAAATACGGCATAATATAAAATTAAAGAAAAACAAGAAACGGTATTTAAAAAAGAAAAGGAAACCAAAGTAAAGCGACAGAAAAAGGTGTACCAGAAGAAACTTCATGATTGCTTAAAGGGAGGCTCCTAGGTGCCACTGACGACGCCGAAAGGAAAACTGAGTTTGCTCGGCACCGGTGACCCCCGTAAGTATTTATAGGGCATCAGCTGGTGACACATCACAGTAGGAAGAACCGACGTCGTTGTCTTGATCGAGCTCAATGGACTTTCGCTGCTACCAATCCTGGGCGATGGCCAAATGGCGGTCACGCTTTTCTTTCGTCCGTCGATGGAAGACGGATCGCGGGGTAGAAGGACTGCCGCTAGAGACAATGAGGGAACATCGTTGTTAGCGAACCTGTAACGGCGGTACCGCGTCTTCGAGATCTAGAGATAGACACGCTAGCGACAGAGTGAAAATTGTCTACGTGAAAATTCAAATTAATAAGAGCAACGATACCTTCCGTTCGTGACAGGCGTCCATATAAGTCGTTCTTAATGTGGTGCTGACGGGCCTCGTTATCTTCTATATCCCGACGGAAGCATGGCTGCAACAAAGCCGGAGAATACTAATGCTGCGTTTGCGTAAGCGTTTCAAACGCGTAGAGCAGGCTTCTCGAACACGCGGCCCGATCTAATAGATTCTGCGGCTCCCTTCATCTTTTTTTTACCTTTTGCTAAACTTGTTAGCTGAAACGTGGCTTTACTTGAACTTCTACGACTCTAAGAATGTGGGGATTAATAACGTGAAATTTCTTAAATAGGACTTGTCTCTGTGGTACTAAACTAATATTGCTTCAGGAATTAATACTAGATACCGAAAGGACTAAAAAAAGGGATGCTCAATGAGTGTACGTAGACGCTAAAATAAATGCTTTCGATACAAAATCTATTTACGTATTTACAAGCATTTGATATCTTACAATGGTATGAATAATAATTATAGGTTCAATGAATCTTTCATAACATCTCCATAAGAAACAGATTCCGAAGCATTGTTAACCATGTGTTCCAATAGCGATGTTAATAAGCAACCCTAATCAATATGTATCAGATGAGGTAAACCTATGCAACCTAATCTGATGCAACCTAACCTTGTAAGGACATAAACATCCATGTTTTTACCAAGTTTGTTAGTACTGCAAACAAATTCACGTTATTACCACGACTGTTTGCCAAATTACATAACCTATTTGGTAATAATGTCTGTGTGCTGGCAACAGCGTAGTCAGAATTTTGTACCTAATAACTTGGAAATAGGGGAAAAGAAATTATGGTATTCGATTGTCGATTACCGATGCTTTTAACAACGAAGAAACGTCCGCCATGATCACTTGCATAGCAAAGCTCGCGAGCGATAAAATGGACGACGATTCTTCATCGAATTGGACACGATTCATGTCACGATCTAGACCTAGACTATGGCGACGCATTCTTCGTATATGTAACGTCAATGTACATACAGTCTTTACTCGGCTAACGAGATCAACGAAACCGGCCGCGGTGTTTCTTGCACCAGGGACACCAGTCGGTTTCCGCATTGGCCGCATCCGCGAACTTTCCTAACTTTCATTTTCTAATACGTACGAGCTACTTCTAATACCGGCCACTACGCGCCATTCATAATTCATCGTTATATTCACCGGTGATTCCATAACACGCTCGAACGCATGCGATGTACGCATCCTATGCCACAATTACGAAATATGAGGGTCAAGTTGGACGTCAGGCTTCAATTCATTCTTAACCGCCTCAATCGCAGGCTATTCTTTATCGGTGCTCTGTCTACGAAATGTTACGTTTTCCTCTTTATTTCAATTCTTAGCGGTACATAGATTTATATTTGGATAATACTGAATTCAACCCTACTTCCGTGTCAGAACATCGAGAGCATAACAGTGGTGGTTCCGCCATTGTTAAGGTTATGCAGGATCCCGAACTTCGGGTCGGGACGGGAAAGTTCGGGCGAGATCGGACGAGATCTCAATACTCTCGTTTTAGGCGGGATTTCAAAAGTTTCGAAACTTAAGGAATTCTAATTTTCTATAAGAAGAATATTATAGTCGAGGACAGTCTTCATGGGATAGTAACTTATACTTGCGTGGCTTGAAAAATTCTCGCGCGCTTTTGCTTCATAGTGCGTGCCCGGAACGACGAAAGAATAATTAAAACGAAAATAGGTCAGTGGTACACGTGGCTATCCAGTCCATGAAATATTTTATCAACTTGCATCAATTATTTTTCAACACATGAAACTACAGTAATCTTTTGGGTATTTGTTTAAAACGTTTTTAAAATATTTACAAGTCAGGAACATGCGTCAGAAAACCCAAAAACTACACAAAATTGAATTATCGCTTAAGCTTTTCCATCTTACTTTGGCATGAGTAATCGACCCCTAAAAGATTGCTCGACCGTAGGTGAACACCTTTACGTTTGCCTCATTTAAATGTACGAAGTTTGGAGACCGGTTGTGCACAATCGAAATTTTGCAGTATTTATATTTTAGATACTATAACAAGTTTCTTTTCAGTTTATGCCCTTAAAAAACACTTCGCAAGAATGTGCGTCATACTTTCTCAAGTACGTCTGCTTACAACTGCGAATGTTCTTATAACAAGCCTGGGAAAGTCAATAGATAGATGCACATATACAATGCCTCGAAAATAAAACATAAGTGAGCATAACATGCAACAAAGAATGCTCTATGCCATCTTAGGTTACACTCCCGATGGTAGCTTGACATTCATCCATTATCAATCATTCGTAAAACTGTTCAAAACGTTAACACAAAAAGTCAGAAGCTAAATTTTACAACCCTTTTATAATAATTATTTACCACCACATATTTGCCTTGAGGATAGTAAAAATTCCTATGGTTGCGTACACCTAGCATTCAACTTCCTCTTTAATTATAAGGCATTCCTGTTTAAAATGGGTAATCTTGAACAAGGATATGCGCCCTAATTGAAGAAAATTTTTTAGAATGTTCCATGGGAAACAGCTTAGAAAATACTGGTGCATAGGTAACCGGATTGGCTAACAATTATTATCACGATTACGTCATAAATGAATTGCCAAAGGAATAGAAACATAATTATCAATCACTAAACGACTTTGTCTAAGACACGAAGCATAAGAGCATTACATGCACGGTGGCAAGTATGGTATAAACATGAACCAGATTCGTTGGAGCTCTTGACAACTTTCTTCTCCGGAAACGTTGAACTTGTCTATTGACTGGGCCTTGATTCCCAGTTCCTGATTCCATCAAAGACCGGAACCTGACCCGAACCTCCATCTAGATTCGTCTACTTACAGCAAATATATAAAGCTACCGTTTTCTCGATCATGGGAACAGTCCCTTCGCAACGAGAGAACAATGTCTATGATCCCGGTAAGAGACGTAAATAAGACGTAGTCGCAGTGCCTTGAATCATTCCGTTCATTCTAAAGTGTTCATATAATTCGTGTGCTCCAAGAATCACTGGATCATTTTAACGCTCAACGTTTTGCACTAGCTGTTCCTGATACTATTCTGTGGTTTCGCACTGTCCGCGGAAACAGAGGAATCGAAGCAAAGCAAACGGGGCATTCTCGATACCGGCGGATGGGTCGGTATACCAAATCCATATGGATACGGGCATGGACACCCATGGGCAACGGGACAACCTTGGAAAGGACTCAAATACCCTCCTTTTGATTTGGGACACGGAGGGTAATAGTACAATATTCTTAAACTTTATTTCTTGCGTACTCTTCATATCATCCATAGATTTTTCAATTATTTTTTTATGGTCCTTAGAGGTTCCACTACACAAGATCGAAACCTGAAAACAATATACAAAATTAATGAATAACGCGAATTTATTTTCAACATTGCATCTATCGAGGTTTCACTCGTAAACAATCATTTTTACGGTTTACTTATGTTGTATTTTTTTATGGTCCTTGGGGGTTCCATTGCATAAGATCGAAACCTAAAAACAATATACAAAATTAATGAACAACGAGAATTTATTTTCAACGTTGCACCTATCGAGGTTTCACTCGTAAACAATCATTTTTACGGTATACTTACGTTATATTTTTTGATGGTCCTTGGGGGTTCTATTACACAAGATCGAAACCTGAAAACAATATACAAAATTAATGAACAACGCGAATTTATTTTCGATGTTGCATCTATCAAGGTTTCACTCGTAAACAATCATTGTTACGGTATACTTGTGTGTGATAGATTATATGGCGGTCTATCGTACGGCAGAGCACCAGCTATTCCTTTCACGTTCGGAAGGACTGATTTGTTGAAGACATTTCCGGTGTACATAACGAAACACGTGGTCCTAGAGAAGCCAGTGCCCGTTCCTGCGCCGGTTTACATCGAGAAACCGTACCACGTGCCCGTCGAAAAGGTGATCACTGTACCGATCGAGAAGATCATACATAAACCAATTCCTGTTCCTGTTCCGGTACCAGAGGTAAGGAATAATCAAACAATTCGTATATCGATATATCGTATGTGACAACGAAAACGCCTCGAGTGTCAGACGATTTCTCGACTCGCTTTCATATACGGAATGCGATACATCGAAAGTTGTAAACGATCGAATTTCGTTTGTCCTCCAGGCAATACCGATACCTATAGAACGACCGGTGCCGGTACCAGTGAAGCACCCTGTGGCGGTGCCGGTGCATCAACCGTATCCAGTCCCGGTGAAGCAAGGATTTCCAGTACCGGTTCCGGTACCATTTCCGGTTGCTGTACCCCCACCACTATCCGTCTACGGTCCTGGACCGCTTCCTGGTGGTTACTACGGTCGAGGTTATGGCCCCGGTCAGTTCTATCCGTCGTTCCACGGTCCACCGTTCCCAGGACACTTCGTTCACGGATTTGCTGGTGGTTTCGAGCACGGATTTGGCGGTCACGACTTTGCCCATGGCCATGGCCACGGTTTTGGACACGCACATGGACCCCTACACGGGCATGGACACGAATACGGACACGGACACGGACACGGGCACGGACACGGGCACGGTTATGGTTACGGTTATCCAATTGGCCCGTATGCTCCCTTCCACAGTCATGGATTCGGTCACGGTCACGGCCACGGTCATGGACAGGGACAGGGACATGGACATGATCACAAGAAACGAAGCGAAAATTGAAAGTAAGACTCGCAGCGCAGAGATACGCTCTCCCCGCAAGAAGGTAACCTTGAACTTTCAACTACTCGAGCCTGGAGACTCGGACACTGAACTTTGTTTCGTTGTTTACAATTTATTTGAACACCTCAAGCCAGCATTTGTTCCGCGATTGTTATCGAACACCGTGGCACTTGATCGTGCACGTTGTTGGAAATTAATTTCTTTAAAGCTATTAAAGATACAAGCTCGAATCTCAACCAACGATCAGATATGTCGATTTATTAAAATTAAACCGCTGGGACGACGGATCGTAAGTTGACTGCTAATTTTATGCACTTACAACGTACGTAAATATGAAGAAACATAGGCATGCTAAACTTATGCACGTGTTTCTTTTAGACATTTTAATTAACCCGGAAAGTAATTGGAATTTTAAAATGTTACCTTTTAAGCTACTTTCAATCGATGACGTTACAGACGAACATCTCCCAACGTAATTTTATTATTATTATGAGGTATTACGAAATATAACCTGCATACATTTTTCATGTTTCTCATAATAACGTACACCATAATTGCATAAAATCCGCAATCTAGTCATAAGGAAGAAACAACAAGGAGTTCACGATTAACTGCTTCAAGGTCACGACAAACGAGTTAAATTTCATCGATACGTTTAACCCTTTTCTGACAATCGAACTTAACGAAAACACGACAAGTATAATTTTGTAACGTTTTGGATAAAACATACGTGCCGCGTTTACTAGATATTTTGAACTAACAGTGATCTTTACACTTCAATAATAAATGTATTCCCAATGCATAATGATATACGAACTATTCACACCGGCTTACACAACGTAACCAAGAATTTTGGGATTCTCACGATAGGTGGAAACCCCATACCTTGTCTCCTTTCGGGGAAGATCGTCATCTGTCGGATGTCGTCTCAAACACAATTACAATTATCAGAATATATTTCTCAAAGATTCTTGAAAAAGAGACTCAAACGATATTTTTATCTCAAACATCAGGTGAAAGCACTCTCGAAACTGAATCTAATATTTGATAGACAATTCGTATACTGGATGAAAGTAATATAATACTGGAAATACTAAAAGTTATGACCCTTGAATTTGGCATTCTACTATTCATACTATTTCTAGCTCGATAATGAAAGCATTATTGTGTAAACCGTGTGTAGAAATTTTTGTGATTGATTTTTCGATGCATCGATAAGTAGAATCATCGAACTTGAAATCCGTTGTTACTATTGTTTATTTAATAATCTCTATGTTAAGTTTTGTATATTGTATCAAGTTAAGTATTTTAAGTGTTACGTCTGTTATCCTTCTTATTTAAAAACCTTAAATATGTATAAACGTTTAACGTAAAAATAAAAATACATATTTGAAGCAGTAATTTCGTGTACCGATTTCATATTTATATTTTACTAGATTTGGACTGCAAATACAAAAAATATTTTAATTACACATACATGTTCTAATAAATCGCTGATCTCCCCTATGGTTCTCTATACGTATACAGTTATACACCTTATTCCTTGTGAAAGCGTTTCTCAACCTTACGTTGGACACATCGGCCAGACCTTTCATGTCATATTTTGTTGTAACATAATATATTCTCCACTCCGAAAAGAACAAGCTACATAAATACAAATAGTTTTTGACTTGTAAACAGATTTTTGGAATATTTTACATTGTCTCTGTTATCGCGTACAAATTATACAACTAAATTACAAGAATTCATAATCAAGAAGTTGAGAGATACATTTCATGTCATCGAAGACAGGTCATCGGTTAGACGTGCTCCGAAACATTCTGTTAATTTCGTGTAATCAGAAAACAGCTGATCAAAGTTATACGAGTGTAAATAATAATGGATATTTTGAGAATGGTGAATATCATGCAATATTTGGATCAATGAGTGACAAATCCTTGTCTTCGCATATATTTCTTTCATCCACCTACCAATGCGTCTTTAAAGAATTCTAACCAGATACAAATCAATGTTTGCGCCGCAAAGAACATTGTAAGGAGGAGCCGGATTAAATGTCCACTTGTGAGTATACTTTATCTGCACGATCACAGGCATCAATTATTCAACGAATTAGTATAGTTATAGTTTATTTACGATGAAGCGTAACGAACGAAGATGTGACGAACAAGTGAAAGCGAGGTTATGTTTCATACAATTTTCCTTGTAAACATTCCGTCGTCTTCGTAACGTTCTATCTTCTATGTTACAGTAATCATTTAAACAGGGCATAGAACTTCCACAAAATATAAAATGTTAACGTTAGAGAACATGGAGTCCAAAGACTTTTCAAAAAGCACGATGGAAGATGAAGAAACATCCAAAGAAAGAAACAGCAAAGATAGTTACGAAAAGGACAAATATCCAGTAACAAATAAACATATGCTACAAACAGATTTGCTTTCCACAGAAGTGGATGATAACACTGATATTGAATCTCAACAGGACAACCCATCCGAGCTTTTATCTATTGAAAATAACTCCAAAACTAGTAGCGAAGCCACCATCAGCGATTGGGAGGATATAGAACCTAAATCACCTCTTTCATATGTTCCTTCCACACCTAATAAAGAATTTATAATAATAACACACTTGGAATCAGACGAGGAATTTATAACGGATGAAGTACCTGCTGCACATTCCTTTTCTAATAAAAAGGCTAAATCTCGGCATCGATCTAAACGACGTAACAAAGTACTATTCTTAAGGAAATTGCTACCGAAACATGAGCCAATAATTGAAATAAAAGAGGAAGAACATTCGATTATTTCTACCAACGAACATACGTCAACCATCGAAGAAATAAATTATGAGGAGTCGTCTATAAACGAGGAAGATATTGCCGATTTTGAAGATGTTCGCTGGTTACCAATTTTTAGAACTTTGCCCTTGTTTTATACAGAAGAGGGTAAACCTTATTTAAAATGTTCTGCATGCGGCGCAGTATTTTTTACTTCAAACTCATTCCAAACACATTTGCACACTCATATGTACCAGGATGAGGATTCGTTTGTGTGTTCCTTTTGTAATTACACAAATACTGAGCCCGGAATGTTATTCAATCATTTATCCAAACATCAAAATCAATGTGAATTTTGTAATCAAAATTTATTGCTCAAACATAATTTTGAGAAACATTGGAAAGCACAGGGATCAAATTTTAGTGTCAAGAGAGATCATCAAGGTAGATTTATATGTTCTCTCTGCAAATTAGTATTCGACTCGTTACCGCAGTTAGAGAAGCATTGGTTGAAACATGCTTGTAACAGAGAAAGAACTTATCAATGTAAGGAATGTAGTGGACTATATGATAGCATAGAAACACTGAATAATCACAAATGCATGATGTGTCCTGTTTGTGGCAAATTTTATGATAGCTTACATCGATTAAAAACACATACAGTATGGGCAAAGCATACTTTAAAATGTCCAATTTGTTCTTACGATTTCATTCTTGCCATAGATCACGAGAAACACGTAGCATTACATAGACAAACGTATATTTCTGTAGAAGATCATCTGCACTGTTTGCAGGCGGCAGATGGAAAGACATTCCAATGTAATCTTTGTGACAAAATATTTTATGCCTTACCTTCTCTCGTACTGCATCTCGAAACAGATCATGACATCAAAAATGTTAAAACAAATGATGAAGAAGAAGAGGTTGGATCTATCAACGAAATAGGACTTGAAGTCTGAAAATAATGTTGGCGGAAACAGTAACATAAATCTATAAAAAGATAAAATCGAATTCCAAAATACGCTGTGAATTTAAGATAATATTCCAAAGGGTAATTCCAGCTAGAGTAGGAAACCTAAATATGAAATGTAAAAGATCTGAAATTAATCGTAAAATACTACTCGTAATGAAATGTGCCGTTGCTAACGATCAGTCACTTTGTAGCGTATACTAAGTACGATTAAACGCGATTGGCGATAAACAACATAAATTATTGGTAAGAACATGTATTAAACATTATCTGATCAAAAAGTTCTGAAATAAACTGTATTACAGTTTGACCTCACTCAACAGAAGGATGAACATGTACATGTATATTTTTTTAGCAATCATATAAGATACAGAATATCGTTCATTCATCCAGTTACTAATACTGTCATGAAATCGATAATATCATTATAAGAATATACCTAAGAATTTCATACAATTTCTCTACATATAGAACTTTTTGGATCAGATAGCAAGATAATTTTCTAGCGATTCGTCAAAAGTAATGTAACCACATCATACATTTTCTGTGTTTTATATTAGAGGAAAATGTAATGTTAAGTTAACGTAACATTTGTATTTAACTGTATCATGTCTGCCCCAATGTATTGAAAAAGCAATACATAGAGCTATCAGTCCTGCTGTAGCACCATCTAATTTATTATTCTATGTCATTACTCTTTATTATATGCGATTGAAATGATTTGCGTTTTTATGTAGATACATCGTTATAATATAGTCATCATATTCATGTAAGCGTATTTTTTTTTTAAATCATCGCTTACAATTTTGGGGGTAAACATGATACGACGCAACTTTAACGGCTGGGAAATATCTGGAACTAGCTGCTTATCTTACTTTTATGTGTACTATTAGAATTCGAGATATACATATATATATATATAAATATATATATATATATATTGATAAATCTTACGGCGTATAATTGTTTGTAAGTCTGATTTCGTAGGCCTGTGTAATACCGCACAATAGCTTACATAAAGAATTAGATCTCTTATCTATTCTCTTTGAAAAATAAATATTCATGAATAATAACATTTCATTTGTACATTTTATATCAAAGCTGAAATAAATATATTATATTTGTCAAGTCTTGTAATCAGAGATTGGAACTTGATTAGCGCACCGACTGGAAATACGGTTTGACAAGAAATATTAATGTGATAGATAAACGTGGTTTATATTTTTTAAAGTTCTCATCTCTCGAAAACAAGAATCGAGATACTTTGGAACACGCAATTACTTTACATTGCATTGTATAGTTGTTAATACACACATATATATATATATATATAGTCTTCAATGTTTATACACTTCAGTATACTTTACACCATTGCTCCATTGTCTGCCAGTGGTCTGCCTGCCCCAATACATCTTTGTTAAATTTTTGTTTCTCTCAAATCCACGTAAACTCAAAGCGAGAAAAATCACGTTCTATCGCAAGATTCTTTTTATCGCTAAGAAAACAGAAGATGCTTTCATAGTTACAATAAAATCCATACTTGTATTTCTCATTAAGCCTTAATCCACTGTTCCACGTATTCTAACGCGGATAGAAGAATCTTTTTTTCCGTTACTCTCAACTGAATGGCCAACTTTTTAATTTGCGGCAACGACGTTTCGAGCAGCTGAAGATCCTCCTGCAGAAGAAGATATTCAAATGAATAGAACGATTACGATTTTAACGCTGATACAACGTCGCCTTGTTACAAACAGTATTTTCGTTTCACTTTCACCTTCAGAGTCGTCGGGTAATTAGCAATTAAGAGCTGCAGTCTGGTGAGCAGAAACTTCCTGATGTTCTCGTCGACAACAGTTTCCAATGCGCAGTCCATATGCTTCAAATCGTTTACCCGATCCGACTTCAGCCAATGTGTAAGTTCCGGTTTACGCATACTAAATACCCTCAGGAACGCCAACAATAAATCAGAAATTGGTTCGGTGCCCGGTTTCAACAGGAATTCGCTCACCGAGGGTAGATCCAGTCTGTTCAATAATTCTATGCGTTCTTTTTGCAGGGAATCAGCTTTGCTAATTCCAAGACGCAGTTTGAAGCCATCCTAAAAAAAGGGAGCAATAAATGGTAGAACACGTAGCAGCAGACTTTATTTTATTCACAAATAACGAATAAAAATGTTAGATTCATTCGTAAACTACTAACTTTCGTTTACGTTTCACTCATAAATTCGAATTATTAACAAATTCTTCAAACCGACAATCCAGGCAAGCGAAATCGCGGGTAAAAGTTAGTTTACAAACAAATCTAAAATTCTTATTCGTTGTTCATTAATAAAATTAGATAACGGAATTTCTACCGCAGTTTGAAACAAATTCGAATCGCATCTTACTTCTTTGTTATCCATGTAAACGAATCCCGAATGTACGAAAAAGTCAGAATTCGTTCTAGGCCCGTAACTAATGAATATTTGCTCTCCTTTCTTGAAGTCCCTCAAAGCGTAACACTCACAGCTATCCGACGTTTCGTTGAAATCCGTGAGGATCTGAAATAAAAGCACGCGTGTATGAAAGGACCGACGTGTTGTTGCGTACAGAATACGAACGAGTAAACTCACCCTCCCGTTCTCGTGATTACACATGTCCCACATCGGGATCAAAGCATAGATCATGCGTGATCCGTCCTCGCTCGGTATTAGATTTTGTCTGGTCATTATCGTAGAAACTGCCCAGCTGAAAGTAATTTCGTAGGGAAAATATAATTTACCACACGGTCGTTCTACTGATAGAAAAATAAATACTAAATGATTTTGCGTTCCACTTTCATTTGAATTTGCTTTCATACCAAGCCATAGTTTTAGTTAAATCTGGGTCTGCGACGATATAGCCAGCAACACGTGAACGCTTAGAATCTCGCAGCCTGTTTTATAGCTAACATTAAATTATAGAACATAAAGAGCAATTTAACAAAATTGTATCTGGATCGGGCAAAAATAATAAAAGTTACAGAGAATTCACAAGCACACAGATTCCGAATTGTATAATATTAATGACATTATAGTAGCTTTATTGTGATCAGAGGTTAGGAAAAGGTTAAGGGGATCACGGTTGCTTTACAGTTTCTACGCGTATACGTGTAGGGATCTGATGAGAAAACAGATACTGATGTCGCATTAATCACGGATATCTGTAGAAAAAGGTGGAAGTAACTTTCGCCTTCGAGAGAGGCACGTTACTGAAGAACCGTGAAACGGCAGCTGTGTCTGCTTTTCGGACAAGAACTTGACCTACAATTCCGGAAATGGAAGGAAAAGAAGATTCATTACCATTGTCGGTGTCGTCGCCGTTGCCACGACTTTCTCTCTCTCCGGGGAGACACATTCGCGTTTTACGACTTTTGCCCGTGGAACAAAGGCGTATAAAAATAGCGCTCGCACAGGGGAAAATGACGGATACTTTATACACGCGTTCGAATTCCAAACAAAGACCCGTAAAACTTCGGAAAGAATGAAAAAAAAAAGAACGATTTAATGTTCAGTCACTTTCTAAAATACCTGAAATACTCGCTGATGCGAAACACCGAGCTGCAAGGTGTTATTATCTTTATAGGTAGTCGAACATAGTTCCTACGATTGGGCCGATAAAATTAATTTAACAATAAAGAAGCACTTTACATGTTTTAGCTCCGATCGTAATTTGATCGTGGTTATTAATCAATCCGAAAAGAACAAAAAAAAATGTATGCAAACGATGAGGTCGAATGAAATTCATGCTCGGCTACGCGTAAGGGTTAGATTGCAAAACAGCAATCTGTTGAACCTCGTTCTTTCACCTTGCTTTCTCTACTATTATAATCTCATCTTTTTATATGCTTGAATTTGCACAATATTTGTTATCCTTATTGCGGCGAATAAAGTCGTTGAACGAATAAAAATGATTACAAAAACTTAGAGACAAATATTTATTACAAAATGAACTTTTACTGTTTTCTCCTTCCGTCGTAATCTCAGAGACAATCTACGCGAACGAGCGTCCTGTGCAAGTTACTTTCTTTCGCAGCCTCGTCTAGATCGTCGTAGCAGGACAAAAGTGGACAAACGAAAGCCCCGATCGTATTGTTGAGATCGTTCTGGTTGTCGCGTGGCTATTAGATTACTTCCTCTTACGTAAATACGGAAATCTGTCTCCAAAAGCGAACCTCACGATCAACGAGAACACAATACAGATACAATTCCATTACCACAATGGTTCTTAACCTTTGCAAGCTCATGGTACAATTTAGAATACAATAAGGGTTAGGTTAAGGGTATTCGTAGAAAAGTTTTTCCTACAACGATCTTATTTTGTTTATGAAAAAAACAGAAATAATGTTTGCTACAGCTAGGTACGAATAAACGAGGGTTAAAATATTTTGCACATATATAAATTATTCATAACGAGTATGAGAGTTCTGCGACGAAATATGCAGGATGAGCATCAAATGATACGCATGCGCAGCCCGCCATCGCGAAAATCTAAGAAAACTGTTCTAACATGGGTGCGAAAACCTTTTGTTCTTGAGATATGGCCACTCTAGGTTATTGCATTGCTCGTACTATGTAATCAACGCTTCCAGTTGATTTCTAATTGTGTATTGCATATACTGTCTATTCGTTTTTGCAATTCCTTGGCATTCCGATAGCTACTGTGGCTACTTGGAAATTGCATAAAAACTGTAGATGCTCGGTGCAAATACTGCATAACATAATACAAATTCAGTTTGTTGTCGGAAAACTTGATGTTTCGATTCGAAGTTCTCACAGTAATTATTAGAGACTTTCCTCGCGCATTCCGCACATCCGGAACGATAAAACAATTGTACCAACTTCTTCATTGCCACTGCATAAAAGTTTCTATTATTGCCATATCGAACTTGCAAGTGCGATCGTAAATACTAGATTTCTCTTTCGATAGAAATCGATGCTTCTCGACGGGCGTCAAATTGATCTCAAAAGAGAAATGGTGGCTTCGTTTAATTTACGACGTTCCAGCGATGATAAATAATACATCGCCTACGGTCTAACAACGTGAAGAAGGGTAATGGGATTCAACGAATCAGCTGGGAAACTGGAAGCGAAGCCGTCGCGTTTACGCGATAATAGAAAATTATATTCCATGAAAAAGAACAGGAAAAGAGAACATTCTCTTGCTCTCCTGCGTGTTACTACATACGGATAAACCGTATGAAAGTTCGGCCTCGTGTGAAAGTGCGCGCGTCCTCGGTTGCTTACGATCCGAGCACTTCTCTTGCAAGCCTCTTCGGCCGACGATCTCAGGCCACGGAAGAGGAGATATCGTCGAGAGGAGTAACGCACGTTTTACTGTTTTCGTACGAGAGAGCAACGTTTTTTCCTGTACGTTTCTTCCTTATTAGCCGCTACCACTCTCACGACACTTCCCTTCCATTCTTCTTTGATACCAACTTATCTTCATCATATTAGGAACACGGTCTTATTAGAGGAATCATTATATGCACGTTCAAATATAAACTATTCCACTTATTCGGTTTCCTAAAGATATACACTGTGTCCCATAAGTATAAAACCGCCTTAAAGGTTTTAATTTTTATATATTCTGTTAAAATTTGAAGAAACGGTATACGCCGTATTTGAGATCGCGACAGCAATAACAAACTTTCCATCGAGGCTAGACTGACGTAAGCATTCGAACGTGCTCGATTAAAAATGTTGACTACTGTAGATGACATCAGAATTTTAGAGAAATGGTGGCATAAATCAGAGTCGGGTAAAATGCAATTTAATTACATTGGCCACGATGTAACTACATGTAATCAGACTGTAATTACACTATAGCCATAGGGTAATTACTGTCTAATTGCAGTGTAATCATAATCGTAAATCTTTGAAGTGTGTAATGCCTATTTAATTATCATAACTACAACGTGATTACAGCCTGATTATATGTAATTGAATCGTAGGAAACGTAATTAGATTATATTTTGCCCAACTCTGGTATAATAATGTATAACATTTTGATATACGGAAAAATAATAGTATACAGATTTACAAGATAGAAAACCATTAATGAGATAGTGATGTAAACAAAAACGGGTCATAATTCTGAAAGATAGTAATTCCCACGTTCGTATAATCCTTATTCAATCGTGCGATGAGTAAACCGTAGTTTGTCATCCGCTTCAAGGACACTCTGTATATGGTCAGTAATGTAAACGACTCTACTGATTAGATCAACCGCATAATCACTCGCGACTAATAATGTAATTAATGTCGATGCTCCCGTTCGCGTTAATTATTTACACTTGTGCAAAATAAAATATTAGAATAGTCAAAAATGGAGGTGACGCCCTCTTGCTGCGAGGCCTTCGAATGTTTTCCATACGCTGTAAATTACATAAAATCCACGGTCTACATATACGCCACGAATTCATGAAATCCTCGGTCTGATAATTACTATTAATTATCAAACGATCGTAATCGTTTGTTTGTTCGCATTTTGTTCGACACGAACCCACCCAGGGGAAGGGGGGTATTTGATTTATTCAATCGATCGATATATAACCGTTCCGTGCGTAGCCGTCAATGAATTAAGCCTTCGTTAATTAGGGAGGAAAATGCTCCCGAAAGAGCGTGGTTAACGAGCGTCGGGGAAACAGCTGGCGACGACGCTGGGAACAAAAGGAACGACGGAATAAAAACGACGCCGGTCGTTTCGCAACGGATCACGGGGCTGCGGATAAGAATCGGGAGACGAGCACAGCGTAAACCGCTGGGCTGCACCGTGGGGATGGATGCACAGTCCACTGCACGTGGGAAGGTCGTGCTATGAATCGAAGATCGTGAGATCTCCATCGTGCGCACTTTCTACAGGATAGCTTCGCCGCGACGACCATCGCCGGCGAAGCAATCGCGAAACCAAAGACGACTATTTTTAAAAACTCTAATGTACCGAATCAGAGCAAAATCACAGACTTCTAGAAATGAATCTTACGAATACCGACTTTGTCTGAAAGTCTCTGCCGCAGAAGCATTTTCCAACGACGAGATAACTCGTCATTCTCAGTTAACTCTTTGGGGCACGCTAGGATTAAAAGTATCCCACCATTTTGATACACCGTAATGCATGATGGGACAATTTTAGTCCCACCTCGAAATATTGCAACAGCTGCATGCGCATAAGTTTATATTTCGTCTTATTTACGTAAAGCAGTTGGTAATATCTTCAACGAATGTTACAAATGCATTCACTTGTGTTGGCAACATTCAACATGCCAATACAGGTTCATCGACTATTGCAAGGTTTATTGCGACAATCTACCTTTATTAATAAAAAATATACCAATTCTGTTTAATTTAAAACGCAATAAAATTTCTACGCAACATGGGTCTATTTTATTATCTGAAATCCTGCGCCGCAAAGAATTAAAAGGTTAAAATCACCATGCACCACCCTTACCGTTACCTCTACCATGACCTGCTCCCTACTCTTACTCTCGAGATAATTGCACACTTAATTAAGTATTCTGACCTCCGTATCCCTAACCACACTTTTGACTTTCAACTCCACCATAACCCTACATTTTCCGTCTATCACCTTCCGCGAAATACGACCGATCGAGCAGCTTACGTTGAACCTTCGTTAACGGGAAAGCATCAGAGGAAAAAGGGAATTATATTTAAGAGCTAAAAAGTGCTATTTAATTTGTGGACGGTGTCTCAACATTTCGTCTCCTAATAGTACCGAGATCCTTCGTCTTTCCTTTTGAGCGCGACCGACGAACTTATCTCGCAACATCTGCCAATGGTTACGATGAAATTCATCTCTGATGATCCGGCGGATCGGTAGAGATCGTTGGGAAGCAAGAGAGCGTCTCCCCTGGCCGAGCAAACGTTTAGAGTAGAAGACTGCTCTCGAGTTTCACCGACTTACTTAGGATCGTGCACGGAGAAAACCGGCGTCAGTTCGCGTAGAAGAGTGTGCCGCTTCGAAAGTAAACGAGAGTCGCTCGCAGTATCCAGCCTCGCGCGTGGGGATTGAAAACAAAATCAAAAAAAAAAATGATTAACGAAGCTCGTTCACTGCAGTGATCGAACCACGTGGTGACAAGAAAATTTCGTCGAGGATCGAACACGTGGGAAATCGTGTCGTCCGTGGTGGTGTTTCGCGAAACAAACCCCCTCGATAAACGAGAAGAAACAATTATCGTGAATAAACGTCGAACGATACGAGTCTTACAAGTTTACGACGAACGTGGAATCGTTCGCGTTCGATTCGAATCAGCGAATATTTAACCTGCGAGCGTCAAATGAAACGGCGCGAGTACAAGAAAAACGCCTACGCAAAAAGAAATTAACTGCACGAAGACGTCGTCAGTTTGTAATTAGACTCGAGAGGAGACGAAACACGCGGTTCTGCATGAACCCTGAGGAAATCTTCGGCCTGTGCAACAGGAAAAACGCGATATTCGTTATCCTGTGCACGGCGGCTATCTACGTGCACCTGTTCGACGAGAACGACGACGACACCGTCATAGACCAGACTATCCACTTCAACGTGGAGGAGCAACGCGAAACTTGGTGCATCGACGACGAGGAGCTATCGGTGTTCCGATCGCACTGCAACGATGTGGAGAACATTATGTCTGCTCTCGCTGATGCTTTTAACGTTCGATTTCCCTCGCGATAGATTCGCTCGAGCTAAATCTATTCGAGCGAACGCCGAGCCACGCGCTCGAGACGAAATCCAGAGCCATCGGGTAAGAAACGAAAGAGAAATTACAGATTATTACCGACCAATTATCGCGAACCGGGGGAACCCTAGGGGAAAAGCGTCCTTGATTAACGAGTAATTAGCTTTCAGGTTAATTTTACTGCGCTCCTTTTAATCGGAGACGAGCAACGATTTTATCTAGATAAAGATTTCGAATAACAAAGTCACGATACAACTTTCGATATCCTATTTAGCAATCGTTGCGATATAAATTAAACTAACTTTTGCTGATATTGCTACGTCTAAATGACCTTTATTCAAAATTTTAGAAAAATGCAATCTTCGTAGGTTGCAACGTAACAGTTGCACGAAAGGGGAAACGTCCCTTAGACGTAAGCAAACTCGGCTGTTTTAACCGGTCGCGTTTTTACCTTTTTCTTTTATTTTTTTTTCTCTCGCGGGAACAGGTACGTTGTGAAATGTTCAGGACATTTCATCGAGGCGTTCTTAGTCTCATAAATAACTTGTACAGAATGTTCACAAACACTTTGTTAAGAATAAAACAGACTTTTCGTTGCTATAACTCACTGAAAATGCGAAGTCACGTTAAATATAACAAGCTTTCCAATTTTCCTTGAAAACAGTATGAAAGTACAATTTATTGACTGCTAACTTTTCTATCCTAAAAAATAGTTATAAAATAAAGTATTACCACAGAAACAAGGTACTGCACCCAACCTGAATCTAACCTAAAACTTTCTTGTTTGTTGCACCTAACCCAAAACTGTCTTATTCGTTTTGACGAGCACTGCACGAGCGTGAAATCTGTGCTACTTTGTAAACTTTGCTCGGCGTGCAATACTCTTGATGAATTTTAAATAATTTGCCGTGGTCTATGGATTAAAAATAATCATAGTTAAAAGTGTCAACTGTTAATACCAGCAAAGAATTTTTTTAATTTTGATTTTAGGTTAAGAGGACAGTAATTGGGTCTTTTACCTAATAATCTGTACAAGTCCAATAACAAATTTTGAATTTTGACCGACGTGTCCTACATACTTTCATAAAATGTCAATCATTAATTTAATCTGAAATTAATCTCAATATTACGTCTATTCAAATCTTTTCGATCTCACGGCCAAAGAAACTTTCAAGTCATTACAGGAGTACCATGACTGACCATGATGCATTACGGATAATCACGGATACTAATCCTTTATAACCTCCGCACGCTTTTTTACCGGCAAATAAGCGATCGAAACGACCTCTGAAGAGCAAAGACGAGTAACAGCATTTTATTGAAATATGATTCTCGTCTTTATTGGTACCGATAATGAATGAACAAAAGTTGTTTATCTTTTATTTATTATTCGAAATCTTTATCTAGATAAAAAGTTTGCCCACCTGTATTGGAAAACGGTTGCAGAAAATTGTATCACACTCGTGTGATTTTTATTAGTTTATGCGCTTCGATTATCACCGCCAAAATATTTTTAACGATGATAAATATCAAAATACGCGTTGAGGTCGTTGAAAGGAAAAAAATACTAGCTGAACGTTAATGTGTAAACCGCGAGAGAAAGAGAAAGCTGACACAAGGCGCGGAAGTTCGAGACTTTGGAAGCATTATGTCGCATGTTTCGTGTCCTTCGACAAATTTCGGTGAACGCGTTTCACTGCATAAACACAGTCTAACAAGGGAAAGCCGACTAATAGCTGAGAAAATAAGGGACGCACACGGAGTATTCCTAAAATAATAGAATCTTTAGAAACTCACTGTAATGACAGAAATGTCCCTTTAGCGTTGCAAATGGAAATGTCTCCAATCGCAATCGTACGTTTGCGTAAAACAGTAATGTTCTTGTGTAATTTATTACACGTAATTGTACCAGCTTTGCAAAAAGTAAGCGATTAGGAATTATAGGATTATTTCCATTTCAAAAATTAGCTGTTTCCATTCGGAAGATACGTATAAGAAATTATATGAGATAAATGCGTCACGATCGATTAGTAATCTTTCTCGCGATTAGTTTTCGTACGTGTCGTCTTTGCGTATTCCGTAATTGCACGAATTACGTTTGGACGTTGCACTTTCCTTTCTTGTAGTCACTGAACTTTGCCCACTGTTTACGTTCGTGTGCTTCGTTTTACTTAGAAACTGATTGAATTTTAATGAACAATACTTTCATGTTTCTAACACAGATTGAAAATGTTTACTCACGAATAATTAACATCGTTACGAAAATATTAAACATGCAATATACAGGGTGTTCGGCCACCCCTGGGAAAAATTTTAATGGGAGATTCTAGAGGCGAAAATAAGACGAAAATCAAGAATACTAATTTGTTGTTGAAGATTTCGTTAAAAAGTTATTAACGTTTAAAGTTCCGCCCGTACTCAATTTTTGTCTCGAAAGTGGGTAGGATTTCGGAGGTAGGTCTATTCATCAAAAATTATTGTAATCAACCCCCGCAACCGAAAATAATTTTTCCAGAATGATTTGAAATTTTTTTTTCTGTCGAAAAATTTCACATCTTCTCGAATTTTTTTCTAGAAAGTGGGTAGGATTTCGGGGACATGTCTAAACTAGAATACTGTGTTGGCACAATATTTTAACTACTGCTACGTCTTGGGTTACAATTCATAAAATCATATTTACACATTTGTAATTTGTAAATTATAAACATTAAATTTAGGGTAGATTTCTAGATAATTTATGGACATATTACATTACTTAAAGACAACATACATAGTGCGTATAATGCAATCTTAGTTCCTGTTTTCTTATGTGCAAATTACTAGAAGAAATTAAAAAGATTCCCAACATTGTGTCATTATAATTGCAATCAGTTAAATAATAGTAGAATAAAATCAATGGTTAATTAGGCTTAACACAAATGATCAAAACTCATCATTATTGTGTGAGCAATTAGCATCCTAATAATTTTAAATTACACTACAACTTCCATTATTCTAACTAACAGGGAAATAGAACAATTTGGATAAATAATATTTTCTAGTATTGCTCATTTGCTACTATCAGTCATATATTGTACTATTGACAGTTCAAGGTCACTATCACCATTGCAAGCCACACCAGTCACGTCTCTCGCTTCTATGTACATAAACCGTTCCAAATTGTTTCATTCGAACGATATAGTGATGATAATCAGTTACTTATGGTCGTATACATGTAACTAGTATCACCATCTATACTTCGCCCAACGAGACAAGACTACGAGATTTACGGATATAAAACTACGTGACTGCAACAAAATCTCATTGAACCACTATACAGGGTGTTCGGTCACCCATGGGAAAAATTTGAATGGGAGATTCTAGAAGCCAAAATAAGACGAAAATCAAGAATACCAATTTGTTAATGGAGGCTTCGTTAAAAAGTTATTAACATTTAAAGTTCCGCCCGTACTCAATTTTTGTCTCGAAAGTGGGTAGGATTTCGGGTGTATGTGTATTCACCAAAAATGATTGTAATTGACCCCCGCAACCGAAAATAATTTTTCCAGAACGATTTGAAATTTTTGAATTTAATTGTTAATAACTTTTTAACGAAGCCCCAGTCAAGAAATTGATATTCCTGATTTTCGTCTTATTTTGGCCTCTACAATCTCCCATTAAAATTTTTCCCAGGGTTGGCCGTACATCCTGTATATCTAATGTCATTAATTTTAATACCACAAGCCTCATTCCTAATGATTTAGTTATTATAAACGTTTTAGTCTTCAAAAAAAAGCCCATAATACCTTCCACAAAAGAAACAAACAGAACTACGTCATTACCTGAATGCATACGAATACAATAGAATTTATACAAGTTACTATTTATACATATATGCAACTAGCAAGGAACGATTTCACAATTCTATGTGAACTATGTTAACAAGAGAAAATATAAAACATTAAATAATTCGTGTGCAGTCGATTTTGTCAAAATTATAAAGATATTTACTTCAATATAAATTAGTGCTACTATAGTGTACGTCACAGATAAGATATTTTGATATTCTACTAAATTATACCATAGTAGACACTAATCAAGATTACTTTTATAGGAAGCAACGCGAGGACGAAATGAGAGGAACGGCCTACCACGTCGCACGATTTACGACGACGATGAAAATTCGAGCGAGCGTTTCGGCAAATGGCGGAACAACGGTGAAGCTCTCGAACCAAAATGGAGGGACGGTGACACAGTACCACTATTTCCATTTTCTGAATTATCACGATACTCTGGCGACAAAGCGGACAGCGAGGAAGAGATCAATTACAGCCATCGAGTAGCAAAATATCGTCGGAACAATGGACGAGAGGAACCTCGTTTCAGAAACGACAACAAACGTGTGTACAGGGAATGGGATGAGAAGAATAGAGACGATCAACCCTTGACTGGACAAAATCCAATCAACTCCAAGGAAACGAACAATAGGGAAGAAGAAACTCTAGATTTTGCAGAAAATAAAGATACAATGTCCACGAGGTATCGCGAAGCTTTTCAAATACGCCTAAACGACTACGAGCACGAACTGGACGACGAGGAGTACCTGAAACCTCGTCCAAGGAAACGGAGACCACCGCAAAATTACGAATTCGCTCTAGCCGTGAACAACACGTCCACGAACGAACGAAAACTGGAAAGCAATTCTGGACCTTGGCTCCGTACGCAAATAACTTTGGAACCAGAACGCAGAAATCAATTCGGACAGAATGCCATGGAGCTGAAGTCCCTCTTGAAGATGCAGCAAGAGGAAGGCCTAAGTCTATCGGAGCTGCTGCAGCGAAGAAACCTGACTCTCGACGATCTCCTGAAAGGTAAAGCAGACGCGATCAATGCGTTGAAATCGAAAGACATTGAGGCCGAGGATTACATCGAGGAAGCGTCTAGAATGATGTACAATTCCCTCATGAAAGCATCTACCACGAATAAACCACAATGGATGACTGTTACGGAAGCCACGGGACTAAAGAACGTTCTAAAACACGATGATCCGATGATTTCAATCATGGACACGGTGGATCTACTCTGGCGTAAGAATCTCACGAATTCCGCGGGATCTTCTTCGAACGCAACCACTGGAAAATCGATCCTCGCCACTCTTAATTCGCGGCCAGTCGGAGTTACGCCTCTCGCGAACCTACCAGTAGCGATTACGACATCGATGCCGGTTGCAACGAATTCCATGCAGTTCTTGCAAAGCAACGGTACTGCGAAATTATGGAACGGTGACGAAATCAAGCCGGATAGCTTGGACGAAGACGAGATCATGGAATTCTCGGATTTCACCGATTACAAGAACGGACGAAACAACATGTCTCCGGTTTGGCTGATGTCAAAGGACGAGGAAAGAAACGAGGAGACTCTGGATGGTTTTAAAAGCAACAACGACAGAGGATCGACGTTAAGTATCCAGCAGATCTTGAACCCTACGGAAAGTACCAAATCGATGAAAAATTTATCCGCGTCTGAGAACAACGAAAGCGTCTATGCGACCGAGATGATCGGGCAAGAAGATCGACGCAACGTCGAGCACAACGAACGAGATTACACCACGTTCTCAGAGCAGGAATACCAAGAAGATGCACCGTTGATGTACCATGACCTAGAACAGAATACGCAAATTAGCACTCCTGCTGACGAAGAGAGTAAAATAGAATCTGCACTGGATGCAGTGTCTTACGGTGACATTACAGAGGTTCAACGAATGTTTACGAACAACGTCGATTACTCTCTCAAAAATCATCAAACTGCGAACACCACCGAGAAGCAGAGTTACGACGACGTGGTTTCGGAAATAGAACCGGAAGCGCGAGCCGAGATCTTTGAATTATTCGCGTCCGGATCCGCGGGTAAGAGATTAGAGCGTCTTTTAAAATCGAGGAACATGAGCTTGGAGGAACTGATCGCTTTGCGACAGCGAGGCTCCAGCAGAGTTCATTTGGCCGAGGTTTCGCGACTCAAAGCACAGAAATCAACCAGCGAGAACAAGCCGGAGAGTGAAAATAACTCGGTAGTGACCACTTTGTCGCCGCCCGAGGGACATTCTTATCAATTTGGAGAAAGAAACCCGACGAATTTGCCGCCGCTGTCGTTTGAAAACGCGACCAACAGCGATCTTGTTCGCCCCGAGGAAACTACTACCAAACGATTGCTACCAAATTTCGATTTGGGAATCAATAACGAAGACCTCGATAGCGAGAAACGAAACATCGAAGAGCGTCATCGTACAGTGCAGATCGTTGATCTGTTAACGACCTTCGATTCTCTTCCATTCGCGAAGAATTTTCAGCGGGACTTCCCGGGCGAGTACGACGACATGGCCAAGAAGAAATTGTCCGAGCAGAGCACCGATCTCGGCGTAGTGTTTATAAATGACGGGGAAACGATACGTACAAATGATACCGCGAACGTCATTCAGTCCGATTACGTGAAAGGGATAGTCAAACAGGAATCGAATTCTATCAATATTCAGACGGTATTCAGAGAAACGAGCGTCCTTAACGAGGACGAAGACAACGAAAAGGGGAAATCCCTTTCGAAAGTAAAACCCAGCATAATAGCGAGTGGCGCGATCCTTGGCGTGACAATCGTGGTTTTCTTGGCAATATTCATCGTGTGCAGGATTCGGCAGAAGCAGAAATACAGATACAGGAACACCTTTTCCAGAGCAGTGTTTCAAGCTCCTGTATTAGCAGCCAGGAAACTGTCGAATTCGAGCAGTCTAAGCACCGTAATGGTCAACGTTATCGCGACGTCAACGACGAAGAGACCGGAAAGAAAGGAAATGCAGGAACCTGCGGGAGAGATGAATTGTAAAAGTGATATCGATAATGATTCTCTGGATGCTAACGATAGCTGGGAAACTATACCTGATTACATGAAATAACGGCAAACAGATTTGACCGCAATATTTCTGTTCAGACCTTAAAAAACAACAGTATTTTCTTGTCTACGTTAGATTAAACCGTACATATACATACATATTGAAGGCTGATCATGTACCTTGACTTTAGCAATGATACAAAGCTGAAGACATTAGACACCTTAATAGATCGACCACTGAATCACTGACTGCAAATGTTTCTATTAGTCTGTAGACTGATTTCGCAAACACGGACTTTTGTACATACAATTGTATAGAGTATTTGATCAATTTTAACAGATAAAATTTAATGTAATTTAGAATTTTAGAATTAGAATAATTGTCTTGTATAAGATCATTTTTCAGAACTCCTCTCGATGTCAGAAAGAAGCATACATGTTACTACTCTGATGTAAACGTACTCTTTCAAATTTACGTGCATAGAATAAAGTATATTTATTTACTTTGCTTGTGTTAACATTGATTTTCTGACGCGTGTGACCAAATATACACAAAAAAATAAGAAAATTTTGCAACAAATGTGCGTACCTCTGCGCAAAGTTGCAATGTATTTGCTTTCAAATAAAATCAATCGACGTGCCACGCACGGCGTTCCGATCGGTGAAACAAATGATCATTGATGTGTATGGCACGTCATTCCAGCGCAAGAAATTAAAAATTTAATATCGTATCGTTTTCTTACTACTCACCAGTATCGTTCGTATGTAAAAACATCCCTGAGTAAAGCAGACACTGCATTATTGCTATTTTGAAATACCTTGGTGAAATAAGAATACTGTCTTGCAATATTTCTGCACTGTTTTAATGCAGTCTCTGTAAAAAAGGAAAGGGATTCGTGAAATTTTATTATTATTTTTGAATTCCTTACATCAAATTTTTCAAACCATGGACTTTAATTTTTATGATCATTGAATATTTGACTAATTTTTAAAATTAATATATACCTAAAGTAGGGCTGCCTTTAAGCTCAATCATATCAGCAGCAGTCATATACAACACAGTGGTATAACTGGTAGGAAGGATATCCAAATATGGTTTCCATTTTGAATTTTCTTTATGTCTTTCAATAAGGAGTGCAATTGCCAATGCTACTTGTGGCATATGCTGTATCAATGGATCATTTTGGAGAACAGTTAATTCTGGTGCTGCATTATGTATACTGAAAATAAGTCCCCTTGGTATCCTTAACATCAACTCGTTCTTTAGAAAGTTACGTTCTGCTTTTAACCCTAAATCGTATCCTGAAAACTCAGCTACGCTTGCCCCATCTATGTTTGCACCATTCTCTTTAAGCCAATTCATAAATTGTCCAATCCCCTGGGACCGCTTTGACGATTCTGTCTTCATTTCCTCCAATCGTTTAACCTTCTCCAAAACTGATGATATCTCTTTGTAGTTGTTCCATAGTTGCGTCACGTATGCTGAATTACTGCTAACTGACTCAAAAAATGCAAAATTATTATTTTTTATATACACTTTGACAAAAGCATCACAGTTAGGGGTATTGTGAAAAGAACAAATAAATCAGAAATTTTTCAAACTGTTAAAAATAACGGTTAAATGGAAATGGACATGTACTATATATTTTAAACAATTTAGAACATTTAAAATTATTCTAACTGTAAGAACAAAATCACTTTAATTATTTTTTAATGACTGCGGTAAAATATCTAATTGCATTTAATTAAATACTTTACAATCGCTTTGAACTGGCGTGATCCAAGTAGAACGGTATAAGTATATATAGTAGATGTACCATGTGCAAAAATATTTTTTGGAAAAATGTACTCACGATGAAATAATTTCTCGCACAACGCATTTATCTCGTTTCTTTTTACTAAGGATAATTGCCTCTGATGCGGAACGTGTTGTTTACTTTTAGACGATCCGTGAGATTTTCTTCTGCCCATGTTTGTACTATCTTACAGCACTTTCGTGACTTCTCCTCACATTTAGATGCATTATAATGTGTGACGTGCGCCTACAACTGGCAAGAATAAACACTTCGCCGAAACAAAAATAGAACGTCCGATGCTTCGTGCCTTCTGAAACTCTACCGACATAACCTCGAAATGCCAGAATGGAGCTAGCTTCTTTTCCTGCGTATTGTACTACGGACTCCACTGCACTTTATTGATTTTCAATCTCCACCAGAGGTCACCTACTTTTGCAATTACGCTAAACTTCTTCTTAAAATCATTTTTTTTTACTATTTTTTCATTTCCTTCATCTGAAATGAGCACATTGATCACACTTTGTTGAACAAATTTGCTATGTACATAACATTAAAATCAATTTTATCGTTCCATCATATACTAAGAAATAATTTTATTTTATGATTGCACACATGTCGATATTTGCGCAACACGGCAAACACTCTCAAAATACATAGAAGTATATGTGTGTTGCGTATGCATGTATATATATATATATATATATATATACATGTGTATATACATATATTGCATGTATATATATTTATATGTATATATAAAAATTTAATTATTTTCAATCTTTTTCATATTTCTTTAAAATTACTTACTAAATGTGCATTAAAAATAAAAATATACAAAACATGAATGAAACGAATTTTTCTTTTGTATAAGATCTATATTGTACAAAGTAAGAAACAAATGATTAATATATTTAATAAATTTTTTAAGAATAAATTTATATTGCCTTTTATTCTATTTATAAAGTTGCATTAAAGGGGATCTAAAAAGAATGAGTCAATCATCAAATAATTATTTACATAAAGTAAAAATTTAGTATTCTATTTCACATGTATGTCCTTATATAAATATAGGAATACATGATTATAATATACATAATAAAAAGTTTTTAATTAGAATGTTTTACCTTTGACATAACAAACACATTAAACTGTGTGATTGAAATTGTTAAGAACTAGAGTGCTCTTGTTTGGAATCATTTGTACATGTAAAAAGAAAAAAAAAGAAAACGAAGAATGCAATGAATTAAAAATTTGTAAAATGTGATTGCAAACTAAACAGCAAAAGGAACAAAATAAAAATTTGGAAAATTATTAAGAAATCATTTTTTTTTTAAATTTTCTATTAGTTATTCAACATTTATTACTTTGATATAAAAGTATTTGTAATACTTATATCAAGGCTAAAAGCCATGAAAATGTAATATTCATCCTTAAATTTAATTCAATAGTATTCACAGCTCGTACTTAACATAAAAAATATTTTCATTTCTGTATTTAACCTGTTAACTAGGAAAGTATATCTATAGATCCCCCTTAATGTTTATAAATTATACAGTTTGTGTACAACTAAAAATTATATAATAAAACAATTAGCTGAATTTTCACGCTGCAAAGTAAGGTAACTAATAGTATAACATTCTTACAAAGAACGAATTTAAGAGTGGGCAAAAAGTACAGCGTATATAAATATAACAAATACGTACAATAGATAACATCGTTTAACTGAAGAAATCTATTTATATATTATTACCCGTGAAATAATTTTCGTTATATTATTTAAAAATTTCATGTATATATTACATTTACGCATAAAACTTGTGATATTCTTCTGTATCATTATCATTTGCAGTATAAAATCTAATTTTGCATCGTATCAATATACTACCCGCAGAAAGAGTATTAGAAAAATGAATGACAGGAAGGAAGGAAAAAAATAATTATCATATTTGAAAATGAATTTAAACACCTTAGTTAGGGAATTTATCGTAATTGCGTAATTTGTACGAAGTACAGATAAATCACTACGTTTTTATAATATAATATTTGATTACGAATTATGCAGAATCGTAAGTATATTACACATTCTACAATATTACTTAGAAACTTCTCCATAATTTCTTTGCAGCGGAAAACTCATATCTTAAATATTAAAGATACACATACAATTACAGTAATATATACCGTTATTTATACAGCCTAATCTCTATATAGAGCCTTGTAGACCACATGATTTCGTTTCTTTTTCACTGCTACCTCAATAGAAATCCATCGAAATCTGGCATACGTCACGAAATTAAAAGTACAATCTATCTTGACTCAACATCTTTCATAAGATGTTATACAAGTTCTACACGTTTTGTAAAAACCGAAAATTGTATAGTTCATTTATCAATCCCCTTTTAATTAATGTGCGCGAAACTTTCATAAATCTTAATTTCATACCATAATTATTCTAAACATGTACACCTTTTTTGAAATTCAGACATTTCTCTTGACGCAGATACACGTTACAGCACGCCAAATAATCTCTGTGGACCATATATTAAAAGTGTTGCAGCCTAAAAAAATTTTAAGCCCTTCATGGATCAACCGAATTAATACAAGAATACCAGCCTCTCACGAAATTTTGTTTTGCAGACAAAACACCTCGCAATATACTTATGGTCCCGTTTTTGTCATTAAAAGCTTTAATGAAAACATTATTTGTGATTACTGTAGAGTGTATCGATACATTATTCAAGGGGAATTGAAGACTATAAAACACATAGTACATAAATATTAAATTACTTTTCATCCAATTCACAATTATTGGAATAAGTTGTGCAGACATTGTAGAGTCAAATTTACAAAATTTCTAATTTTCTTATATCAGGTAATATTCTTTCCTTGTAATATATGTATTTGTACAGTTTATTTCATTTTTTTTCTATTGCGTAGCAGTATCTGAAATGCTTTGTCGCCATGTAGCATGGAAAGGAATCTTCAATATTTTAACTCGCGTTTTAGGCAATGCAGTTAGTAAAAGTTTTTGAAGTTGTGGCAACGGTAATATATCCACTTGTGGATTTGTTAAGTTTGGTTGTTGTTTATCATCGCCTGAAAAATATAGAAATCATTAAAAATAATTTTATACATATAATTTAATGGAAAAATATTGTTCACATGCGCATATAAATAAACATATTTATATATTACGTACCTTTCTGATTGTCATTTTCATCCTCAACATCCTCGATTAATTTTAAACAAGGTACTGGTTTCAAAACTGGTATCGAATCACCGGTAACTTGTTTATTCATTAAGTTACATTGATCAACAAATAGTTCGGTAACCCTAAGTAACTCGAGTGTAACACCCCATACGAAATGTGTCAAATTATTTGACAATTCAGTAACGCCGCCAAGCACCATATTGTTGGACGTTGCCGATTGGGATATGTAAGTTGGTATAATTAACAGCCTTTTAATATTCTTACAATTTGCAAGACATTTATCAAAGCCATTTTTCACATCAAAATTTACTAATTCCATTTGACTCAAATTTTGCAATTTAGATACACCGTCCAATATATCGAATGTGCAACACGAACCTTGTCCCTTTTCAAGCCTAACTCGTTCTAATTTTTGTAATTTTATTAAAACTGTAGTACCAAATTTATCTGGAAAATCAGAACACTCTCCCAATTCTAGTGCCTCCAAATTTATTAATGTTTGTATAATATCGATTCTCTTCTTTCCAAGGTCCTTAACCGATGTTAAACTCTGCAATGTATGTAGTAAGTATGAAAATCATAATACGATAATTAACGTTGAAGAACAATTACAATAAAAAATGATTACACTTACGAGTTGTGTTAACTGTACTAATTCTTGTAAAGGCGTGAGATCTTCTTGTAGGGACATTCCACTTATTGCCTTAAGCCTCAATTCTTGACAACGTTTAAAATTTCCAACTGATTCCAAATTCAAGGAATCGCATTTTATCGTCATTGCACTCAGTACTTCTAACTGAGGACAGTTCTTAATGACTTCCTCAACTACCATCACGGGACATCTACATAACTCTAGTTTAACGAGACTAGTTACACGTGGTATCACCAACAAGAACTTTTTCCAAATGCTATCAGATTCACCCGCTACAAGCATTTTTCGGAGATCTAAGTGTTGAGTACCGCGTCTTTGCAATGTATCTGCTAAACCATCCCAATCTGTAACCTGACTATTTTTCATTCGCACGGTCTTCCACAAAGAAGGATGCGCAGCCAAGTCCCGCCACATTTTACATACTCTAGCCGCTCGAAGCAATTCTTGAACCTTAAGATATTGGAAAATACGTAGCAAAGCATGGTAACCAGCACAGACTGAATTCATAAAATGTTGTTGTTGTTCTGTTTCCTGTTGATGTTGTTTCCTTCTGAAAATATCACAACAAAAAAAGATTTTTAATAATTTCTTTTTCAGAAACGAAGGCCTAAAATATATAATAAGGGTATCATTCATTAAAATATGTATAATAATTGATTTTCTTAAGTAAAAGAGTAAGTTTACACTAGTATCTGAACTATTCATCATTTTCCTTAATATAATTAAGAGAATGTTAATTTTTGAAGAGGCTTTTAAAGGACCAATGATTTACAACAATGATGCCGATATTATACTCTATTAAACAAGAAATATAAGAGTAAAAGCCTCTGAAAAAAATTCCAAAGGTTGAAAATGTAATATTTTAAAATTAGAATAAATGTACAGAAACAAAAAACAAACATAAATAGGTGGTATAAATAATGAGGAACAAGGATTTTAGGATGTTTGTGGGAAAACGCACTAAGAGATTTTTGTGTTTCAGCTCGCACATGTCTTTATATCTGTAAATATAAAAAGTAAAAATGAATTAGATTTTTTACACTGAAGCACTTATCAGTAGCTGTATTTGCAATTGTAGCATGAATGTAAATAACAGATACGAAGATTGGTCAATTTTTTGTAATTCTTTTAAAGAACGTAAATAAATTAAATCTATCAGGGAATGAAATTTTACTTTGATACTACAATTACAGAATACCTGCAAGAACCAACGATATGTGATTGTTCTGTTCATTTTTCACACGTCTCAAAAATTTGGCCGCATTTCTAAGAAGCTAAGGCAGTGTGCTTCGATCACAAGATAAAATCAAATTCATTTTTCACGTCGAACTTTTATATTTCCAAATATAATAAACATCAGTATATATTGCATTTACAATACTATTTATGTAAATTTTGTATAAAAGAATATGAATATATTGCTACAGATTTCTATTATTTCTCTTCAAAGCTTCAACAAAATTATGAAAACAGCCTGGTACAATTCATAAAAATGTATAAACAAAAAATTAAAAATGCTTTTTTTATACGCATATGTAATATAAAATTAATTATCACAAAAACAGCACACATATCTTGTAAATACAATATGTACAAAGCAACTGCCAAAACCTCAAAAGAGAGTTGCCTTAACTTATCTGGAGATTGTTTAAAAAAAGGAAGTAAAAGAAATATACAGGCGTGTTTGAGAAACAAACACTTACTTGCTACTTATTTTAATAGCACCCAAACTACTCGTCACACATTGACGTGAATCTACTTTAAGTAGATCATTATTTGTACTAGTTGTGTTTGAATGATTTATTACAGCTATCCGTTCAGGTGATTTGTTACTTGTTATTGATCTCGTGCTTTCTAGTGAAAGATCTGTCCTTAAATTGGACGAATCATTTTCTGACCTATTAGCAATCAATGTATCTGTTCTATTGCTGTTATTACACGTTTCTTCTGTTACTTCCTCAGGAGGGTATACAGTACGTTCTGCGTGTATTTCATCTTTCAATGTATATTTATCAGTTGATTCATCGATAGCATCTTTTCCCAAAGATTTCATTGATAAAGGAATACGAGATTTTGTATTTATGGAATTGTCCACAGTGTTTGATATATCGGTAAGTGAACCATCCTGAAGTATAGGTGGCTTATCACCAATTTTATCAGGCTTTACTGTTATAGCTGGTTGCACAGCCATAGCGTTATTTTTTGGCACAACAATGTATCTTTTACCTCCCATTAGAGCAATATTTTGTGGTGGTTTCGGTAACATTCCATCATGACTTTGCAAAAATTCATTTTCTGCTTGAGCATACCAATTGCTTTCTTTCTTATCAGAATTCGAAGACGGATATGACGTTGCTGACGGTGTTTTTGAAACTTTAGCAACATTTCGAGGTTGTGAATCTGTATTATCAGATTTTGGAATTCTTTGAAGTTTTGGTGGAGTTAAATTTACTTGATGTTTTGATTTTGCACCTTGCGCGCCTAGCATACTAATTGGTATTAATGGAGGAGGTGTCAAAGATGGATTTGTTTGAGGTTGCTGAGATTCACTAGTATCCTGCTGACAATTCTATAACAAAATTAACGTCACTCATTTAAATACTTTGTATCCGACTTCATCGAAGTATATTCAATAATTAATAAATTTTAAACTTAAATATTGTTCATATAGAATTAAATATTGAAATATCGATCGAATAAAGAATCTTTTTAGAAGGCAAGAAACGTGGGCTGTATTTTTAATTATATTATAGTAAAGAATATTTGAAATATTGAACTGACAATAATTTATAAACAATTTTAAGAAAAAATACTTTATGGTTATAAATGAAACATACCTTGCAAATATAATTGTCAGTCCCCGTTAATTCCAAACCATCAACACATTCAGGATGATATAAACAGAGACACACACTACATTGTAAGCTTGGTATCAACCCCATACTCGTTGAGCACCTTATACTGCATGGTTCTTGAACTTTGGGCCTGTAAGATGTGCGTTGATTGGGGAAGGGGATCAAGGAATAAAACACAAAATTTAAATAAGGGATATAAGGATCAAAAGGATAAAGAAGGATACAGTTATGAAAAATATAGAAGGAAAAGTTTGAACTGTTTCAGAATAAAATCTCGAACTCTTTAATTACGTATACTTATTATACAGCATGCATTTTATGATTAATCAAATAAAGTATACTTCAATATATTCTTGTAATGCAAATTCTAATTTTTACGCGCCTACTGAAGCAAAATTTATGCAACAAATTATTAGACAAAATTCTGTATAAAAGAATATAAAATAAAAAATTTAACCAGCAAAATAAAACAAATATTTCTGTACTAGTATAGTAACTACTACAAAGTTAGAATTTTATAAGATAGGGAATTTAGAATGATATGAATTAATTTATTACTTTTTCGTATTTTCTCCATTTGTTTTGAAATGTTATTGTACAAGAATTCTAAAAGGGAATATTCATTTTCTCGAAAAATATAATGAATGCACATGCTGTAAATCCTTCATTGGACCTTTTCAAAGCACGTTAAACATGATTAACAATCACGTCTAACTAGTAAGCAATTGGATACCCTCGAGTATTGCAAATTAACCGCGATTAGACCATATAATAAATACAATAATGATTAAAACAATTAGCTACTTACGTAATTTTTCTTTTAGGTTTAGGAGGTGGTAGTGGTTTTTCTATCAATGGTTGACTTCTTCTTGTGCTTGTGGTCCGTTGTGGCGGAAGCATCTCACTTTCTTCAACAGGTGGCTTTATTTCTGCTATGCATATGCAAATAATTCTCGTCAAAATCATAATTATAAAATATCGTTACATCACTATTTATAAAACAATGCGCTATAAAATCACAGAAAGTTAAAGAGTATTTCACTAACTTATACAATTAGAAACATACTATTTAATAAATTTTCAGAGTTGCTTCAACTTTGTAAGGAATATTATTTTATGATCTAATACCGGGAATATACTAGAGAGAAAACTGCTTGCAAGTAGTTCGCGAGCTGTTCGTCAACGGAAACAGACGCGTTTTCACACTGGAGCTCGCGAATAGCTAGCGAAAAGTTATAACCTACGCAAACTTTGAGTTCGCGAACAGATTCTTTGATGTACCGCTTCCCGAGCGAATAGTGTTCGCTGTTCGCGAGTTTTCACACTGCTGGCGAACCGTTTACGAATAGCAGTGTATTCCCGGCATAAAAGTAAAGAAAGATATTTCAAGCGTTATAAAGATAGATGGAACATACATATGGATATAAGAGTACTTACTAAAAGAAAAATATCATTTGGTTAATAAGTATACAGTGACTTAGCAATATTATTTAAGTGGATTAATACGATAACTAGAAGTTACAGATAATAACAAATACAACATTCTATTAACATAAATGCATACTTATTTGTGGAGTTCTCTTTGCAGGCACTTTAACTTTAAATCCCGGGGTTGCAGCTTTCGGCGATTTAGAAGCAACTTTTGTAGGCACAGGTACAGGCACTGGAGCAGGTGATTCTCCCACGGTTCTTCTTCCAGGTGTACTTTTTTTATACGCATAACTTTTTCTTGAAGTAGATCCCTGCAGCAGAGTAAAAATTAATATTAAACTAAACATCGATATAAATTTTTTATAACCCAAAAAGTAAAATTACGTACTCTCATTTTTTTCGCATCTCGAATAATTTCCTTCTCAGGATCATCCATACCAATTGGTTCTTTGAAAAATGTAAAATTATCAATAGTCAACTCCTTTGTATGAACTAAAAAAAAAGAAAAAAAAAATTACATTTCCTTCCAAATTATGTCATCATTATATAGCATATTATTTTCAATAAATTATACTTACGAAATTCTGCAACTTCTCTAAAACTTCTAACTTTCTTGCCCTTTGGTGTATAGTAATAAATATCAGCCATTCTTTTAAGGGTTGAATCAGTACTTGCTCTAAATACTAATTCTCGCTTCCAACCATATCTAAAAGGTTCTTTGAACGCAGGATTCGACATATCAACAGCTGCTTTCTGTTTCCCAGTACTTGATGGTGGACTAACCCCACGAGACATACGACTACTTCTAGATTTTTGAGATGTAGCTGGACTACTAGCTGCAGATGAATTTGTTGATTTCATTGAAATTTCATCTGCTTTTTGTACTTCTAGTTCTAACTCCATAGTATTTGGTATTCCGACTGAATCTGTTTCTGATCTATCAGATTCTTTTTCCCTTTTTATCTTTTTCATATCTACCATACGTCCTTCATCATAATGATGTATTTTGTAGTCATCTGAATCCTGTTCATCATCTTTCCTCCCATCATAATCTTTCTTTATACTATATCTTAACCGTTTTGCCAATTGAGCTTCTGCTACCTCAGCTTCGGCTGTAATAAATTATATAGACATATAAGAAAACCTATTTTCACCAAGAAATATTTTACATGAAGCATGAAAAAAAATGATTCTAATAAAAAAGACTACAAAAATTGAAATACTATATTTTAAAAAAATGGTATGCCCCGCAATTACATGACAGGTATTTAACATATTACAAAAAAGACCCGGTATGTTTTAAAATGCTAATAAGGAATTTAATTAATAGTTCTCAAGTATTATCTTGAATCGAAAAATACTAATTAATATAATAAATTTATATTTTGATTATATTGTTCATATATTATGATTATATTAAGACAATTAAATTATATAAAAACAATATATTACACAAAAATTGAAAAATTCCTATATATCATATACAATGCAGAAAAAAATGCTGAATACAAGAATTCCTGCTTAATATTTGAAAGACATTAGTTGTAAATAGATCCAATCTATTATTTATTAAATAATACATGTAAACAAAAATAATGATCTACTGTTTTCATTCAACAATTATTCGTTTGCAGAAAAAAAAGAAGAATATATATGATAACATTATTCTCAATGATAAATGTATGGTCTGCATATTGAATATGGCATAACAATGACTGATACCAATTAGTTTTCTTAAGACATGACTTCCTGGTTCGATATCATTAGCCCCTTGTGCATCAAATCCATTGAATTCCATAGAATCCTCGGAGCTAACATCATCAGGTTCCGAAAGCTTACGCTTGCGTCCTTTTGTATCTAATGTTGTATCACTTTCAATGGTACTAGTTGAATTGGCTTTGAACTTGCGCAGCTTTCTTCTAACGATTGGTGTTGGACTCTTTTTTGATGAGCCTTTTATATCGCCATTAAGTTCCTGACCGTCCATTTGAATAGTTGTTTCTACAGTTTCTTGTGCCTCCTGTAATTCCGGCATACTACCACTTTCTAGGTTAGGATTCTCGCGCGCCTCATCGGCGTTCCCGCCATTCACATTGGCACCGTCCATTATGCGGCCCCCTTTGGGACCAAGCACTTATTATACGTACAACAATGAATGCGTGAAAAACGTTAATTTCACGATACCCGACACTTCATATAAACTCCATTAAACGTTACTTCATGTAAGCACCCGTGCTACAGTCCCCTCGCGTCTGGGTATCACGATCCCGCGCTCATCTGTCCGCGAATGCGCATAACATACGCGCAGTTACCACTACGCGCTATTTACACAACCGCCAGGTTTTCCCTCGATAGGATACGTTTCCAAGCAATTCTTCATTACTTCCAAATTATCACCTCACACACATGCACTGAAGCGAAGAAAACTATGTTTCAGTAAAGATTACTTATCTCTCCATAAATGCGATTTAGTCAAAAGCTCGACCGAGAAAAGGCAATAGCTTTGGATAGACACGAAGCGTCTGTAAAACACAACCGGAAATGGCCGAAAAAATATGCTAAAGGCTCGTTTTCAATCCGCGTCATCTTCGAAATATGTAGTACATGCATACGTTCCATAAGGCAATGAATTTGAATGTAAACAGAAGTTATTTCATTGGTCAGCTATGTCAAAACGACGCTATAATTAGGAACCTCATTCGGTGTAAATTAAAAATTACGTAGCCTCGCGTAAAACAACTTTTAAGTATAGTAAATGATATAAATTTTACTGTACAATTTGTATGTATCAGGGAATAGCTATAGCAAATATGGTCCTATCGTAGCTACATGGTTTCTTTGATTTCATTTCATCGTCTTATAGAACGTATTATAGTACGCATGTTTAATTTCCTGATCAACAATGATTAGCAACAATTTGTTAAAACAATTTTTGCGAACAATGAAATAAAGAATGTAACTTTATAGTGTTGATTGACACATATGTAAATTATGTCATAAAATAAATCGATATTAAGAACAAGTCATATAATGATTAGAATTGTACGTGAAATTTATATTTTATTTTATATTGTTTCTATTAGAAAGATATAACATTTGTGTACTATCTCATCGATTTTGTTTTTTATAGAAATACTATCTTTACGTTTAGATATAAATTCTCAATTTTGGAACACACCTATGGTGGGATAGTCCAACCGTAACCAATTATTACTTGTAGAATCGGTAACTCCCACACACACCTATATATGTATACCTTACACTAATTCACACACTATCTAGAGAAAGATAGACAGAGAAGATCCGTGGCGCACAGTAAAAATAGTCTTGGAATTGACAGTTTGTTATCACTGGTTTTATTTTTTTTTTCATTGTCAATTAAACAAGTTATTAATTAATAATGATACTAATTTAAAGCACATTCACATCTTGCGCAATTGTAGTACACGGTGAGTGTGAACTTAATCTGTGTTTCTATCTTGTCACTGATTTAAAATATGATGCATTTTTGATATTTTTTGGATTTTGTTTTAATAATCGATATTCCTAAATAATAATATAAATATTTTACATCGTAATGTTTCACAACAGCATGTTATTTGTTGTCTATCTAAATTTATTAACAGTTATAAAGCAATAAACAAGATATATACCAGGTAAACCATATTTGCTTATTAAAGAAAAAATATAGACATACAGTGTTCGAATTAATTTTGAAATTATATATTTTGTATTGAAAATTAAACAATAATTAACATTATTTAGAACAGATGTATAGATGTCAATAAATATTTTTATTTTAGTAAAACATTATTATATATATATGTAGAAAAACACTGGTACAATAGTTTTAGAACAAGATAATTTTTCTACTGTTATTTGTTATATAATGAATATTCAATACTGTTGATGACTTATATTATGGCATTAAAATTTCATTGGCATTGTGTTAAATAATATTTAGGAACAATCGCATCCTTCAAATGGAGCGTGTTTTGAAAGCTGTACCAGCTGATTTAAGAGTAAAAATGGAGGCACTTGTGCACGATTTAACTTTGGCATTGGAAGAAAGCAGAAATAGTGCAAATGTCAGACGTAGATGGGGTATCAGAAGAAGAGCCCGTTCCACAGGCAATATTCGTAAGTGAAAAAAATTAAAAATATAAGAAAATTATTTATTTTATAGGATTATCTACATAAATGATTTGTAAGTTAAAATTTTATATAAATACTTTTGAATAAAAATCACATTAGAGCCAAACGCATGTTCTAATCACATTTCTATGAAATCAGTTCCAGTCTACTTCTGTGTGGCAGACAAAGGATTATTAGCAAGATTGTCTTTATAGAAACCATATTTAATTGTATAAAGAAGTCAAAGATTATACATTTTTGAAAAGTAACTTTTAAAACATGAACAATAATAAAAGAATTTTGAAAATAATATTTAAATAATTATTCTATTATTTCAGCATCTCTACACATGAACAAACATTCGGATGACAGTTCGTCTTCCATATGTGATATCCATGTTCCAAAACATAATGCCATGTGCAAATATCAATCCGATAGCGATGATACAAATCAAACAAAAAGATTTGCGCGTTTTTCCAATTTCAATAATCCTAGCAATATTGAAAGTGATTCAGTTAATGAAAATTTTGTACCTAGAGTAAATCCAAGACGTAAAAGAAAATTCAAGAGAATGGCTATTGATTCAGATTCAAACCCTTCAACTTCTCAAACAGTTGCAATTATGTCAACAACACTTGGAGATAAAAAGAGGATTTTCAGAAGCGATTGCAAAAATAGATATGGAACAATATGGTAATATATGTAATATAATAATGTATTCACGTTACATAACGATAGAAAAAAAATTGAATTTGGGACTATAAAAAAATCAGCTTATTACAAAACGACTTTTTTATCGTAGGTGTGGAAAACGTAAAAGATCATGTAGGGAGCGTTCTACAGATTGTGAAATGAGATCTCTAAAACCAAATAGAAATACGAAATCAAAAAATCGCATTAAAATGCAAACAGGAGATTTGATTGATTGTTCAAAAATATCAAGTTCGAGCATCTCGTCTAGTGATTCGGAAGCCGGACTTATTACAAATGACGAAGATCGAGAAGGTATACAATTATTAACTTTGAATAATAAGTAATTTGTTCAACTGATGTTTTTCACTTTAGGAGACGACGAACAGTCGGACTGGATTGGAGAGCCGAGTTGGTGGGATGATGGTGAAAGTACTAACGAAGATAAAGTTACTACAGATTCAGCATTTCAAATGCTATTACATGGAAGTTTTGAGCATGCTACAGATAAAGCAAGAAAAAGCTATAGACAAAGAATTCAAAGAATTCGAGAAGGTCATAGTGGAAGAGAAATTCGTGCTGGTCGTCGTCATGTCGACAATAAACCTGGATATTCGATTATCACATCAGCTAACGAAAAGGTGTCCAGGTTTTTACAAGATCCTACTCAAAGTGAACTTAAATTACATCCTATGCGTCAACCTGAGCGAGAAAAACTTCGTCGGCTTGCAAATTTATACAGTTTAAGCTTAAAAGGAGATTTAGGTTGTCCAATTTTATATAAAACTAGACACACTACACAAGCCATTTGTGTAGATCAAGCACCATTAAAGAGATTTTCAGATTATAAGAGATTAAGAAGAACTCCACCAAATTCACCAAATCCGGAACCAGTGATGCATAATCAGGAATATCAAATTTCTAGCACAAGTTTTGGCTTACAAAGTATAAGCCCTACGTCAAATATAGATTCCATGCAGTCTTTACCAAAATTTTCTCATTTTGAATGGGATACAAACAGTATGGACATCGAAATTCATGGAAAACCAAAGTTGCATGAATTTGGTCATTCAAAATCAAGCTAAACTACACAAAACCCTTTTTTGTTAATTTGTTTTCTAAAATAAATTATTTATATGTATATTCTTGCGTGGTTTTATGCAAAAAATTACAAACAATTAATATACATTATTTATCTTTCTTCCTTTCCCAATATCATAAAAGTATTGAAACATAAACTGTTAAAACCTTTTAATTACAATACTAATATATTTACACATTTGGTACCATTCTATTTTAATTATTTACACTTACTTCATTTAAGATAACATTTTTATTTAACAATTTTGTACATAATAAGTCTATTAGAATTTGTTCAATGTTTTACATAGTTAAATATTATACAATTACTGTTCAACTTATAAATGTTAAATTAAAATGTTCATCATTTTTGTATTAATTTAAATTATAGATCAATTTTATTCAAAAGACAGGTAAAATTATATTTTTTATTACAAAATTATTTACCATTGCTTCATTTTTTGTTAGCCGTTAATACATTCTTATTAGTAATTATTTGATATTCTTGAAATCGTTCAGATATTCGTTGGTTCATCTTCAAGTACTTTTCCATACAATTTAGGGCACACTTATCCTCCTGTGGCTTGATATCCCGAGCAGTAAAATCATTTATGCAGTCAACAAAACAAATTTCTGATAATTTGTTATAAGATGTCAGGAATTCTCGAAACTGGAGTACAAAAATTCTGATCATTTAAAGTTTCATTTATTAACGATTTGTTTGCATTACCACGTACAAAAATTTAATGATTCTCTACATTTCATGCCTGTACATACATTTATATATTTCGATAGGATCTTTGTATGAACATTCGTTTATGAAATCATTGCAAATACATACGGCTTTAATCTGGTTAGAATCCACTTTTGTCGGCGCCTGCATTGCAATTACACTACTGGTTTTATTTATAGTAAAAACCTTTATATTCAGGCACAAATTACCGATACACCTTGCGTCGCTAAAGGAACTTTGACGTGAATAATTTTAAGGTTAGAATAGATTTATACGCATGTGCGTGCTGTATGTGCATGAACTTTGAATATATTTAGACAAACAAGTATTCGAAGTATTACAAACTTCTTCGTGGCATGTGATAGGCTACACGAATCTTCGATCCTAAAACTATCGAAACTCAGAAAACAAATATCTAATTTCCCAGGTGTGAATTCAAAAATCCCGTTGCATTACTTCCAAATCATATGCTTGTCGAAACCATTATAAGTTTATTTTTTAAACATTAATCCATTTACAAGAGCAACAAGCATATAAAATAATATAGGAGTTAATCGCAACATTTCTGTCTTTAACAAATAATGATATCAATCAATTATGAACTTATTTAATGCATATTTAGTTCGTTATTTGATTTTCATCTGTTTAAAAGCTTAATTATTAAAACTCAAGTATCAATAAGCTACTCCGAAAAAATGATACGAAATTATTAAAGTTATATCACAATTAATATTGCGAATAAAGATATATACTATTTATTGTTACAATACGGGAATTACCAGTGAATGAGCATAAGGACGAAGGTAGTAGAAAATGAGCAGATGTTTCGTGTTGGCAGTTGACTGCAGCATACCAGCCATAGAAGGTAGAGTCTTTATTTCAAGTGCTTCGAAGTATTCATCTTTTTATTTATGAGGTAAATAATAAATACATGTTCTTATTATTTTATATCAATACAACATTTTTACATTATATTCTAAGTAGTATTGATCGATTATTTATAAGCTATATTGCACTTTTTATTAAATTACTTAGTTATTTCTCATTTTATTAGAATACACGAATGTTAATTTTGTGTTTTGAATATATTTGCACCTATTTGAATATTAAGGAAGGAATTATTTGCGAACGATTCTTTTTACTTAGTTTTCTTTTCTGCTTAACTACGATTTGCGTTGGTCACGGTAACAAAGCGAGGACAGGTAATAAACGAGAGTTTGTAAAAGTAGCAGTACCTCCAAATAAATGGTGCTGTATTAAAAGACCTTCAACATTTTTACATAGTTCGAGTAAAATTGACAAAATCGTCGTTTTTTATTTGCATTGTTTTGTTTCAAACGCATACTATTTGCGTTGGATAAAGTTTTGGTTAAACTTTGTAAGATTGTCAGATATTACCCACAAAATTTTTATCGCTTTTATTAGTTGCAAATCATAGTGGTTTACTTGCACTATTGCTGTTATGCTTGCTTATTTTGTTAACGGCCATTGCATGTATCGTAAATTAACCGATAGAGATGCAAGTAAATAAATTATTTCTTAAATTATAATTTCCATCGTTTCCAACGAAATTGTACTTTCAATATTGAATTTGAATCCATTACGACTCTACCATAAGTGATTTATTAGAACAACATACACTGTTTTCTAGAGATGGCGCTCTCTTTCAATTCTTCACATTTATTCATTTCGTTTCATATCTCATTGTCAGTCTTTTTACTGACATGTCCATACATTTTGCAAGCTAGTTCTCTATATGATTATTCAATAGTGTACACTATTGGCATACTGTTATATTAACTAAAGGTTTCGAAATACTTTTTAGCATGGTTATTTTGTCATTTTAGAAAATGCCATATGACAATCGAAATATTTCATCGATCGACAAAGCTTCGAATTCCACAATGGGTAAAAGATCTTATTCTACAAAATTGCAAGAAAAGCCATTCACGAAAATGACTTTAAGGACTAAAATACCACTCGCTCATAACGGAAAGGGGTCGTGTAAATTCACGACGAAACAACGATCTGCAGCAAATATGTCCCATGAAAACATTACGGAAGAGAAAAGCGTAAATTGTAAAGGTTATACCGAGCCTGTAGGTAATAAATGTTCCGACGATATGGATCACGATAATCCGATTACGGTATTACGTAAAGAAATACAAGATTGGAGAATCAACGAAATATTAACTGCTAGAACCGAAGAGATACTTTCTCGATCTCCAAGCGAACAACATACTTATAGTTATGGTATATTGTTTATTAATTAAATATGAAGTATATAGTACAATTAATTACAGTTGATTAAAAATATATTTTCATTATTTACAGTCGCTTCCGGAGAAACAACGAAGAGACTACGAAGTCCTAACAATCCTCTAAAATCATACAGAACATGCATTGACTTCCTAGCTGCAACGTGAGTACTTTATTTTTTACATTGATTTATAATTCATTATAGTCGGGTCGAAGAACGAATCGATGAGAAAAATCACTTCCACCTCTCGATCCTATAAGAATTTGAACTGTTCTTAGCCTTCAAGCTTAATGTTTATACTACTGATGACGAAATACTCTTTAACATACAGGGTATTCGGCCACCCCTAGGAAAAATTTTAATGGGAGATTCTAGAAGCCAAAATAAGACGAAAATCAAGAATACCAATTTGTTGATTCAGGCTTGGTTAAAAAGTTATTAACGTTTAAAATTCCGCCTGTAGAACGGCAATCTGCGAACAGCTGCGTGCGCGTGATAGTGGTTCTCATTCAGCATGAGAACCTCTACTTACTGATGTATCGACAGTCTTACAGTTTTGTGAATGAGAACCACTATCACGCGTTCACAGCTGTTCGCAGATTGCCGTTCTACAGGCGGAACTTTAAACGTTAATAACTTTTTAACCAAACCTGAATCAACAAATTTGTATTCTTGATTTTCGTCTTATTTTGGCTCTTAGAATCTCCCATTAAAATTTTTCCCAGGGCTGGCTGAACACCCTGTATAATATGCTACTTTCTTCCCCATGAAAACTCATGAATTCTCAGGCGTCCGCGAATTATAGTTTGAGAAACACTGCCTTACTGTATCGGGTGATGACTAAGTCTGCACAAACGCAATCGGCCGTCCAAGCCACTGAAAGGTTATTCCCACCATTCCACGCGACTACCCCACCAGTCTACCTTTTATACCTTCGTGCAAATTTTCAAGCATACGCTCTGTGTCCTTCAAACAGAGAAGTAAGCAGGCATGGTACAAGCATAGGACTACAAATACTGTGTACAGTATGTAACGTAGTGATTACTTTATACGTTTGTTATAAATTTATAAACAAAATAATTGTTTAGCTACAATTACAGTTAGAATTACAATTATTTAATCGTGTTAAATAGCAATTGCATTTGATGATTAAAATTGTAATTGTAGACAGGAACAATTAACGATTACAAAATGTACCAAGTCAATTTTTTCTTCGACCTGAATATAAATGCTTTTGTATTATATCGAAATAGTTTGATTTGCATAATTTTGAATGATGTGGAACGATGTGTTTCGTGAATTGGAATTGCAACTTAAAATTTTGTTAAATCACCCGTTCGATGTCGAACGCGAGAAATCCCCTGTATTGTTATACACATATGTATGTATATGTATATTGATATGTATTGCAACATTTACGGAGATGCAAAATATTTATATTACGTGCGCTCGTTTAAGCGCAATTTATTGAATAAGTGTCTTTTTATCATATTACAACAATGATTTAACAACGTGACTAAGGTAAGTGGAGAGTATATTTATGGAAAGAAATTTTCCGGTAATAATGGGTTATCAAGTATTCGCGATAACGTTCAGTTGCATACATGCTTTCTTTACGTATGATAAAACGTGACCAAGTCGATTGCCATGCGTCGAAGAATCAAGAAAAAGGTTGAAGACTGTCTTATGCAAGTAACTGTAAATGAAGAACGACGTGAGAGACACGACTGTGTATCTTCGCGATGCATGCATATGTACACGCGAGAAAGACTACGTCATTCTGGAATTTTCGAAAGTTTCGTCTAACCGGTTTCTGGTTGCAGACAGTAAGACCCGTTTAGGTTGTGATACTCGCATCAAGATAAACTCCGCGAAGCATTTAACGTAATTAAGTTGTTTATTTACCGAATAGATTTTGTACATTTCGGTCTTTCTTGGCTGTCTTTCGTAAAAAGATAATATCTGCAACAATACGAAAATAGCACGTAATTCTATAACGCGCCGTGATCAAATATTAGAGGTTATTTAACATAAAAGTCCGTGACTCGATAAATTGTGCAACTTTATTGTAAAAGTGAGGAAATAACTTTAAGTGTTTAGCCACCTGCTCCCTGAATTCTTTTTTTTGAGTAAAAAAGTCATTCATCGCGTGTCTTATGTTATTTGAAACTCAATAAATGTAATTCAATAAAAAATGATAACTTATACGTGAATTTTAATGATTAAAATGATATTTATTAACTTTCTTTTAATGTAAAAGTTTATACAAATGAATGAAAATTTTGAGTAAATTAATGATTATTTATGTAAAATATAACGTTTTACAATAAGAAATGTAAAAATATTATTTTAAATGCTGTTAGCTGCAACATCCCTTTTATGATCTGATATGTGCAGTAGTGCCAAACAGTTTCTAATGTTTTTTGGTAGATGTCGCCATTTTCATGAAAACTACGCGTACAGAGATCAATCGTAGTCATGTGACATTTATTATTTTGTATCAAAAGATAATCTTACAGTTTACGTACAGTATAATGGACAGCAGACCCTGAGAGTTTAATTTCTCTGAATAGAAACAAATACATTTCAATTTTCGTGCTCATCTGGCGTGTTTTACCGTGAATCATTAACGTGCACGGCTGCAGACTTATCGAGAGGCCGTTGGAACTGTTTGGTAGTACCGTCACGAATGAAAAATGATAATGAGCACAGTGCTGTAGGTTAGTGAGAACAATAGCCACTTACGCTAATCAACGAAGACGCATGCTCCGCGCGTTCGGTAGTAAAAATATTTTCGGCGATAGCTCGTGCCTCGAATGACGAGTCCCGAGACATTGCCGAATTTGTCCCCGGTCATGAAGTCATTCCTTCGTCGTGACTGATTTTTTTTTATCTCGGAGCACGTACCGTCTGTCATTTCGCCGATGCCAGACTCGTGCGTGTCGCGGCGTTGCTTGCCGAGTCACGAGCCCCGAGGACATTCGTCTTGAATACCCTCGAATGCATCATTCTTCGTCGCGTTAATAATGGAAACGAAAAATAAAATCTGACCAAGGCTCAAGGTCCGCGAGGAAACGAGACTTCAAATGCGGCCAGCTCATCCGGATAATGATGTAGGTTAGGTTCCCAGCGGTGTATAACGCAAAAATCAACATTCTTCGCGAAGCCAGGGTTCGCAAAAAGCGTAAACCGGTTTGTCTCGTAAATGGCACACGAGCGTGCGAACGGGAGACAGACGCGGAGAGAAAGAGCGAATGAGAGTAAGGGAGGTAAAGGAAGAAGGCGAACCGTCGGTCGTTGATTTACAGTAAACCAATTTTCCATCGATATTCGGAAAGGAAAATGAATAACTTCATAGACTGCTACGAGACTGTTCTCTTTGTTACAATTATTTTGCTCACGAAGCATCGTACGATGATACATCATCGCATTGGCGGACGGAAAACGATTCACGATGCCGTGCTAGAGTTATTTTTCATCGTAATAAACCTACGCATCGGCTACGTTGCTTTACCGTATAGCTGATTTATCATACGGCCTTAACAGTAATAGACCAATGCATTTCTGATTCGTCAGCCACGTTTTTTTACGTAACGCTACGCGCAACGCTGCACGTGACGTCAGCTTGTACTCTCAATGTTGTCCGACACAGTCAGCATCGTCGGCAGACACGGAATTCTTGTGGAGAAAGCGTATTCGAGCGCAGCCCAGATCCAGAATGGCTGTAAACGCGAGGCTAATGCACTGTGAAGCAAAAAAATTCGTACTCCCCGTTGTGCAGATGCGAAAATAACCGCATTGTTATTTTACGTAGATCGCGGAAATTTCGTCACGATTAAAATTCACACCGAGCTGTTGCCACGCCTTTAATCCAGTTCATGACATATTCTTTTTTTACGTAACACCGACGCGTGACGTCAGACTATGCATTGCGTCTGCTACACAGTCGACATCGTCGACAGACACGGAAATCTCGCGGAGAAAGCACGGTTGAGCGTAACCCAGATCCAAACGGCAAGGCCAACGTATGACAGAAAGAAAAAACTACTAACACGCGACGTCACAAACCATAAAAACGAATAACAGTATCGTTATAGAATACGACAAAACGGACGTCTTCCATTTGCTCTTCGAAAACGTTGAGTATTGTTTAACCTGCAATGATTCAGAATACGTACGATACGAATTTCCGTTCGTATTTTCTTTTCTATGCACGGCGAGCATCGCGTCGATGCTATATACCGACATGTTAGCAAGGAGTTCAGCAGCACGTTTTTTACGTAACGCTACGCGTAACGCCGAGTCGTGACGTCAGGCACATCGGCGTCGCGCCAGCCACCAACGACGACGGCGGACGCGGAATTCTTGCGAAGGAAGCACCGCCGAGGGGAACCGAGGATAGCCGAGTGAAACGACACACAGCATAGCTGCACGAGGCGGCAACGCTGCGAGCGTCTGTTAGGTTCAAGGGTACGGAGTGGAGGTTGCTTCGTCCCATCGCCCGACCACCGCTCGTCCCGAGAAGCAGTTGAGCGCAAGTCCGTTTTCAACCAACGGGAAACATCTGAAAAGATACACGCAAGGAACTTGTACACATGTTAGTTATACGTTAATTTTTGTCAAAATTCCCGTTCGAACGAAATGGGAACGCTAAATGCTCTTACTCAAATCCATTTCTTTGTTTGAAGAATTTTAAAATGTCTCGTCTTTGTCGTAAGGTTAGGACTTACTTCTGAATTATTATATCTAGTAATAGTAAGCTCGTTATTCGTATTGCGTATTTTAGAAATAACTTTTTGATAAAGCTTTAAATAACCTACGTTTATGTAACATTTTTGTCTTATTTATATCTATAGCATATATTGCCAAAATTTAATTAATAAAACATGGAATACTTAGGTCACGTAACATGTGATAGCGCAGCTAGAATGTGGCAATTTTACCGCGATAGCTGATGATCTTCTTCAAGACATAGAATCTGCTGGCAACGATCTCAGCAGTGAATAAAAACAGAAAGTAGAAAGTCACCGAGTTGGGTACGTCCTGCTGCCGGTTGACCTCGGCCCTGACGTCGAGATCGACGGGAAACGGATTTACAACTCCGACACTAGCGCTTCGCACCACCGTAGACTGTCCTTGCGCGGTTCACAGACGACCAAGTCATTGTTATGTTCTGTGAAAGCGACCAAAAGAAGGGTCCGCGCAAAATCGGACCTCAGAGTCGCATTGAATACTTCAGAGAGGGAATCTTATTAAAAAGCGGACGGCAGAGTTGGGTAAAATTTTATTTAAACAATAAATAATCGATAAAAACAACGTATAGCAATTTATTCGTGACGTTTATTTGATCGAACAGTTAAATATTGAAATATTTCGTTTCAGAATTAGAAATTTGTATTTTTGTATAACGAATAATGGACAAGCAGTATTTATTTTTGATTTGTTATTCGAAATTTCGATCGAGATGAAAATCAAATACACTGAATAAAAAATAAAGAAAGAAAGAACAACTGGTACTGGTATGATCGAAAAACATTAAAATATTTTTGACCGTGGTAAACTAATTGTGTATTTACGGCTCGTGATATGATAGCTAAGTGCAAATTGATCCTCGACTGAACATGAGTTTGATGCGCTTGATGTAATAGAATCGTTCACCATTTCGTGCATATGCCAGCTTATCAAACAGACGGCAGATTTTTTTTCTACTCGACGATTTATAAAACGGTACTGTAGGATCTTGGTAGAAGAGGAGGGGGTAGATTATAACGGTGAACTTTCGTTGGCCAAGCATCGTCACCTTTCTCCCGGCCGTATGATCGGGAAAATGCAAAAATCTCCGCGCTCGATAGAAAAATCGAATTCTTTGTTCGTGGGTACATATTATACATTGCGCATTCAACGAATAACATCTGCTTAATCGCACAATGGACTCACGGGTACGTTCCGTTGGGTCTTTTATTATAGCGTCTCAAAGAGTACGACGAAAGGCCTGAAAAGGGTCTCCCCTTGAAATCTTTAAGACGGTCCCAACATCTGCCCTTTCTGGTAGCTGGCTAGAGAAAGAAAGTTTGCACGTGTCCCTTCAGGAAGGGATCACCGTGGGCTCATTGTGATCGACGCGCAAAACGGGAAGTGACAATTGACATCTGTCTCGCGTTATGCAGGATTTCTGGGTCGAAACTATTTTTGAAACGGCGTATGACAGCTCGGCGTGCACACACACACGCGCACACTCATAACATAAAGATGTTTCCTGGTGATTCAGGGGATGTTGCATTGTATAAATAGATGATCCGATCGGTTCGTTTTCATGGTGTATATCAGCGTTTTCCAAACTGTTTTCGTCACGATATATTTTTTGTCTCGAAATATACGGTGACTAACCCAGACCTAACCTCTTCACATAGTTCTGAATTCTAAGAATTTAATGAAAGACATACAGGGAGTAGCGAAAATATTCAAATATCCTAAGATATACTCGGATCGAAACATATGTTTCAAACATGTTTTTCTTTTTTCACTCTGTAATATATTAGGTAATAAATTGATAACTGAAGTGATATTTATTGGACGTAGGAACAATGGTAAAAAAGTATATTTTAATGAGCTATAAAAACGTTTAACAAGCTGTTAAATATGTATTAACCATTCTTGTAATTTTTTGATTTATCAATAGAATTCATTTTATTCTTTTATTTGAACAAAATTTTGAAAAATTGAATCAATCGATGAATTTATTCTACCATTTCCTTTTTGTAAGTTTCTTATCATTTGTTCGTTATTTCACATTTAACTACGTGTAACATAACCTATAACGTTCATGGTTTTACTTGTTTCCATTCTGTTACTTGTGTATTTGTATTTTAAAGAGGTTCACGCTGCTTTGTGACTGAAACGTTAATGGCTTGTTAGACATTTCTATGGCTTATTAGCAGGTTCTTTTGTACCATCACTCTTATAATCAATAAATATTACTTCTGTTACCAACGTTTGTTCTTTATTCTTGTATTGAGTCATTCAGTAGAGTAATTAATAGATTTACATAAAACATTGTTACGAGTATTCAGAATTATACAGTTTTTCTTCTGCCTCTAATATTACGAAATTACATTGCAACACTAACGCAAATGCTCCAAAGTAAATAAACAATTTCGATGGCTACTATGAAGAGGCGTGTAGTTGTAAATTTTAATACAAATATGTTTTTAATTTAATCCTTTTTAGTTTTATATTGATGTAATTGCCTGATTTTGGCAGTAATATTGTATTTTTATCGTAATTATATCATGAATAAAATTTGCACCTGATCATTTATTGATGAAGAGAGAAAAACATCGAGCCTCTTTAGCTCAGTGGCAGAGCACTGGTCTCGTAAACCAGGGGTCGTGAGTTCAAACCTCACAGGAGGCAAGTATTTTTTTTATCGCCATCGATTGTATTTTTCACAATAATATTTATCAAAGGATTAAAAATTTTACCAAATCACTACGCCCTATAGAAATGTCGAAGCAAAATTCATTAACCTACAATTTTTATTTCTAATATCAACGAGTACTACACATATTTACGGGGTTATATTTCGTCCTTCGGTTATAGTTTTCCTGTCCAACAATACTAGTTTTATATTTATTACCAGTATGTACATACAAAGCTTTTTGTCATCTTTTTATTACAATATTTCGTCCGTTGTGTAGAACAGAGTTTTCTAAAGCTATTGCAGAAAACAAATACGTAAGAAATGTTCGAATAGTGCAATAGTAGAATATAATAAATGCCCGTTATCCCATATGCCATGTTCTGATAAGATTACAATAAATGATAGCAACGACTTTTCTCACTCTTTGTCTTTAACGCGATACAGTCTTTCCACATAGATTTAACGATATATTATAGGTTGAAGAAAAATTAGGTGCTGTCAATTAAAAAAAAAAAACGTTCTGGAAATGTCGCCATTCAGAATTCAGTTTGCGTGGCGGAGTCTGCGAATGCGTCCCACGTAGTACGAACCTGCGCATTCTCGATATTTAGGAGTTACATCGAACAGGAGAGCTGTTCTGTTTCCGCAAAGTGGAAAGCAGGAGGTTAGGGGATCTAATAGCGATACTTTAGGGTCTCAGGGAGGCTCGCAACAGGATTAGAGATATTTTTCTACTAATTCCCATGATGAACAGCGAACAACGAGAGCCAACGGAATGTTAATCCTTGCATTAGTCGTTAAATAATTCATAAGAACACGATTTTTCGTAAAAAAATACATCGAATACGTGGAATAACAGTTTTTTTCCCACGAGGCTTCGTTTTGGAGAAAATCGATTTTGGAAACGCAAACGTGCTGGGCTCGAGCACGATTAATATGAAAATATAAAAAAAAACGTTTCGACCGATACGAATTATTACGACAATTTTCAGTTACAAAATGGATTCGTGATGTTACATAACCGCTTTCATTTTTTTCCCGATTGTACCGACGTGTACTTAAAATAAACGACGTGTTCTCGAAGTCTTTGAATATTAAGTTTCATAAGAATGATTTAAAACTTGATTTATACGTTTGAATAATCTATAAAGAAAAAGATGTTATAAATTACAGTTAGATATCCATTATTACACAGAACACATTCATTTTTTCCCTTTGTCAATAGCGAACAAAGCGATCAACGTGTTACGATTTCGCGAATGTGTTTGCGTGCACTGAAATTTTCATCGCGATGCGGTTACGGCCCTGCCAGATTCAAACCGGTTTTACTCGATCACGAGACTTTAGGCGATCGCTTACGACGTGGGCGAGGTAATGGTCCGCTCGGCTGAAAATCAAAATCTCTTGCAATCGATGCACATGAATTGCAGAACAAAATCTGCTTGATTACGCTATCAATGTTTCGGGCAATATAATTAGTAGACAAACAAGTAAAGCTATGCTTAGTGACTACAATAATAACAAACAAAATAAATATATCTTCGTAACCTCCTTCAAATATTTAACAAATGAAATGAGAAAATCGTTTTTAGAAGATAGGCGTCTAGACTAAAAAAAAACTCTACCAGAAAGTGGTTAACGTTGAAGGGTTTTATGTATTTAGGAAAGGAATTCTGATATTTACGACTGATTACCCTTTCTAGGGCCATAAAAACTAACTGTTCGTCGAAAAACCTATTGTAGTTCTAAGTTTATCTTTTCATTATCAATTTTTAGCCTTTTTACGTTTGGTATGCAAGCAGGTTTCAAAACACACTCATTTCCAAATAATAATATAGGATATATTTAAAAGAAAGACAAAACAATCTTATACACAATTCGACGACCACTCTAGACGGAAACCTTCTTTCGGCTGTCTCTTCATCTCCCGCTGACTGATTCCATACGCATTCCCGGAATCCACTCATACTCTCGCAACCAATATCATACTATAAACTATAAACATTCGCTCGATATCGTACACTTTGTCCCAAATATTCTTCGTTCACACTCTGTCAAATGTATCCCATACCCACGCTATTGTAACTCATTCTAACCATACTTATTGGTTGCCACGATGAATCGAATCGTGACCAGCTTCTCGACGTTTTCGAACACGGTGTGTCTACGTCGGAGTGGATGTAGAAAAAATTGCGAAATTGCTTATCGCGCATTCATGGGAGTCCCATAATTTTTCACCAACTTCCGGCGGAGGAAAACCCCTAAAATTATGCCGGGTACGTAGGGTACATAGGCACGTTTAAGTAGATAGATACATACAGGTACATACGGTGGCGCGTCGAAGCGTGAGGGGCATACCGTAGGTCTGATTCGCTCGGTCGCAAGCGAGCGAGCGGTTACTCACGCTGTGGGTATTCGCCGCACATTCTCGCCGCTAGTATTCTAGTATTCCGTGTCGTGCTCAGGGCACCCTCGGAACTACGAGCTTACGTGACCGGCATCGGCACCGCGACTCTTTCGAGAAAGGCGCCTTCCAATCCACGAATTGCAAAATATTCCACAATTACGGAACTCGACGCGACGTACGTGGCGTTTCCCGATCTGCGAGGAATCAACGGCAATTGGGCGCCGATATTTCCTCGGGGAACGAACAGTCGCGCGCGCCCGGTGGAAGTAGAGGGGCCGGGGCGAAGATCGGTGCTGCCGAACAATGACGAGTCAAAGTGTCAGACTCGTTTCAAGTTCTTGATGTTAAGTCTCACAATTATGAGGTTATTCGTTCGTCATCAAGTCTACAAAGTCAAACAAATCTATTCTTTTTCATGGCCATTCCTTGTACGAAAATATTTAAACAAAATTAAATAATAGACAGGTGACAAATTGTTTGAAATTAAATCGTACGTCGAGAGGTTAGAAAGCTTGAGCGTCGATACTGGTCGAGACTAGAGGGCGTAAGTACAGCCCGTGTCCTTGCAGGGAATTGTTGGAACGACTCCCGGAAAGTTTCCGCGGTTTCAAACCAGCCATTTTAAAAGAACGCAACTTCGTCGAAACTCGCTATTTCTATCGAAAATAATTTCCCTCTATTCTCAGTTTAAAAGGCGAGATTCGGTAACAGGCTGTTATTGAATCCAACCTAACCTAACACAATGATGTTTCGCATACACTTCCATACAGTTTCACAACGTGCGATGCATACTTCGATAGTGGATAAGAGCTATAAAAATACTGAAAAACAGTCACGTAAACATGTGTCCTGTTTAACCTTGTTCCTAAGCTGTAGCCATATTTGTGTTCCGATAATTCTTAATCGCGATCTCAGTTAGTATACAACTGTTTCTACGAAGCTGTTTGTATACAACGCTAGATAACTCCTTCGTATTTCTCGATCTTGTTGTTTTGAATTTGTCAGTCTAATTCATTAATTAAAAAAGATGGTTGATCTTTTTTTTTTACTCTCTCAATGTCGTTTTTGTCCTCCGGGTAATTGTCAATAACAAACCCAACTAGTACAGCTAATTCCATCAAATTGTTTGCATCCAACGCTCATTGACTCCTCGCTATCTCTCGACCTTGTTAACTATTCCGTTCAGCTCATTCTCTTGCGTGGAGCACGTGATAATTCATTAATTTGTTGTGCATTAAAGGAAATAATGAATAAATATTCAAACCAGGAAATGGCAGTCGTTGCCTCGATAAACGTATGACAGTCGAAAAAAAGTTTCAGAGTAAACACGATAGTCGCAAGTTCGTTTAAAAAACGAATGTCAGGCGGCGGTAGACTCCTGAATCACGTTGAAGAAACCGGCGGCGTCGGTGCCCAAAGAATGACAGCAATCGAGAATGTTGCATACGCGACAGTGAAGAGAATTTTGCAATCAATTGCGTTATCCTTGCCATGTTCAGAGAGCACAGGTACGTAACGAAGATGATTTTCCTCTGACAGTTAACTTTTACGCTTGGTTGCTGCATATGTTCACCGGCGACCACCATTTTTTATTCATTATATTATTTACTGTCGTGACTGGATTCGCCAGAAATGGAATAATCAATTCTCGCAACAGTCGTGATTGGATTCAAGGAAATACCATGCTTCGATCAACTCATCGACCATCAATGATTGAAGATAATCTGATAGGAAATTAACACTTGAATAGTAAAAATAGTACATCGAAAATAATAGTGTGAAAGCCATGTCAGTGTTATCTGTAGCGTAAAGTGTAAGATTCAGTGGTACTATTGAATCTAATCTAAACAATTATAACTAACACTTAACTTAAGTAGTATAAACTAAGATTAGATTGTAAACCAATCGATGGTCGCACATTTTATGCATAGACTATTGTGTGCAATCGAAACAGTGAAATTACATATACGTGACAGCGGCGAGTAACGGCTGGTGAAGTCACGTGCGCGTGACAATGGCCGTCAAAGTGTTAGAAGTAGCATACGACGAGAAATTTTTGACGTTTGCAGGCAACAGGTTCGTAGTAGTATGAATGAGGAAAAGGAACCTTGAAATTTTGATTGGTGGGGAGGGGATAGCTAGGTCAAACGTTTGCATTCTTGAGTGCTCTGTGTGTATCTAGGAGTTTGAGTATACAAGTTCACGGAGATAGGTATAGCGGCTTAACCGGGAGATAATAGTTTGTAGGTCAGGCAGTAAAGGTGGATTATCCAGCGTTATTTCGTTGCTAATCACCTCGAGAGATGTCAGAACAGGAATATATGCTTACATGGATTTTATCATTGCTTCAATGTTCCCCGACCACCACTGAAGTAGGTATCATATTTTACGAAAATCTTGTAAAATTATTTTTATAATTGACGTTATAGTGAATTGTAAAAAGATGCAACGTGGCTCGTTTCAGGTAATCGACTCACGCCTCCAGGTGCTACGGTCATCGTCCGTCCTCTCCCACGTTATATTTCAACTAACCTTCATTAACGCGTCCCTGGTTTGACAGTATTCGGTTGTAGTTTCACACCTTTT